ATCACCATGCTGTTAATGGGAAAACTCACTATCAATGGCCATTTTCAATAGCAAACTGTAACAAATTACCAGAGGGTAATTTCAGGGTCTTCTCCAAAGTTTCCCGAGTTCCAGCCGTTGGCTCAAACAAATGGCATGGGAACACAGGATGGAAAAAGGTGATAAAGCAATCCCCCTTCATAGTGGAACGCTGGGCTGGGAATCCAAAATACCAACAACTGGTTTACCACCAGGCAATCAGGTGATCATTGGTTGAACATCTCAATCTCAAAACATTGCTTGCGCCCCACATCACAGGAAGAAGACACATGCTCCTTGGTAGTGATCATCGGTCCACATATCAAAGGATCCGGCAAAGCTAGAAGGAAATACTTGGACCACCAGACTGCAAAACTGCTAGCTCTAAATTGAACGAACCAATATCCAGATCATTTTACCCCTCCTATCCTTGGCGTATACAATCTGTTGAACCCCCACCTGCGCAATCCCTGTAGACTCCCCAAATGGGGAATGACCCAATGGTAAATATGGTAAACGTAAAACAGCATCGACGCGTCACATCAAAGTCATGCCAAAATACTGACATGCATATGACGATCATGTTTCATCAGCGCGATCATGCAAATGCCATGAAATGCATTTCAACTAAGCATTTCAATGATCATGCATGTCATCTTATTTTCAGACACGATCAGACGATCATTGAAATGTCAAAATCTTATTGGTGAATGAATGAACATGTTTCTTATTTATGTTTTTTAGAAAATCCACACAGCGGATGCCACGGTACCACCGATGTGCTTCGGGTGCTGCGAATGGTGCTGGCCGTGGCGCGGCTCAGCCAAGTCTCCTGATGCCAAGCTGTAGGGGGATGGACTCAATGAGTTCCAATTGCTGAATATGCTGATGATAAACCATGATATGTGCATGAATGCATGGATGTATGCATGTGTGTATGTATGTATGTATGTAGGTAGGTAGGTAGGTATGTATGTATGTATGTACAGTATGTACAGTATGTACAGTATGTACAGTATGTACAGTATGTACAGTATGTACAGTATGGGCAGTATGTACAGTATGTACAGTATGTACAGTATGTACAGTATGTATGTATGTATGTATGTATGTATGCATGTATGTATGTACAGTATGTATGTATGTATGTATGAATGTATGTATGTATGTACAGTATGTATGTACAGTATGTACAGTATGTACAGTATGTACAGTATGTACAGTATGTACAGTATGTACAGTATGTACAGTATCTACAGTATGTACAGTATGTACAGTATCTTATGTATGTATGTATGTATGTATGTATGTGTGTATGTATGTATGTATGTACAGTATGTATGTACAGTATGTATGTACAGTATGTACAGTATGTACAGTATGTACAGTATGTACAGTATGTACAGTATGTACAGTATGTACAGTATGTACAGTATGTACAGTATGTATGTATGTATGTATGTATGTATGTATGTACGCATGTATGTACGTATGTATGTATGTATGTATGTATGCATGTATGCATGTATGCATGTATGCATGTATGCATGTATGCATGTATGCATGTATGCATGGTATGTGATGTGATCATGGTATGTGATGTGATGTGATGTGATGTTAAAGGTGTATCTGTTTTTCTGATCATGAGTAAACTACATATAAGTATATGATGTTTGAAAATGAGGAAGTTGGTTGACAACCCACTTGCACACATTCTTGTAATCGTATACATAGGGGGAATTGTTTAGTCGACCCATTGATAAATACAGTTAAGTTGACAGCTGATTTTAAGGTTTGCAGCTTGTCAGGCCCAGTTCCAAATCGATCTTTCTTTTACAGTTTACACTCGCCCTAAAATTAACACAGAAAGAAGCAGTTGGGCCATGTGCAAAGGACTTTGTCACCTCTGGGACCTGTCATCATAGATGAGAAATCATAATAAAAGCATATTTCTGGTGGATGTCTTTCTGGAATTTCGTTCCTTGTATATCCTTCTGCCACGAAGGGGCTTGCACATCCTCAGCCAGAACAGATCATTTGTTGCGACCCCGGCTCCTTGCCGCTCTCAATCACAATGTTCAAGTAGAATTGGACCTGAGCCGAAAGATAGTCTGGCAAACCCAATGATGTTTACCATCCCCAATGATTACCAGATTCATGGGTGGTAAAAGCTGCTGTAAACACCATCCCCAACGGATAGCTTCGCGCAAAGTGTTACACAGTGTTGAGCACATTACATGAATTCGCCCCAAAAAAGGGTAGCATGCTCCAAAATAGCATTTTGTTGGAACATGATCATTAGCCATATGAATTGGGGCTGCTATATCTTTGGACCAACCCACATGAGGAGCTCACAAAAGATCATGAGCTTGTGATATGGACAGGTCTGTGCGTATGTAGATATCGGCATCCGGCACAGTGGTCAGCAACAATCGTCAACAGTTGATAAACGTACCCTTACAAATGGTGAAATGGCAGTCCTCATTCCTCAAACCAAATTCCTTCCAGTTTTGCTAAGGGGCTGAAGAGGTTTGCTGCACGTGCAGCCAACACCACAGACGTGCTAAAGCCAACCATTGCACACCATAGACCGCTAGTGCTCGCAAATTCGTATCACCACGGCTGATACTCTGGAAGAAGTTAAACAAGGTCCTTGGCAGCGCGCTTCATACCATTGACATATTCCTTCATCACCCTCCATCATTGCTCCGAAGGCAAACATACCGTGCCCTCCGTATCGTGTTATTTTAGCGCGACTAGATACGGAATGGAATACCCAAACGTTCCATGCAATTCCCATATCTATCTTCATTTACCAAAAGTACTTCAATCAAGCATACCTGGATACATGGCGCATATGGGATACATCTCTCCCTTTTTCCAGGGTGCTCCAGAAGCCAGTATGCAATCCACCATCGCACAGCGCGATTACCACCTGGATGTGCATCCCGGTGACTAGTTGATGCGCTGGATAGATATGCACGAGCTAGACTTGTTGATCCAATCTTTAGGTTGGCTGTAACATGTTAAGTCATGAAAAAAGCCATGTCTATGAAGCAGCCAGTAACTTGAACATACAACACCAAGTATGTTTGGGTCTTTGTTCCAAGAATTCCCATCCCTGTGGCTGCGGTTCACCAGCCAATGGCACCTCGCCATGGGTATCTGCCGTATCCCCTCGGTAATCCAAGCAGTGATGAAGGTTAACCCTGGCCTATCCTGGCCTCCATTCTCCCTGGCAAAGTGCATGCCGGTCAGTGGGAAAGCCACCTGGTCTTCACGCAGCGCAAAAATTGGTAGATGCCGGACTAGACTCTGAACTTCATGAATTTCATATGGTATTACCAGCAGTACCGCACAAGGCGGTGGCGGAAGTTTCAAAAATGAAAAACCTATAGGAGAGGTGCGTTGCTGTGGCGCAAGAATGGCAGAGCGAACCCACTGATGGATTGAAAGGTGGTTGAGTGTTTCTCCCTTTCTGTCTCTCTTTCTCTCTTTCTCTCTGTCTCTCTCTTTCGCCATCTATCTACAGAGTTACCTTTCTAGCCATCTACCTATCATCTACCTGTCTATTCATGTAGCTATCGTTCGATTTGTTTATTCACCTAACTATTAAACTCTCCATCTTTCTGTCTATCCAGCCATGCATCCATCCACTTACTTCTCTCTGTTAGTTTTTTTTCCGTCCATCTCTTCATCCATGTCCACAGGTATCCATCACCATGTTCTTCTCTCGTCTAATCTTTCTCTCCTCTCTGCCTCTGCCCTGCTTTCCTTATTATCTGTCCATATTTGGTGAAGTGTAGTGGAGTGTATTTTAGTGTATTGGAATGTAGTGGGGTGTAGTGGGGTGTAGTTGTGTGGTTGTAGTTGTAGTTGTGGTCTAGTGGAGTGTAGTCAGTGTAATGTAGTGAAGTATAGTGGAAGGTAGTGTAATGTAGTGTAATGTAGTGTAGTGTAGTGGAATGTAGTGTTCTGTAATGCAGTGTTGTGTAGTGTAATTTAGTGTATGTATCTATCTATCTATCTATCTACCTATCTATCTATCTATCTATCCATCCATCTATCCATCTACCCATCTATCCATCTATCCATCTATCCATCTATCCATCTATCCATCTATCCATCTATCCATCTATCCATCTATCTATCTATCTAGATATCTAGCTATCTATTTATCTAGCTTAACACGGTAATGTAGTGTAGTGTAGTGTAGTGTAGTGAAGGCATCTCAACATCCAAAAAGTGGTCCGAGCATGGTGTGCTTTGTGCATTTTCACTTGGAAATGTGCTTCGCGCCACAACGGCGTGCACTTTTTCGCAAATTCAACTTCCAAAAGTGGTCCGAGCATGGTGTGTTTTGTACATTTTCACTTGGAAATGTGCTTCGCGCCACAACAGCGCGCACTTTTTCTAAACTCAACTTCCAAAAGTGGTCCGAGCATGGTGTGCTTTGTACATTTTGACTTGGAAATGTGCTTCGCGCCACAACGGCGTGCACTTTTTCGACATTGCAACTTCCAAAAGTGGTCCGAGAATGGTGTGTTTTGTACATTTTGACTTGGAAATGTGCTTCGCGCCACAACGGCGTGCACTTTTTCGACATCACAACTCCAAAAAGTGGTCCGGAGCTGGTGTGTTTTGTACATTTTCACTTTGAAATGTTCTTCGCGCCACAACGGCGTGCACTTTTTCGACATCTCAACTGCCAAAAGTGGTCCGCTCCTGAGGTGTTTTGTACATTTTGACTTGGAAACGTGCTTCGCGCCACAACGGCGTGCAATTTTTCATCTCTCACCTGGCCAGATGGCTCCACACCCGCCACTTTAGCGAGCCTACTTTTCGACCCTCCGGAGCCACAAAACCACGAAAAAACACAGTGAATCGCAACTTTCCTACCTTTTCGCGCACCTGCATCTTCTTTCTTCTGATCTTTTCTCCTCTGACTCTTCTCCCTGCTGACTGCTTTTTCATCTCTCCATATTGTCGGAAGTTTGACTTCCAAACTTCCTTCGATCATATAGTAGTACCCAACAAATGAAGAGTAGTTTCTCACGATTTGAGAAGGATGATTTACTGCACTATCTTGTGTTCGGGTCTGCGATGTGTATGTATATATATATATATATTTGTATGCATGTATATATGCATATAAAAAGGAATAGTAACTTAGGGGGATAATTGGATAAGGAACGGTTAGCTGTTGGCTGTTGGATCTCCACAAAATTCCATCATCAAACATCCACCGGTGGGACTGTCTGTATGGTGTTCGCCAAGTGGTCGCTGATTCCATCCAAGGGGCATTCCAAAGGCCCGCAAGCGTCACTGTTTGCGCCAGTGCCTCCACCAACAAACCCAGCAAGCCTCAGTGCAAGCGGCCGAGAAATCTGCTGGTGCTTGTCTGGTTGATGTTTCAAAGGTCTGCCAACATATGAAGCTTAACATGGATCATCATCGGACTTTCTGGGTGAACCGACGAAATCAATTGAGGATTGATAAACCCTTGGTTGGTTGAAACCATACTTTGTGAGCCATGCATTCTACTTTTATCACCTTTGAGGGTGGCCAAAACCAATTCAACTGCTGTCCCAAACCACACTCTGGTTTTCAATACTGGCGGCTAGGTTTGGCTTCCTCAAGGCGAACCGTGATTTATGAGGTTTGGTCGACCATTTCCATGTGGTAGCAATTCCCATACAGGTTTGAGATCATTAAAATTAAAACTTGCAATTTTAGAGAGACATTTGATGAGAAACCATGGGTGTTGTGTGGTTTTGTTGGTTGCCCAGGAAATTGCATACATTTTTTCCACGAATCTATGCGGTATATATGAAGGAATAAATCCACGTCATGTCATCACTTTCCTAAACTGGCATTTTTTGGGATGTCCACCATGTTTCAACACATCCAAATATCATATTGTTGGTCCCACAATCCATACGAAATCCAACTATACCACCATGAAACGTGATAATCACTATTTCAATCCCAACTCTTGGTGGTCGAACCACCTTCCTTCACCCACAATTATTCACCATTCTTGATGGTGAAATCATGTGAACTCATGTTAATTCATGTTAATTCCCATAAGACCACCATAGTTCTCTTGGTTGAATCCCATAAAACCACACATGTTCATGGCAAATCCTACCATACCAACCCCAACTGCAACTGTATGTCCTGTTGCCGCCACGCCCCAGGCGCCTAGCAGGGCGTGTAGAGCGAAGAACTGTCGGGCCAGCAGCAGCAGTTCAGAGACGCTGAGGCGGTCCGGTTTCTCAGCCTTGCTCCAAACGGTCATCGAGTCATCGAGGTGCCAATGGGGAAACACAGTTTCAACATTATAATCTGGTTGGTGGTTGACCTACCCCAATGAAAAATATGAGTCCGTCAGTTGGGATCATGATTCCCAACAATATATGGAAAAATAAGAAATGTTCCAAACCACCAACCAGTATGTATATACATATAGATTGTAGTAAAAAAACAAAATATAGTTATCTAGATACTTTAAAAAGGTTAGACATTATATTTGATTTGTTTCCACTTGGGACATTTTATTATTTTGGGGCATGTGTTTTTCTTGCTAGGGACATTTGTTGGGAAGCCAAGGCATAAAGCTCCAATAATGAGCCCCGATACGTGAGGTTTCTAATGTGGGAAACCCATTTGTTGGGAAATTTGACGCGTATAGTGTGTGTATATATATATGTGTGTGTGTACCCTTTGTAACAGATAGACATTATATGACATTATACATCATTATAGTTGATATGTTTTGACTTGGGAAATCTTATCCAGTTGGGACATTTTCTGGGAAACCCAACAATAAAGCTCCAATAATAAACCAAATAATTGAGTTTTATAATGTGGGAAGCCTATTTTGTTGGGACATTTGAGGTATATATAAAATATACTATATGGAGATTTATAATAGTTGATATTATTCAGTGGGAAGCTTTATAATTTATAATAAACAAACACCAATTATTGAGAAACACGCCAATATTATTGGACATTATACCTGACCCAATAATAAACCTCCAATAGGGCATGGATTAGATCACATATAAAAATACTAGAATAGGAATAATATATATATATATATACAGTATATATAATACTAAGAAATCTTTAATAATGATCCAAATGATAAGAAAAACAATCTTTGCACTACTTAACATACCTTGACAGCCCACAAATTCCTATCCACCCCGGATTTCCCAATGTTTCCCTCTATGGATCCCGCCCAAGGCTATGGAATCCATCCATGCTTTCAGTGACGGACCCTCCGCCCAGGTGCCAAGCGATTCACCAAATCCCATCGAAGCAAATGCCGCGTGAAGGCGTTCCCTGCGGAAGACGAGATCTTGGGATTTGGGAGATGCAATCCTGGGAGTTTAAGGTGGGATTTGTATGAATACTGTGTATATGAATTTATCATAAATGCGTGTGCAATGTGTACATGCATATATGTATAAACAAATGTTTGTGTGTGTGTTTCATACATGTAAGATTATACTGTATAACTTAACATGACCAAGTCGTTTGGTATTTACACGCAATCAATCTGGTAACTTAACAAAATCAATCTGGGTCTTTAGTAGGATCTACTTACATTGAGCTGATTTAACCTGGGAATTCACATGATTGAACCTCAATGAAACCGAGGAGCTACACAACTCTGCCAAAAGCAATGAACATGCAGATTAACCTTTAATACGCTGCAGTTATCTGGTTATGCAATTGCTAATTGTTAATGGGGTCCAATTTACATATCAAATGATCAATTTTTAATGTTTGAAACTAACCTCTCATTTGGATTAGTTTGGTATAATTTGGGATGTGCTCAATCAATTACAATCATGGTTATAGGTTCCCGGAAGGTCTGCTGGTACCAGTATGACCTGGCTTCAATTTCTTGAATTTTGCCGTCAAAATTGACCAACCGATTTCGGACTTCCCCAAAGGCCCAACTAAATTCGGGCGCCTGGAAAGTTTCTCAAGGAAGTCTTCCATTTGGGGGCCATGGCTAAATGCCGACGGGGAAGAATGTCAAAGAAGTACTCTTTTACTGGTTTGCATCCAGTACTGGACTCTCCTGATGAAGAATCACTCAGCATCCTTTGCAGTTGTGGTTTCATTTGTTCTGTACAGTATAACACTCACTTCCGCATTGAGCCAGCAGCATGCCAGGCCGGAAAGCTCTAGATGTGATTGCCTAAGGGCACGACCTGACAGAAATGAGAGTAACTTGACATATCTTGAGCGTCTAAGTAATTAGCCATGAAACAAATCAAAGCACAGATGAAACATCTAAATTATACAGTAATTACAAATATAGTTACCCATGTTCACAAGTATACGACCATGTTGGGTTGCATCCATTGATAGTAATTAGCAAGAATGCAGCAATGCTTCTACTTGGAATCCACTAATTCCGTGCACTTCTGGGCCGGTCGCCTGAACATGACACCGCTGAGCATTTCAGCGTTGACACATGATCCATTTGGAAATTCCAGTAAACATTCCTCCGTTGTCATCAAACATGGCTAGCTGCAAAATCTAAAAAACTAAACGGACGTGTATAATTACACATATATATATAGCTGGGAAAATCATCAACTAATGCTGGTGGATTTTCCAACAAGCCATGTTCGATTGCCGGAGGGCAATTGGGACCAAATTCCAAACACTTGCGACCGTGTGGCTCGAATAATCGAAACTTGAATGCGAGGAGCTGATAAACTCCCTCGGCTGAGAACATGTGAAGGTTGCTTCACTTCCCTCCGGAAACATTCTAAGCACAGCTATCTGTAACATAATTCTGCTAACAATTGATAGTGTATTGCACTAGAGTTTGTTTACATTCCTCAGACTCCTCCATGCTTCCCAAATCTTCCCAAGTCAGCAATAGATGCATCCAATATAGACTCTATGGTTTCTATTTGAATGGTTTGGTTAGGTGCTTCGTCCTTGGTGCAGTCCAGCGGCACTGACGAAGTCTCGAATTCTCCGCGTACACGCGCGGCGCCTCGTGCACGGGCGCACCGTTTTTTTGGTGGCTGGGAAAATTGGGATTTGCTTGTTCCTCACTCATCCTGGAAATCATGCTCACTTCATATTGAGTAACGCATCTTGCGGGATAATTAAAACATGTAGCATACCTGATTTAGTATTCAAGGGTCCAATTTCATTTTGGCAGGAACTGACTATATAGTGACAACAGAACGGAAAACGGAAAGCCTATCTGTAAGTGAAGTTGTTAGTTGGGACTGGTACTTGTGGCTTTAAAAAGACACGGGGCTCTCTCTCTCTCTCTCTCACTCTCTCTTCTCTCTTCTCTCTTCTCTCTATCTCTATCTCTATCTCTGTCTCTCTCTCTCTCTCTCTCTTTCTCTCTCTCTCTCTCTCTCTCTCCCTCTCCCTCTCCTCCTTCCTGCATGATATCAATGATATCCAAAACACGTCCCAAGAATTGGGCAACACTTACAGCACTCGAACGATGCATTATGATTTCGTATTTCTTTGCGGCATTTATAAAAACACACACATATTTATATATATATATATATTAAACGCATATCAGCATATTCGTATCAAAACACCGTTCATTCAGCAACAAATATGGATTTGTCCAAGTATAGGGTACCCAAAGTCCATCCGCTGGTTAATCATCACTTTCCCTCTTCTGATAAGTCTTCAACTGCCGGACATTTCCCGAAGGAACCTGGACCTGCACAAAGTCTAGAAGAACTTCCCACGTCCAGCACTTGGACACCCAAACCTTGGAAAATCCCGAAGCGCCATTGGAAAAACCATGGGTTTTGCTATGATGGATTTATATCCTAATATGTAAAGCATCAACGGATTTATATGTTTCTATAATAATGTTCTAATGTTGGAATTGTTTTTCCCAATGCTAAGGATATTATCATGGTTTACTGTAATTAATGGGATTGGATTCCTAGGTGTTGTTGTGCATGGATATACTGTAGCCCTAGTCACAAAACAGGGTTGGCCAGTGAGGTGGCCAGTGAGGTTCCCCCCTTTGGAGGATCCGCTCGACCCAAGAAACCCATAGCTCCATCCTTCGATCCATCCTTGGGCAGCTGGCATCCCATTGCCTCCCTACATTTATAGCTATCGTGTGTGACTGTGATTAGTTGTCATGAAGCACTTTCCAACCACTTAGCAACCCGAGGAAACATCCGAGACTTCTAGAGCACAAACAGCACGGTCACTGGACAGTGGCATGCATGAGTCCATTCAGTCCTAGTGGGTTTTTCAAAGATTTTCAAAGCCATTCGCCCCTTTCAACGTGACTTTGTTCTCCCCAGGTTTTAGGTCGACATTGAAGACCCCAATACGACTTCCCTGATGGCAACCATGCAACCGAAGCAGAAAATCCATTAGAAACCTTCGGATGCCTGGATGTGATGCAAACATTTCGGAATATGTTGCCATACCCATAATCACCCACAAGCAATTCCACAATCCACATTATGTTGGGGTATTACTTGATTTTACTGCAATTAATATTGTTACATATATATATATATAACATATAATTATAAAATACTAAACATATATTGGTTACCATGTCTTTGTTTTTTCTTGACGAGATTCAACCTCCATGAGGTGTCGGATGATCTGTGGATCCCCCATTTTTCTCCATTTTTATTGACCCCTGAGCCACGTCAAGCTTCGATCTCTTGCTGCGCCTTGGCGCACTCCGCAACGAAGTTGCCCAGCACTCCGAAGAGGTCCTTCCGCCGATCCTCCTCCGCCCCTCCGGGAGGAGGGTAGACATAGGACAGGTCTTGGAAGAAGATCCCCATGTCGCCTCAATGTTCAGGATGGATCGGATGGATCGGATGGGTCCGTTGCCATCCGTTGCCTTTTTAAGGGGCCACAACTAAAGCCAACCGGGCTGATCACACTTTTTCTGGGTGGCAACTCACATAGGCTCACTCCAAACATCACTGGCACATCGTTTTGGATCCGAAGTTGCCATGCACCTAATCCACATTTCAGGTGGCAGGCATTTCCTAGCACCGTCCAGATGCAGCGTCAGGAAACCACTGGGTTTCATGCTGGCGCCTACTCCTAATAAGAATCAAAATAGCCAATCTGTGGGCTCCAAGGCCTCCATAACTTTTTTCCCATGCCGATCTGGGAGATTCCGTATTTCAGTAAAAGTAATCGATAGAAGCCAGCAGAACCACCTGCGTCTCAGTGGGCTGAGAAATCGGGTGGCCTGCGTGATCTTAAATCTACACCGTCTAGTTTAAAACCTATACCCCCCATTTGACAGGCAATGACAATGAGGTAACAGCATGAGGGAAACATGGCCAAACCCAGATTAATCGAGACTGTACCCTGTTTCAAAAATACAATCATTAGCAAAGGATAGTTCCCAGAAACGCCTAACCCACCAAAAACCCATCAAACACCCAGAACAAAAGGGATAACTTCAAAAACATCATTTAACAACATCTGAAAATTGTGCTTTTTTCCATGAAAGCAAAGTTCATCGGCCCAAGGATCGATAGCTTTGGAAGACCTGCATGCTGGAAGCCCACAGCTCGGCACATGCGCCCTGGGACTCCCTGACAAAATCCTCAGTGGTTTGCTGGAACATCCTCCAGCAATAGTTCGATGATTTTGCCAGCTATAAACTGCCATTTAGTTCGGGGATTTCCCATTGCTACGTCGCTACGTTTGACTAAAGGGTAATCGGGATACACTTGGGATTTAATGATTTTGTGTATATAATGTAGTGGGGATGTAATGAGGCTATCATGAGATACAATGGGGATATAATGGTGATATTCCATTCCCCAACATAAACTTCGCCTTAAATAGGGGGTTGGAAGACTACTTTCCTCCAAATATGGGTGATTCTCAGGGTCTATGTTGGGGGGTGCTAAAGATTTTGATAAATCTTCCATGTAAGATTTTAGAATCACGTTTGAGAACTGTCAGACCTTCTCGAATGCGCTGGCGCATGCCCGCCCGGCAGAAAAACGCAGCATCTGCAATAATGGTTCACTTTTCTTTACTAGATATAGATATAACCTGATATAACCTATATCACACATATCAAGACTCAACATGGTTAGTTACGATTCGTCTCGTACTATGTCTCTTCTCCATCAATGGAAGCCTCAACACCGGCTGGTCCCTATGGTCCCTATGGTCCCTTGGCCAAGTCTCCGCCATGGCCCGGTGGAAAGGATCGCCATCCATCGCTGGGATGCCTCAGGCAACATCGATCCCTGGCGGTTCTTATTGAATCTTATTGACTCATCAACTATGATGCCACCATGATCAATTAAAAACATGTTGGAAATCAAAAGGCCGTCTTTAAAAAACACACAAAAAACATCGTGTAACGACACTCCACACTCAGTTCAGTTTAGCACGCGTGAAAACAAATGCCATCGTCAACATACCTTGAGTCCCATCCCAACTAGCAGTCACCAAGATCATCTGTTTGATGTTGGCCCCAATCCGCTGGAATCGCTTGTGGTAGAATATGTCCCTACTGAATTGTGAACTCGAAACTTAGCCCAACATGACATGTAAAGCCCAAACTCACAAATCATACCTCAATCATAGAGCCTGTAACTAGATATAACATATAGATTCCTATATCATATCCCGTGCCAGGGCCCCATTATAATCATTATAGATATAATTAACATTAATTAACTAGATATGACCTTTAAAGGTATAGATATCCTATAAATAGAGATACTTTAAATATCACCAGATATGACCTGTGGATATAAACAGATGCCACATGGAGGCTCTCGTCCCCCCGTGGTCCCTAATTTTCACAACCGGCGGCTTTCGCCCTTGAAGCTGCCGGTGGCCACCAAGCCTTCCAGCCGTCGGAAGCCATCCAGGTGGACCTCGCGTAGATTCCGGAAGATGTTTGCATTAATCTATGTATATCTGTATGCTATATATATATAGATAATTATATAGACATAGATAACTGTAAAATTAGATTAGATAAATAGAAAGATACATAGATAGAGATAAATAGAGATAAATAGATTTAAGACAAATGTTTCTACAATCGATATAACTAATGTAGCTTGTTTTGTTGAACAAGACATGAGTGCGTATCTGTATGAAAGTTTATGGCTAAAAATGGATGTGATAATGAATAGGTGCATGATAGATGTTAAAATAACTATGGAACTATTTTGATAACTATGTGATATATCTAATTATAAACATATATATTTAATTCAGTTTATAAGGGGTGTATATATATATATATGTATACAGTATGATATAGTAACTACATAACCGGACATATCTATATTTAAAGGGGATTACAAGGTTGCAACATATATACAATATAGATAAATAGATAGATAGTTAGATAGATAGATAGATAGATAGACAGATAGACAGATAGATAGATAGATAGATGGATAGGTAGACAGATAGACAGATAGATAGATAGATAGATAGCTGGATAGTTAGACAGATAGATAGTTAGACAGATAGATAGATAGATAGATAGATAGCTGGATAGTTAGACAGATAGATAGTTAGACAGATAGATAGATAGATAGACAATAAATCTGCAGTTGGATTTGGCTTTTGCTTGGGGTGTTTGCCCAGGTGCATTGTGTGTGTGCGCGCCACGGCACGAAGTTACAAGATGTTGCCATCCGGAATGGAGCATGTGAACAGGATGGCAATTAATTGCACAAAAATGGCAGAGGTGGCTTTGAACAAATGAACAAACTCGGAATTCTGGAAGTAAAGAAGGTCAACGTGGTGATAGCAATGTTTGAACCTGCATTATGTGGTGGGATTTCCACGTGGACATCAGACATCCATATCTTCCATGACTATTTTTAGCAAATGAGCTTAATTAAGTCCAACCGGAATGGAATTTCATGGGGTCACGCAACCACGTTTGACCGCTATGGAAACTGCATGCCTCAACTCCACGCATTAATTGCTATGCCTTTGCCCATGGATCATGGAAAAGACTCCGCGGTTTTCCGGAAACTGGCAGACTGGAAAGGATATGATATATATGAACACGTAAGAGTTCAACAATGACATAAACATACCTAACAACCATTCCCAGTAAGGTCGCAGTGGGGCGCCCCTAGGCACCTGACATCCTACATGATGCCAAGGGGCCAGCACATCCTGATGAACCTGCAGCCGATTCAAATGATTAACTGGCACGCGGCACGCTCCCCGAAGAAAGACTATAAAATAACCTGAACACATACAATACGGCAAAGTCTGGAATGGTAGGTACAAAGGCAAAACGTAGACAAGTAGGATATAGTAGATTGATAGGCATTGGCATTCATCTGACAACATGTTCAGATACGCTTGTCTTTGTCGTCATTCAACTCACGGAAAGGATAGGGACCATGAAGGTGGGCACAGGGGACCAGTTGATGGAAGAAATACTGCACCAGCTGCTAGGTGGTTTATCCCATCAACCAAGGTGGTGCAGGATTTCTTCCATCCACCAGCACCCCTTCAGTTGATCCCCGCATCCACCACGTTTCCACAATCTGCCGCGGCACCGTGTGGGTTCGCTTGCTGCTGGCCGTCTTCAGAGCATTCAACAGCTCCAGATCTGTCAGGGCCTCCACGGTAGCGGGGGGCAGCTGTAGCAGGACGAAGTGGAAGAAGGTCATCCTGGGCTGCGAATTTCTTCGGGCAATGAAAAAAACAGACAAACATGTTTTTTACCAATAGAAATGATGTTTCTGATGTTTCTAACATGTGGGATGTTTCATGGTTTAACAACACGTGGGATGTTTCGTGATTTATTTTGTGAAAAAATGGAATTTACCAGCATAAAAACGCAACAAAATGAGATTTAAATCAACATCCCCAATTGTGGCAAAACTAAGCCATCCAAGCTTGACCCAGGGAAATGGGATGAGTTGATATTTGGATTTCAAAAACAGGATCTGGGTCGATTGCAATCGTTTCTGGTCATGTCGCTTATCTAAATCTAGGTAAGAGATCAACACTTCTTGTTCAAACAAACTTGCCAGCAATGAAGCAATTGGCGTTTGAACTCCAGCATGGTTTTGCTCCTCCCCTTCCCAAGTGTTGGACATACCATGACCTACTCAGCCATTGGAAACTACACCTCACGGCATTTGTTTCGGAGGAAGACAATGCTGCCCGAGATCTCTTTCCGATCAGGTGATTTCAAGTCCAGCAGTTTGGAGAGACCTCAGCCGAAATGGAATGCTAGCACAAGTGGGCAGATAATCAGCAAAATGAAAAAAAAAACACCCTTGATTTCTTCGCTCCAGTTCAACAGTTTCAGCTAAGTTTCAACTACCATTTTTTAAGGAATCTGTTGGCGGATCCATTGTCTTGATACCTCCAGCAGCTCTCACCAGCCCACTAGATCAACTCTCTCAGGACATGGGAAACATCGCTGTTTTCACTAGTTGCATCACGTGCAGGCCACACACCCACAGACACGCATACATATATATATATATATGTGTGTGTGTGTGTGTCTGTATATAATATTGTATGACGTGTAAACTACATATGTATATTCATATTCGTGGAGATTGTTGCTTCCAGTCTCAGACGAATTATCCACCATCTGCCCACCATTGGTTCCACCACGTTCCACTCATGTTAGGCACCCAGGGACTGCTGAGTCGAAAGCCTCCGGCCGCCGAGCCATTCAATGTGTTCCCCAGGTGCATGGCCATGCTCCAAAAGGACCGGAAGGCCGCCTGCCGATCGCCTGAAAACGCGGTGAATTGTCATTGTAGTTGACAATCATTTAGTTAATACAATCATGTATCTATATAATTGTATATACATACATATATATATATATGTGTCCCGAATTCTATGTAGGTGTTCATGAAACTAGCATTCAATGAAAGAGCAAAATCAAATGTATTTTTTTTGATCAGTTGGTTCGTTCATTTATCTAGCACCATCATTACTTGTCATAATTAGTCTATTTTTGTTGAGGAGTTGCTGGGTCTTTAAAAGTTTCAAACGTGGAAGGGGCGGTCTCTCTTTCTGACTTCTCCCGATTCTGTGTGGCAAAAGAAGTGCCAGGATATCTGGCTTAGATATTTCTCATGCCATGCGGAACCTTTCCCTTGTCATTTTGCGCAAGATCTTGCGCTACTGGTCTTTCTTTAACCAAGGAAGTCAACCTGCATCATGTCTGGTTTTGTGAGACAGACTTAATCAGACTTTTACTGAGCCCAAAACAGGGAAGCCATAGTATCCATCAACAAGATTTCAGAAAGCATATAAGTACAACTAACCAAGTTAACAAGAAAGTGACACCAATGTCAGTCCATCAAAAACGGTAATGTTTAACAAAATTCAATTCGCAGTATCACCGAATTGGGGATGTTGGATTTAAAAAAGGAACGTATTGCTTGCTACCCCAAGAACTGGGAAGTATACCAACATGATGAAGCTATCACAGAACAAATTGGTTTCAAATGGTTTTAGCGTACCATCAAGCTGGACTACTGTAGTCTACAAATCTCATACCAAGGGTAAGACATGGTAAAACAATCTGTGATGGCCTCCTGCAAGCCATGATTGATCGGGCTTGCATGGTTTTCAGGATACCCTATATACTCAATACCATTCCTACATTGCTACATGCGCATCCTAAATCATCCTCTCTTTTCAACAATCTTTGGCAACATCCACTTTACATATATATATATATAAATGCCTCTTTTCCAGCCACCCTTCGATTAAACATCCAAGGCGTCAGGGATTTTTTTTTAGTGCCAAGAGACGGATTTGTAGCAGAGCACGGCGCAGGATCCTGGGGAGAACAGTCACACGGATTGGCTCTTGCATACCCTGCGATAAATGGAGATACATAATCTGGATATCTCTGGATGCATTGTGAGAATGATGGTTTGCAATCATCCCCACCCTTATTTTCGGTTGGTGGACAAGAATTTATCCAGATGAATGTTCATAATACCCAGCTACCCGTTGAAGGTTGAGCGAACCAACCAGGTTACATACTGACCTACATGCATCCTGGAACTAGTCAACCCAAAACGGTGGCCATACGCCACATCTTGTTGCCACCCCACCGTTGCACAACAGAAAAATAAGAACCATCTATATAAAACAACAAACAATTATTACCAAGTGTTGCGAACTGAAGTTTGCAAACAAAAAATGGAACAACTGTAACAACTGGCCATTGGTCCCATTGTTATAACATGTTATAAGTGGGTTTCAATTGTTTACGGTTGTAGTTGTTTCACATTGTCCAACCCAGCTGACACCCCCAGCTCCACCAGCCCAAGAGGCTGCAAGTCTTCGCGGCAGCTCTCCAGTTCAGCGGGAAATTTGGCGACCAAATCCATGCACTCCAGCCTACTTCTGGGCCAAAGAAAACAGGACAAAACAGGCAACACATGACCAGAGTCACACATTCATATGGATCACATACTGTATTATGGATACTGCAAGCCCGTTGGTTGGCCATCTCTGAGCCATGCCACAAACCATCATCCCCTATTTGGGGGACATCATATCCCGTTAAAAGATGTTAAAAGGGGGTGGAGTGGGCTGCCAAATTGTAGAGGTCCATCACCAAAAGGAAATCTTGTGGTGTCTGTGAATATGGCGAAAAAATACAGCAAGAAAATTGCATTTAAACACATTTCTTCCACCCCAAAAAATGGAACCAGCTTGATTCCCTGTGGCTTCGAGGCTGCGGCAAGATGGCCGCTACAAAAATGAAATGGCTCTGCATCTGTCACCAGCTTCATGTGGCTGTCGAGATGTGAGGGTGAACGAGTTGTCGAAGAGTAGACTTCTTGTAATTTGACATGGCCATGGAAAATCTCACTAAAAGTGAGTTTCAATTGCAATGTTTAATTATCAAGAGTAATAGATGCGAGACATTAGGTGTGTATATATATATAATATAAAAGATAATCAATAAAGAAATTACTTTACTTCGTGTGATCTCCACCATGACATTTATACATGTTCTTACTGGCACATCTTCTGGCATTCTATCTGACATATCTTCTGACATTCTATTTGGCATTCTATCTGGCATATCTTCTGGCATATTATCTGGCATTCTATCTGGCATATCTTCTGGCATATATTCTGACATATCTTCTGGCATTCTATCTGGCATATCTTCTGGCATTTCTTCTGGCATATCTATCTGGCATATCTTCTGGCATATTTTCTGGCATTCTATCTTCTGGCATTCTATCTGGCAAATCTTCTGGCATTCTATCTGGCATATCTTCTGGCATTCTATCTGATATATCTTCTGGCATTCTATCTGGCATTCTATCTGGCATTCTATCTGGCATATCTTCTGGCATATATTCTGACATATCTTCTGGCATTCTATCTGGCATATCTTCTGGCATATATTCTGACATATCTTCTGGCATTCTATCTGGCATTCTATCTGGCATTCTATCTGGCATATCTTCTGGAATATCTTCTGGCATATCTATCTGGCATATCTTCTGGCTCGCGGTTGAGGTCCGGCAGGGAACACTTGGCATGGATACTCGCAGATGAGGTCCGGCAGGGAACACTGGGCGTGGCTGGTCGTGGTTGAGGTCCGGCAGGGAACACTGGTGTGGCTGGTCGTGGTTGAGGTCCGGCAGAGAACACTGTGGATCGCGGGTCGCAGTTGAGCAAGGACGAGACGACAAGGACGACAAGGATGACAAGGAGGACGAGGAGGACGAGGAGGAGAGGAGGAGGAGGAGGAGGACGAGGCAGGAGGCAGGAGGCAGGAGGAGGCAACTGACATAAAATCTAACAACCCTCACCTAGCAGGTGGGGAAAAACTCACATTTATACATATAACGATAGATCTATTTATATTTATATGTGTGTATCAATATCAATAGCCATATCTATAGTCCAGTTATGTCCCTATTTTATCTCGCATCCCTTCCGAATCGCCTGGTGGAAATGCCTGGGATCCGAAGGACACCGTAGAGCAGCTGGTGCAAATGCGGATGTTCCAACCTGGCGACGCCATGCGACGCCGGGATCTGATTGGATCTGATTGGTAGCCCCAAAGTCCACCTTAAAAATGTCAAAAAAGGGCATCATCGGCCCCACTGTAGCAATCGCAAATACAGAAAATTGAACGATCAACGGGCCATCATAGTTTTATGTTTTGCAGCTAGTGAACCTTCCATAGAAGCATGGAGGACCTGTTGATGCTTTTGAACCATTGCTCTTCAGGATGGAAAGTATGAACGTTTGGCTGTTTAAAAACATGTCGAAATCACTAAGGTCACTGAGAACACACCACCAACCAACACCTCTCATATTCCATCTTATTTTGGCAAACAAATCTAGTTTGATTATAGGACACCAACCAAGACAAGAATGAACATATATAATTGATTTCGAGATGATCCCCTACTAGCCCCCGTTGGAAAAATGTCGCCATCGGCCTGGAGAGAGCCTCGACCCCACGGCTTTCGACGAAGGAGAGGATGTTGTGACCACCTTCCAAGTGGTGCACCACCACCTTTCGCAGATCCTCAGATGCCACTGACTTTCTTGAGGCTTTTGTTATCCTTAATGGTGAAAAAAATGTGTTTGGATCAACATTTTCATTGGGATTTAGCCAATGAATATGGTTTAATGTGGATGGAATGGTGGTATCATTGCCCCCATGCAACGTCAAGGTATGACAAATATTTACATGTATTACACTTATTTGTTTGGGGTGTTTTTGAAGGTAAATGTCCAATAATCAAAAATATACCATCATATACCATTTGTGGATGATCTTGGATGGAGAACCGGTGAACGTCTCAATGTGTTTGGGGTGAATAAGCCCTACATAACTATACATCCAATTTTCTTCGGTAAATTGAAGGCCTGGGAAATAGCAGAAAGGTGTAGTAAACCTCCCAACTATGAATCCTTATGGCACGGAAACACATGGAATCAACTTCAAAGCTTGAATGCCACATGCTGGCAAATTTTGTCAAGTCTCCGAAGCTGGGGAAGAAGGGTTGGTGAAGCAAGCTAGCTGAAATTCCAGTTGCCAGTGTTGTACACGAACCCCAAGCTCTATACCAAACTCCGTATAGATGGAGGATGTATATTATATTGATTTTAGATGTTTTAGTTTTAATCGAAATCTAATAGTGGGTTTCCCATCACCATGTTTGATTACCAGAGGGTGGACACCATAAAAGTTCACTGCTTGGGGGAGCCTGGTCCTTCGTAGCGGCTATATCCAGCTGTTTGCTGCAACTGGATCCTGCAGGAACCATCCGTTTGGAAGCCTCATGAATCCTCCCACCATCTGTCCATGTTACATGCCTGAAATCCCTTAGGAAACTTGCATGGACCGTCATGGACCCCAGCAATGGTCCAAGTCCGGAAAATCATCTCTCCACACATTGCCAGCATCCAATTCTTGGGTTCAATGTTAATCCCCTCTCCGTAATATCAAGAATACAATAATTGCCCCATATTGCCCCCAGGCTCAAAACATTGCTTGGGCATTGGATCTTTTCATGCTGGGTCCCCAGCATTATATACTTGGATGTTCATCCACGCGGGTAATCCATCGTTTAAAGACCCCATATTATGACCGGGGATATCCGTTAACTAAAATTAGTATCACTATGTAACACTTTTCGACAATGATTCATTGTTTCCATCCGAAGAAAATATTAAGTCATCCAGGATCATTATACCGAACATGCGTGGATTTAAGCATGTAGTTCAAACATGAAGCCAGTATAATTACTCGGTTTTGGTAGATAACCCCCCATCGGGGGAAAAAACTCAAAAGCCCGTCCCCCCACAACGCACGAGTCGCGTTGAGCACCGAGCGTGTGAGACGGGAAAAGTCGCAACTCTGCAGTGTGGCCAGTAGCTCAGTCACCGCGTGTTCCACCGCATCCTCAAAGGCAGCGAGGCGAAAAATGCTGGATTTACCAGCAGAAATTGTCAGAAATGGTGGATTTAACAGCACAAAAATTAGGGATGTAACAACACAATTCATGGAGTCAACAACTACATCGCGGGAAAGGGAAACGCAAACGCTCCCCATCGCAGGGTGAATCTTTAATTGCGGTAGGGTGTAGCCATATTCCCTCACACACATGAAGTGTCACTTTGCATGGCTACCCTCGAGCATCTTATTCATCCATTTATGGTGGAAAAAAAAGATGCTCCAAGGTTTCCCGTGAGAGATACCCCAGTCTATAGCCATCAAATGATAGGGAAACATCTGAACCATCAAATTCGGAGCTTTCCCCTGGCTTTCCCATATATCCAATCCACACAAATTCCCCGCTTTCCCCTGGTTTTCCGGCTTTCCCGGGTTTTCCCAAAAATTGGTGAAAAAGAAAAAGAACCCATAGGCAACCCATTTTTGAATAGAAAATCATCTGACATTCGCATTGGGCCAACTGGCAACCTACAACCTGCACTCGCCACGGTGCGTTGCGGATGTTGCCACTTTCCCGCTGTCGTTGCATGGCCTCACTACGGACCATCAAGTCCAGGATCCGCTGATGCGTGCTATCAACCTGAGCTTGGTGCATGGCATGGCTGCGTACCCTCCAATTGTTTGCTCATTTCTTCACAAGATATGACATGCACCCGAATTCATGTTTGGGTTGTTGTGTTCTTTTCATCCTATAGTTGATCATGATGTTCACACTTTAAAAAACATCTAATGCTATGTTGGAATTTTGGGATGTCTGTTCTAGTAATTCGGTATCGCAAGCATTTTCGGACAAACCCATTCCAACAAAACATGGAAAAAGGAACATATCCCATAGGATCCATGTATGGTAAATATGCTAACATTTGGGGTTTTTGTTGATGGTAAATGTTAAACCATGGGTATTGGTTTCAACCATGGCCCGATGACAGACCCACGACATGCGCAGCAAGCCGCGATCAACGAACTCACATCGCTGGTGCTGGCTGAGCGCGCACCGATGTCGAACCTTGGTGGATGTGGAAATTCAGCGCTACAAACGGTTGTGACCCACAGCAATCCCCAAAAAGATAGCATCTGGTTGGTAAATTTCATAAAGAGACTTCGCGGGTGTACTTTATTTTCCGCCTCGTACTTTATTTTTTTGAAGGCCGCCCAAAATAAAATTCAAGTCTAGGGAGCTAGGACCCTTTTAGACGACAGAATTCGCTGTTCGGCGCTGATTTGAAACGAACCCTATTCTTGCGGGCTGTGGGCTTTAATGATGGACGGCGAATATCCGCAAAGATGGTGTTGCTGTTTGTTTCATAAACCTCGCGATCCAAAAGTCATGGACTTGATCGCTAGCGATGCCGGGGCGATCTGGGAAGCCTTTAGTAAACGTGTCATCAATACATTCAACAAGAAGAGTTTGCAACAAATATGAATGGGAGCAATTGGAAGACTTGATTTCAAGTTAAAAATGTTTGTGGTAGCTGCCCTAGCCAGGCTGTTTTTTTGAAAAAAACATGGCGCCTAGCTCCTCTTGTCAACCTCTAGGAAAACAAATCTGAAACCTAGAATAACCTAGATATTCATTCTGTGGCCAGAGAAACCTGTGGACTATCTTGAACAGACAATTACCACGCAGATCCCTTTCTATATTTTTCAGTTAAAAAAAAGATTTAAAACATAAACGTGACAGCGCGTCCAGAAACTCTGTATGCTCAGGACTCCTCATGAGATAGACAACCGGAAAACGCTTTCAAGGTTCTGCAGTTTAAAGCGCCCCCCTAAGAGTTTCAGCATCAAAACTTTCTACTCTTGCAAAAGGTTAGGTGTTGAACCTCACACTCACACATGGGCATTTTTTTCATTGCTGCACACCGACAGTAGCACGATCCCAGCCGTTCTGCTTCGTTAGTCATGCCTTGGCTTTGGTTTTGCACCTTCTATATAATTCTACTTTGATATCAACATGCGCCATATGTGAACGTTAAAAATAAAAAATAAAAATAATCGGTTCACAATTGAAAGCCTCGTCAACTGGAAAAGTATGCGCAGCACTACAGCCTTGTGAGTACATCCTGAAGACTCAGAGCACACTGCCAGAAAAAAAAACAAAACAGCGCGCACACACACACATACACATGCGGAGCCTTGTTCACTGTTTCAGAACGTAATTTTATCAACACTATGGTTTTACTCTCTCAAACATGACAACATTCTAGGTGCCTTGCGCACGAACACATGACCTTCGCGGGTGTACTTTATTTTCTGCCTCGTACTTTATTTTTTGAAGGCCCCCAAAATAAAATTCAAGTCTAGGGAGCTAGGACCTTTTTAGACGACAGAATTCGCTTTTCAGTGCTGAATTTAAACGAACCCTATTCTTGCGGGCTGTGGGCTTTAATGATGGACGGCGAATATCCGCAAAGATGGTGTTGTTTTTTGTTTCAAAAACCTCGCGATCCATAAGTCATGGACTTGATCGCTAGCGATGCTGGGGCGATCTGGGAAGCCTTTAGTAAACGTGTCATCAAGACATTCAACAAGAAGAGTTTGCAACAAATATGAATGGGAGCAATTGGAAGACTTGATTTCAAGTTAAAAATGTTTGTGGCAGCTGCCCTAGCCAGACTTTTTGCGTGAAAAAAACATGGCGCCTAACTCCTCTTGTCAGCAAACCAAATCTGAAACCTTATGCATATGAGGAGAGCCAGTATCACTGTCATTCTGTGTCATTCTGTGGCCAGCAAAACCAGTGGGCTATCTTAAACAAATACCACGGCAGATTCCTTCACATATTCTTCAGTTAACAAGTAGGAGTTAAACATAAACATGAAAGCGCGTCCAGAAATTCTGTATGTCCAGGACGCCTCATGAAGTTATCAATCACTTCAGGGACAGCATCTTGAGTTTTTCAAAGTGTTTGGCTGTAAAATGCACAGCAAGCGGAAAAAATAAAGTACACGGCTCAAAATTTTGAGCCTTGTACTTTATTTTGGGTCTTGTACTTTATTTTTTGGGATAGCAGATTTTGCACCAAACCCTTGAAATTTATGGTGTTGACACAAAATCTAGCAGCAACATGGATAAGGTACGGGTGTACCTTAAGCATTTTGCGTGCAGATTTCAGTAAAACACCTGCTTTTTTAAGTGTTTAGCACAAAATCTGCTATCCCCAAAAATACAAGACAAGGCCCAAAAATAAAGCACAAGGCTCAAAATTTTGAGCCTTGTACTTTATTTTTTGCCTTGAACTTTATTGATTCTTATCCTGTAAGATGGCTCTGGCGTGACCCTCCAATCAAAAGCACACCGGTTCTTTGCTTTTCAACATCTGGCACGCATCGCACGCTAGTTAAAAGCTACAGGCACATAGCGCCAGCAAAAAGATTCCAGATTCATACTTTCACTTTGCTACTTTAAAGAGTAAAGTACCACCCCAAGGCTTAGCACCGCCATATGTTCTGAAGACTTGTACCCGGAACCTTGGAGGGTCGTGGCATGGACGGTGTGGCTGCTGTCAGGAACCCAATTTTCTTGCTGAACCCCAAAAAACGGTCCAACGACAACTTGATGCGCGCTCTTAACCTTTGAACGCTACAGTCCAAGCTTGGAGGCTGTACAATGAACCATGATGAAGGTTGAAAGATGCACTGGCGAATTTTGGTACGAAGTCCATTTTGTTGTGAGACCGTGTAGGCCCAGAAGACTGCGCTATATGAAAATGTGCCACTATCTATCTATCTATCTATCTCTCTCTCTCTCCATCGCCATTTTGCCACTGTGTCCATGGATTTTTTCTTTCCATAGTCATGACCACCTTGCATCCCTATTTCAAGCTTTTTAGGGAGATAACTCTACTCAAGGGTTCAGCATTGCCAAAAGGACATTTTCTCACAAAGGCATGAAGAGAAAATGATGGAAAGACTGCAAAAATCGTACTCCACCTTTCTATCCATATGTGTTTCCAACTCTAGATGCACTGCCAGTTTTGGCCGAAAGACAGTGCTTCTGATGGTTTGTGACCCAGAAGGTGGCAGATAACTCTGCAAGGCAGACTTCAAGAAATAAAGTGCAAAGCTCAAACGTTTGAGGGTTGTACTTCATTTTCTACGCTTGTACTTCGAGCCCTGCAGTTTGAGTTTTGTGGCCACGCCTTCGCTTTTCTAGGGCTTCGCCGCGACACATATTCTGGCATTGTAGTATGATCTGACGTGGTCTAAAGCTGCTTGTTTTGGTCTATCTGAGTTTTGAGGGCCGCATTCTGGTTTGGAGCGTTGTCTGTTGAATTTCGCGCTGTAATGGCTAGCTTGCATCTTGCTACACCCGGCTTTAGAGCGCAGAGCCACAATGCTGATGCTTATGCTAGCAATTCTTGGGTTGAACAGTCTTGCAAGAACACCATTCTTGAGATTCAGTTTCAAGGTGGGAAGTTTGGAAGGATCATACATCATTGTTTTCACGTGACTGGTCGTAAGCTGGATTTGTTGACGGGCGTTTCTTTCTGAGCTTCAATTGTTGGGACTGCATGTTGGTTTCAAGGGCTGCTGGGTTGCCATGTGTAGTCTAGAATGTGGATGTCAACTTATGTGAAACCGTTTCTTGATTGAAAAGCAGATTTCACACCTCCATAGTACGACCAGCCTAACTTTCAGATATGTGCGCTTTACCTTTGAACGCTGCAGTCCAACCTTGGAGTGTAAACTATGCTGTGTTGTGGTGCATTTGGGCACTAAACCAATTTTACTGTGCAAACCAAGAATTTTGCTGATGCCATTGATTTTTGGATGTCTGCACTACATCAAGTTTTGCCACCCTGTCCCTGAAGTGTAATTCTTTCCAAAGTGATGATCCTGCTGCATTCAGATTTCAGTCTTTTTTAGGGACATCACTTGACTCGAGGTTCCGCCCCTCCAAGCGTTGCCAGAAGACTATTCTTTTCACAAAGACATGAACAGCAGATAAGGTACAAGGCTTCTGTTAAGGTACGGCATTTGTGAAATTTAGCACATCTGGTTGTTTAAAATAGCGGAAAATGAACCATTTATGGTTGATTTACCTATCTATATATATATATATAATTATATATATATATATGTATGTATGTGTGTGTGTACCTCCTGAATTTGGTGTTTTTCCGTAGCTATGTTAAATTCCCATAGGGATCCATGGGGTAGCTAAAACGTTTCTATCTTTTTGGTTCCTATAGTCCCGAAAAACCATGGGTGACCCAAACCTGACGCAGCTGCATCTGACAAAGCGCGTCGCGGCGCGCGCAGCAAAGAGATCTTCAAGTTGATTCTGAGGAAGCTCCGGAATGGGCACCACATCAGCAGCATTGAAGACCTAGGGAGTGGCTGAACGCGACTGGGTTGTTGAACCATGAAGCCCAAATGTACGATGATAATTGAATACACCTGGATCTTCAAACGGGTAGTATGTTTTGCTCTTTTGGAACGTTGATACATCTTGTGTCAAACAGACAAATCTCGGAGAAGCTAGCCACATGTCCTGATTTGCCACTGCCAAATGCTACAGATTTATTGATGTCTGGTCGGTTTAGCCGGTTCAGCCATTCGTTCCTACATGTTCCCACAATTACCGGCAAGCTCACTCTGGGTGATCCAAATTGTGTCAAAGGATGATAGTCCTGATGGACGTTAATGGGTCTCGTATTTTGAACCACTTGCCAGCCTGATGTCAATGGAGCCCTTCGTTTTATGGTTTTCACATCCTACAAAGGTCCTACAAAGATATATGATCAAAAAGCACCAGGCAGTTTTCACCGCAAAACTGGAGCAAAAAACGCGGAAACGGGCACACATATCCGCAAAAGGGAGCAAATTAGGAAGAGTTTATTTCCTACAGTTTGGAATTTTTGTGTCGCGGCCCTAACAATGGGTTCTACTCTTTGGGTGGGCTTTTGCAAGTCCTTCTGCAAAAGGTTTTCTGTTCCGAATTGGAACTTAGAGTGACACGACCTAACAAGCTGACAATCTAAAAATTGCTGGCTGGACGCGAGCACGCAAGGTCCAGGGAACTCAGGTCAGTTTATTCATTCTGCATTTTTGTGTGAATTAAAACAAATACAGTATATATCGATGTTCTGTTCAATTATGTTCATTATATGTAGGTATCCAGTATACATAAAGATTAGATATGTTCCCAACATTTCCCAACCATGGAAACAGGCGTAGTCAGCTCGGCTAAAGCCTGAATCAACCCTGGGAACTTTAAAATCAATCGTGGATCTGGGAGGGAGCAATAGATTCTTATCATTGACGGTCCATTTGTAGCATATGACCGACCAACCATGCGCTTTTTCGACACAACTTTGACCCATGGAACTCTATGATTACCAAATTGCACATGTAATGCACCGCCATAAATATTATCGAACATCAAACGCATAATACAATATAGTACGTTAGTTATAATGAATATAAACTAATAAAATAAATATATATTATATAGAATATTACAATAATATATATATATATATATATACATTAAATAAACAACTATTCCAACATATAATATAATAAAATAAGATATAACAAAATGATATATTACAATTACAATGCAGTGGCAAGTTTCCACAACAAACCAGGCACAGACTCAACTCCCTCCATTCTCATCTTCCCGTGCCAGGGACTGTTTTCCTCCGTCGTCTGGACGGCGTCTGCTTGGGGTCACGCTCGGCCTCACGCTCGGCGTCATGACGTTCAGCCTGTGGCGGTGGCCCTACAAACAGCGGATCTTACAAAGACGGAAGTAGACAACCAACCATTTTATGGGATAGAATGAGGATATATGAGGATATATTAGGATATATATATAATGGCATTGGGATAAGCCGCTTTGAAAGGTGACCCGTGACCCCCCCAAGGATCGTTTATTGAAGGCGAATCATGTCCGGGCGACTCTTAGCCACCAGCAACCACGATTTTAAGGGCACCGGGGTGCGGTGAAGCGGTTGAATCCCCATGAAATGTGGGACTGCAAGAAAGGGATGCCTAGATCCGTAGGACGGTTCATAACTGGCTACGTAACTAGAGTTTATGCTGGCAAATGCTGACAATATCTGCAGTTGGCTGGATTTGCAAACCGACTTACAACTGTACCCGACTTTGCATCTGAGATTCCAGAAAGACTGAGGATGGAAAGTCAACATCAGTGGGATTATCCCTGAAACATCCTGGACGCCAAATGAGAGGCGGTTCCTTGGATGAATAAGCCCCTGAATTTTTGAACACAACATGGGAATAGATCCCATTTCGCCACACATTTTGCCAACCATCACTGGGATGATCCTGGAAGTTCATTGGATCGCTAGGAACTGGGGGGCGAGGTTTGGCTCCAGATCTCAACCCTCCATGGCTACGAACCCCAGGTACCGGCTCTGCGGTTCCTCGTTCAATGTGGTGGGCCACGGCAGGCCCACATAGCAATTATGATATAATAGGTAACTAGTGACTTTGTAAACAACCTCAACAAGCATGTTCATGAGATGTCCCAAAAAATGAAGTGCTCTGCAGGGTGTTGTGCAGAGTGCAGTGGCGAAGTCTGGCAAAGGTGCTGTGCAGGGTGCTGTGCAGGGTGCTGTGCAGGGTGTTGTACTAGTGCGGTGGCGAAGTCTTGCAAAGGTGCTGTGCAGGGTGCTGTGCAGAGTGCTGTTCAGACTGCAGTGGCGAAAAGCAATCTATTCCCATAGGCCACAAACGGCGGACTTATACCAATGGGAAGGTGCGAGAGATGGCGCCACTTGGACGTAGCCTCCTACAGCTTATGGCCCTTTCGTGGGCCCCCCAAGGACTTCCCAGCGAAAACAGTCGGAAGGGCCTCCACTGCACCGGCGCGGCCCTCGAAACTCTGAATGCTTTGCCTCGCTGGGCGGCTGAAGGCAGCAGGGATGTGGTTCAATCCTATTGGTTTCCCCCAAGTTGGGAATCAAACACTTGGGTATGTGTATGGGTTTAATTTATGAAACTATTTGGGGGATGAGCACGGAGGAACATCCATTTGCCAACTATTTTGGAGTTCACCAGGTGGCCAGCGGTTTGACTTGCTATTCAGGGTATTGAGATTCAGGGTATTGAGATTCAATAAGGACTTTAAATTTTCCCACGCATGGATCCAGGATCCAGTTATACAGTAGAATCATCGAATCCATGCCCAACCTATCCCAACCTTAAGAACATAGTTTCTCGTTGCTAAATATTGAAGTTCCCATCCAAGGGTTGACCGAACAGTTGACCCAGAACCGATCGTATCGCTTCAGTTGGCCATTATCATTCGTCTTTTTTGGTACCCAAAAAACTGGATGTTTTGGCGGGAAAAAATGGAGGGGTGGGTTGGTAGCATCTACCTCTTGGTTGTCCAAACGGGTTGCCGACCTCTAAAACAAATATAAACAAATATAATTAAAAACACTAAAAACACACACATATGTATATATATATGAATATATATATATATATACACATTTATGTTGTCGATATATATATATATGCCTAATAAACAAATATAAATATAAATAAACATATAAATAATAAATATAATATAAATATAAATAAAACCAAATCAACAAAAAAATATAACAAAAATAATAAATAAACAAATGACATATATATATATATACATATCTATATGTATATTATATGTTCTGTGTGCGTGCGAAGTCAGCAAACAGCGAGGAAAGGAACGTAGTATAACGTAGTTATGTTTTTTGGTTTCCACTTCGAGGACCTGGTTATCATTATCATCGGTACCCGTACAGTTCAGTTCTTTGCGCCGGACATGAGGTGCAAAACACACTGCGCCCAAGACAAACTGAAGCGACAGGGATTGAAACTTTACAATGCGACGCCTCACTTTTTTGATACAATGCAAAAAAAACACATTGCACAGCACTGAGGGTAAACCAATAATAAACCCATTTGGGACTGGTTACCAACTTATGGTGACTGGGGGATATTTTTTATATCCAGGCACCATCCACCGTCAGGCGCCCGTGCCTCATTCGCTCAGCACGATCCATCCCCCACCTGCGGCAGAACGACATGCGTGGTCCACGAGTGGTGTGAAGATCCGCGTCGTGTGGAAATCATGTGTGGTGTACGCAGCACATGTTGGCAAACAAATCAATGTACGTAACATATGTAACTAGGCAATGGTAGACATATAAGAAATCATCTTGCACTCATGCCAATGCATACTGCAATTACCTTCCAATATCTTATCGTACATTTCCATTCTCAAAGCACCATAGTCAGTGAAACTGTTGGCTGTCCATGAACCATTGTGCTATTTAACAGAAAGGGACGCTCTCAGTCCCCACGTCTGGATGGATGAGGTAAAGATAAATATAAAAAGTTCTAAGTAAAACAATGCTAAATATATGGAATTTGTAAAAATGAATATATAGTGTTACTAAAAACATGATTGAAGGACACTTGGCCAGAACCAAATCTCACAGGCAAGGGTGAGCCACCCAGAGGCCAACCATTTTTTTGGGGGGGGGCTGACCCCCCCCCCACCGAGAGATGGACTGTTTAGGAACTATGCAACAAAAAGACCTTTAACAGAAATGATCTGGAGAGAGATACGAAACATTCATCATCCATAGGTTATAGCTCAGGCTATAGCTCATCTTGCATGATAACTTCCTGCCACGCCAAACTGTTTCTTGCTAGTGCGTACGCTTGTCCACTGCGTTTGCAAAAGCCCTTCAAACAAAATTATCAAGACACATCAGGTAACCATATTAGATAACCACAAAAAACAAGAACAACAGCAAGAAAGAAGAACAAGAAGAGAACACAAACATAGACTGTTAGGAACTATGCAACAAAAAGACCTTTAACAGAAATGATCTGGAGAGAGATACGAAACATTAATCATCCATCAGGTTATAGCTCAGGCTATAGCTCATCTTGCATGATAACTTCCTGCTACGCCAAACTGTTTCTTGCTAGTGTGTACGCTTGTCCACTGCGTTTGCAAAAGCCCTTCAAACAAAATTATCAAGACAAATCAGGTAACCATATTAGATAACCACAAAAAACAAGAACAACAGCAAGACAGAAGAACAAGAAGAGAACACAAACATAAAAGGACCCACGACAAGAAAAAAAGGAGAACAAGAAGAAAAGGGACAAGAAGAACAAGATGAAAAACAACAACATCTAGGTGGCCTCTGGGCCATCTTGTTTCTTACAATGTCATCTGTCTCTAGGTGGCTCTCTGGGCCATCATATTTGCAACCATAACAAGATGAAGGACAACAACATCTAGGTGGCGCTCTGGGCCATCTTGTTTCTTACAATGTCATCTGTCTCTAGGCGGCTCTCTGGGCCATCTTGTTTCTTACAATGTCATCTGTCTCTAGGTGGCTCTCTGGGCCATCTTGTCTGTTGCAATGTCATCTGTCTCTAGGTGGCTCTCTGGGCCATCTTGTCTGTTGCAATGTCATCTGTCTCTAGTTGGCTCTCTGGGCCATCATATTTGCAACCATAACAAGATGAAGGACAACAACATCTAGGTGGCGCTCTGGGCCATCTTGTTTCTTACAATGTCATCTGTCTCTAGGCGGCTCTCTGGGCCATCTTGTTTCTTACAATGTCATCTGTCTCTAGGTGGCTCTCTGGGCCATCTTGTCTGTTGCAATGTCATCTGTCTCTAGGTGGCTCTCTGGGCCATCTTGTCTGTTACAATGTCATCTGTCTCCAGGTGGCTCTCTGGGCCATCTTGCTTGCTACACACTGACCTGTACCTCGGTGGCTCTCTGGGCCATCGTGTCTACAGCCTCATCCTTGTCTGCTACACATTCATGTGTACCTAGGTGGCTCTCTGGGCCATCTTGTCTGTTGCAATGTCATCTGTCTCTAGGTGGCTCTCTGGCCCATGATGTTCGCAACCATACCAAGATGAAGAACAACAACATCTAGGTGGCTCTCTGGGCCATCTTGTTTCTTACAATGTCATCTGTCTCTAGGTGGCTCTCTGGGCCATCTTGTTTCTTACAATGTCATCTGTCTCTAGGTGGCTCTCTGGGCCATCTTGTCTGTTGCAATGTCATCTGTCTCTAGGTGGCTCTCTGGGCCATCTTGTCTGTTACAATGTCATCTGTCTCCAGGTGGCTCTCTCGGCCATCTTGCTTGCTACACACTGACCTGTACCTCGGTGGCTCTCTGGGCCATCGTGTCTACAGCCTCATCCTTGTCTGCTACACATTCATGTGTACCTAGGTGGCTCTCTGGGCCATCTTGTCTGTTGCAATGTCATCTGTCTCTAGGTGGCTCTCTGGCCCATCATGTTCGCAACCATACCAAGATGAAGAACAACAACATCTAGGTGGCTCTCTGGGCCATCTTGTTTCTTACAATGTCATCTGTCTCTAGGTGGCTCTCTGGGCCATCTTGTCTGTTGCAATGTCATCTGTCTCTAGGTGGCTCTCTGGGCCATCTTGTCTGTTACAATGTCATCTGTCTCCAGGTGGCTCTCTGGGCCATCTTGCTTGCTACACACTCATCTGTACCTCGGTGGCTCTCTGGGCCATCTTGCCTACAGCCTCATGCTTGTTTACTACACATTCATGTGTACCTAGGTGGCTCTCTGGGCCATCTTGTCTGCTGAAAAGGTCATTTGTCTCTAGGTGGCTCTCTGGGCCATCATGTTTGCAACCATAACAAGATGAATTTAACAAAATAAGGATCACTATGCATATATTACATAAGGTCAAACATGAAGTTACAATATCTATACAAAACCAATAAATAGAATTATACTCATGATGCTATAATTGATTGCTATACTCCATACAATATATTATCAATATGAATACAAATATTGTTTAAATAACTTTAATTATAACTTTAAGACTGTTCATACTTTATGTAAAGTTGATGAAAGTATAATAAACTTTTGTAATATCTAGGACTAGAAACTTAATAGAAGAAATATGAATAAAGTAAGTAATAAAACATAGTAAAAACAGCTAAAAATCACATAAAAACTGGGGACCCACAGCGTCCCGCACTCCAGATTAAAATACGTTGCACCGGCCTCTCCATCATGGTGGACATGCACTGCAAGTACCTGCCACGGAGAGCGCGGCAAGAAATGTAGGATTTGGGGCTGGTGGCAACCAGAAGTGCTATCGACGTGCAATCTCGGAATACAATGGGGTTATATTAGAAGAAACAGTAAAATAGAATCGAAAACAAAAAGTATTGTTGTTTGCTCCAAAAAACAGAAATTCCTGAAACAGCAGTATTTTTTACACACAATTGAGTTCTCAGGTCAGTGTTGGGGCATCCCCTAATGACAAGCCGCTACCCCGCAACCAAGTGGCCCGTCTTTGCCAACAAAGATTTCGGTCTCCTGCCACGACCCCATTGGAATCAGGGTTGGAACTGACAATACCCAACACTGACCACACACACATGTATACATATATGTATGTATTACACGTATGTATCATGCACTTTTGTGTGTGATAGATATAAAGAAACATATTATGTGTAGGTATGCAAATTTGTGTATGTGCATGTCTGTGTGTCTGTCTGTCTATCTTTATGTATCTATGTCGCTGGATAAGTATGCATCTATATAGAACCAGATGTGTTTTGTCAAATCATTTGTCATTTCATGTGCTTGTTTCTTAATGACAAGCATGCTGCATTGAACAGAACATCCATTCAATCTGATACCCTCTCAGTATTCAACCTAGCATTGGAACGTAATCATTCTTAGTAGGCAAATATCTTAAAACATAAACTGACCATGTTCCATGGCTATGTTAAGTAACCAGAGAATGTTCCGCCAAAAACTCATCTGCAGTTATTAATCATAATGCGAAACCATATTCCTTACACATTTTTTCTACTTGAAGTGCCCCCTCCACAAAACAAAACAACACACACACACTCACATGCACACACAACTATTTTTCCTTTTGTTTCATGCGTTTAAACTAAAAACTACTTCTGGTTGGTGGTTTCAACCCCCCTGAAAAAATATTAGTCAGTTGGGTTGATTATTCCCAATATATGCAAACATAAAATTCATGTTCCAAACCACCAACCAGACTTATACTAAACTTTGACAACATGCCAATTTTCCGGGCATGAAATGACATGAAATGACCGCTTCCCCGGTCCAGGTAAAACAAAAACCAGTTGGGATCATCCCAGTCCCAAGGGGGGTCCTTTGGTCCTTCGCAGGGTCACAAATATCTCACTCCGTGTAAATTACATTGAATATATAACCAACTACATTTGATACAAGCCTTATAATGACCATTAGACAACTCAGATATATATATATATATACATATATATATATATATACATATTACATGTAATATAACCAACTTCATTTGATTTGTTATAAGCCCTGTAGCCTATAAACATTAGATATACAGAAAGGAGCGCTGTGAGCCCGTGAGCTACATATATCCCCAACAAATATTAAATATACAACTAACTTACCTGGTTGGTGGTTTCAACCCCTCTGAAAAATATTAGTCGGTTGGGATTATTATTCCCATATATGGAAAATAAAAAATGTTCCAAAGCACCAACCAGCAAAAAATCTAGCGATTCGAGTTATAAAGCAAAGTTGCCTAACCACCTGGACCACTGCACAAAAATCGGTCGCGAAATCGTGACCTCGGGAGGAGCTTGGGAGGCACGCCAGTGGAGGTTCACCAGCCGACTTGAGGTGCCATCCTGCATCGCTGGGGGCAAAAGGAATGTGAGATCTATCTGAATCTATCTTTAGATGAACACACACACACATATATATATATATACATATAATTATATAATGTTCAAATACTTTCCAAATTGCAAATAGATAATCTTAGTTATATATATATAGTTTTCTTAGCAAATTCTATCCTACCTGGTGCGTAGCAGGGACTGGGGGAATGGGATTGGTAGATAGTTCTTTTAGATCATTATCCCATTCCCTAAGCAGCAGCAAATCTATCTCCAGGAGTTTGCAAGAATCTATCCTTTTAGGAAACGTATAATTACAATAGATGCCTATAGAAGTGATGGACTGCTCCGCGGGATATGGAATCCACCAAGGGAAGTTCGAACCTCACGCTCCGTCTCTTCGTCTGGTGCCTGTAGGCACTCATGACCGGGTGGCCTTGGGTTGGTGAACTATGCCTATTATGGGTTAATGTCAACCCTGAATTAAGAAACAATGGTTCATTAATTAGGGGAAGTGCTCCCCAAATAGTGGTAATCTAATACTCAAATGGTACCTCCCCAGTCAAACAGCCTCAGGGTTTATGAAGCCAGAGTTGATTTTTAGAAATTCCATGAAATTAACCATTTGTTCAACAACACTCGATGACCAAGCAGCAAGGGTACTGTATGTAATGGCTCAATTGATTGTGTGACCGTTAATCTTTCATTTTGCCTCTAAGACAGGGCTGACAGGCTCAAAGAACCACAAGCACCGAGTGGGCATCATCATCCAAAGAAGTTGCTGTACGCGTACCAAGATTTTCTGAAAACAACCAGCAAATCAGCAAGCAATATAACCCAGCACAACTCACCGATTATGGTGGGTTCTGTCCCACTCTTCTTCCTTGACCCCAGCAATGTTTTGGCTCGTGAAACACGAAGTGCAAGCTGCAAATTACTATATAAGCTGTTCCCTGGCCCTGTGCGATTTAGCAAATCGAGGAAACGGATGGAAACGGCGCTTGTCCCCTTGTTCTCTGCCAGTGCGGAATCCAAAATCCCCCTAGAAAGAATTACTTTACTTCGTGTGATCCCCACCATGACATCTATACATTTTGTTACTGGCACTCTAACTGGCATATCTTCTGGCATATGTTCTGGCATATCTTCTGGCATTCTATCTGGCATATCTTCTGGCATATCTTCTGACATCCTATCTGGCATTCTATCTGGCAAATCTTTCGGCATTCTATCTGGCAAACATTCTGGCACTTTATCTGGCATACCTTCTGGCATTCTATCTGGCATATCTTCTGGCATTCTATCTGGCATATCTTCTAGCATATTATCTGGCATTCTATCTGACATGCTATCTGGCGTCTTATCTGGCATATCTTCTGGCATTCTATCTGGCATATCTTCTGGCATTCGATCTGGCATATCTTCTGACATTCTATCTGGCATATCTTCTGGCATTCTATCTGGCCGTTGAGGTCCAGTGCACACTGAGCTGGGAAGGTCCCAGGTTGAGGTCCAGCGGTGCACACTGAGCTCGGAAGGTCCCAGTCCCAGGTTGAGGTCCAGCAGTGCACACTGAGCTGGGAAGGTCCCAGGTTGAGGTCCAGCAGTGCACACTGAGCTCGGCGGCGCAAGTGAGCTGGGCAGTTGGCAAAAAGCTTGGCCAAGAGTTGGCAAGGCGGAAGTTGAGGTGGAAGTTGATGCAGACATGGTCGAGGAGAAACTGGAGGAGGAGGCAGAGGAGGCGGAGGAGGAGGAGGAGGCGCAGGAGGAGAAGAGGGAGGAAGAGGAGAGCTAGTCGAGGAGGAAGAGAACAGCTCTGATAAAATCTAACAACCCTCACCTGGCAGGTGGGGAAATAACACCTTTACACAAGAAATTGGGGCGCAATAGTGGGTTGGTTTTGTGTACTTTAGATGTTTCAGTATCAAACCATCCATTTTCTTCAGGGTCTTTCTCCACCCCGGTGCCCCCTCAATGCCTGTGCTCGAACCTTGGCCTGGCGGCAGCAGCCGCGACAGGTGAGTGTGCCCATTGCCGACTACAGTAGTAGATTGGTTGACAGGTGGGTAGACACATGGTTTGAGGTAAAATGCAATATTGTATATATACAGTACTGGTATCTCGGATTTATCAAAATAATTCAAAGCTTCAGGCGTTTGATGATCCTTCCGTTTTCTTAAGTAGCCACAAATCCCACCAGACTGTGCAGGCTACAATCTACTATGTCAGCGCGGCACGTGCTGGTAACAATATGCACCACAATTCTGGGCCGTTTATGGCAAGAAGGAACTAACTGTTGGCTTACACTCTCCCCGATGGAAAGTAAGCTTCAACACGCGCTCATCAATTGCTGGTTGCTTGGCGGCTTGGTGGCGATTCCAAATCCCAAGTTCTAAACTATCAAGCCCTATGTTTCACCGTTCTGATTGATTTCACCACCACTAAACTCATCAAACATCATCAAGCCACATGTCAGCATCATTAAACTAAACCACATTTGTCACCTTTTGTGTTGGTTTCACCACCATTCATTTCTATGTTGGTGAAATTTCTTGACTTAGACTTAAACAATATATTCCACCATCATTATACATACATTCTCAACCAGGCAATGGTTTCACCAGCTATTTCAAACGCATTCTACCAAAATAAGATCACCTAAGTCAATGGTTTAAGGACCACCAACCAACAACCATTCTACAAAAAACATGGTAGGACATGGTAATATGGTAGTAACGGCAAACAACCCCAAAGAGTTGGGATATCACCCGATAAACCACCGGAAAACCACCGCTAACTATATGTCATAAAAATTCATGAAAAATCACCATCAATCACCATAAAATCCCATGACATCCTCATGAATCACAATAAAATCACATTAAATCACCATAGAATCCCATGAAATCCTCATTAATCACCATCAAATTCCATTATATCACTATAAAAACCCATAACATCACCATAAAAACCATAAACCATGGAACCACCAGCCGTACGCCGCCATGCTGTGCCCGCCGTGCCTTCGGCGCCGGCTTCGCTTTGGGCGGTGGCGGCTTGGGCAACGAGCTGCGCGAGGTGCGGCCCGGGCAGGCCGCCATGGCCTGGACGACAGACATATCGATATACAGCAGTTGTATTTATATAGGGCCTATAGGGTAGGTGCCAAAATTATAGAACGGAAGTTGAGGAGTACGAAGGTACGGTTATTTACCGTACCCTGTTGTTCCATAATTCTATTTTCCTCGGAAGGTATGAAAAAAACTTATCTCAACTTACTCCTATTGTTTTCATCGTTCTATAATTCTGGTTTGTTCTATAATTGTGTGTTCCCCCATTTTTGCCACATTTACCAGTTTTGTTCTATAATTATTTTTCCGTTCTATAACTAATTTTGCGCAAACCCTTCTATAATTATTTGCTGTATGCAAATATGCAATAGATATCATGCCAGTGCCAGAAATTAAAGAACAGAAAAATATAGGAAAAAATATGGATCAGAAAACATAATTATAGAACAGGATCCGAATCCGCGCGGAATCGGGATCCGGAGGAGTACGAAGGTACGGTATTTTACCGTACTTTTGTACTCCTAATTTCGTTCTATAATTCTGGCACCTCCTGTAACCATATCTGTGATGTATCCTGATATTTATATACATATAAAGCATAAATAAAAATAGATATTTATAAATATATGGCAAACATATATATCTATATATATGTGTGTGTGTCTGTGTGTGTGAGATTTATTATAAACTATTGGTATCCCATGAACGTATAAATGATAATGCATGATGGATATGCAAGAACCAACTCATACCGCCAACAGCCCCTGGATTCCAAGGGGATCAAAAGTAACCACGCCAAGCGGCTTTTGCTTTGGGTGCGATGTCCGCGCTGGCATCTTTCCTTAATCGCGGACAAATGATGACCTAGACAATAGGGTAGCTGGTGCCAACTTTCCCTTCAACAGGAGGTGGCAAATGGGCACTACTGATTTGGAAATTGGTCAGCCATCGCAACAAATACCGTGCTGACAAGGAATTTCAGACTCCCGAATAAACAATGGTTTCTTTTTATTGAACTCACTCTTGGCACAAGCACGCACGCCCGCAAACTTGCACAAGTGACCAAACCAACAAAATCGACTTCATAAAACCCAAAAACACGTTTGAAGAAGACTGAAAATAAAAGAAGATATCCAAACATGCCTGTTTATGCTATATACAGTAGGTAGACTATGTTCAAGCCAGTCTTGTTCACTACGAGTGCATGTTGAGCACATTCCGTGTGGTCAGTGCTTGTGAACCATGTATGAATTTGTTTGCATTTGTTGTTCACAAGCAGAAGTAGCAATCCTTTGGATAAACCACCCCACTTACTAACCATCATTTTTGATGACCTCGCTGTAAGGTCATAAAAGATCCCTATACCCGGAAACAAAAGAGAGAGAGAGAGAGATATATATAATGATATATATATAATGATATATATATATATATATTAATATTTAAATGTATATATATATATGTATTTATTGATTATTTATTTATGCACGAGAATCACGAGAATCAACTTCAGAGCTGCACCCTAAAAATGAGACAGGACAACTTACGAATAATTCACAACAAACAGTTTGCTAGGACAACAGCCCAAACTGTTCATGACATGCAAATTGGATAATGGAAAAATCCCTTTAAATCGCCGCTAGGCGCTTCTCCAACTCGCCGCTTTCACCATCTTGGCCTGGGATGCTCCCACTGGATTCAAAGATGGGCATCTTGAGATATATCAAGAATATATGCATACAAAATGTATTGCAACTGCAACCGTGTTTTTGTTTGATCCATACTTGAAACATTCTTAGGGCTGTGTTTCCAAACATATGGTTGTTGACGTTTTTTTGGGTACGTATTTTGAGAAACCACCACATACATGCATGGGAGTTCCACCTTGGTTAATAAGTTGAGCATTTTTTTGCAGGCTCACTGAGTTTGCCGCGCAGTTTTTGGATATATCAACCCATCCCGTGGCAGACTCGATATAGCAGTATAATCGACTAGCAATCTGATCGCGATAAATACAAGGATGGCAGTGACTCATTGACTGGCGCCAACAACTCACATGTCTATAAGCAAGTATCATGTATACATCCTATCTGGCATGGTAACCCAATAAAATCTGATACGATGGGACACTTGAACCCATCCCAAGAATATAAAAGTCACTGGAGATAGTGATCCCAAATGGTTGAGCGACATACCCGTCATACCTCTGTTTGTTGGCTGATTGATGGAACCACTGTCGAGGTTGGTGAGTTTACTCCCTCTGGTTTGTCTAAAAAGGGGCGCCCAAACAATCATATCATGTGTTGTCATCATTGTTCCCCATTAAAAATGTGATTTACCGATGGTTAAGTCCAGCAATGCCCCAATCATCATCATCATATATATATATATATGTATAATACGTATATAAATATATATATATACACATATGTGTATAATATAATTATATATATATAATATGAGTGCGCGTGGTTCGCAAAACACATCCCAGTTACATCCCGATGAACCAACGTTGAATCGTTAATCCCAATTTTATTGTTCAATAATGTTGATCGGCCATTCTTCACCATTTTTCATGGTTAAAAACCCATGAAGCCACATTTTTTCCCATTAGATTCCACGGTCATTGGAAATGAAGCAATAGGCTATAATATTCTTTTAAACTTCAGCAATTCAGAAGGCTCAGATAAATTTTATTAGAGCTTAGCGGTTAATGGGCCTGAGAATGTGGTATAATTACCGAGTTTACTGGTATACCCTAAAATATATAGCTGTGAATCCATGGAACATAATCCTTTCCCCTTAATATTAAGCATCACTCACCACCCAGAAAACATGCTTTAGTCCGTTTTTTTGGTGGTTTACACATTGAGACCCAGCTATTGGGTGTTGAATATTTTAAGGGCGTGGGATGGCATGATATGCATGATGATTATGGGATTCTGATGAACGTCGTAACGTCACCAGTGGATTTAGAGGTCCCCCATTCTCAGACAACCTGCGGCTCCACCTTCAGGCGCTCGCTCTGCCACCGCTCCGACCGGTCCTTCCGGACCGGTGGACAGGGCGCGGGGCAACGCGGACTGATCTTCTGGAGATGATTCCTTGAAATGGCCTGGGGCATCCAGGGTCTGTTGGAAGATTTTCCAACAGAAATATGGTGGCTTGAGGGGATTTGACCATGAAACATTGGGACAACTTCTGGATATAATCATCGAACATGGTGAAGCATTGTGGTTTAACCATCAAAAAGAAGGATTTAAGCAAGGATCCTGAAGATTTTTTAATGGGATATGTCTGAGTATTTCACCAAGAAGATTCTATTTTGGTTTGTCTGAACGTGGAGGGTTTAAACCCTTCACGCAATTCTATTTTGATCAGCCACCTGGAGGATCAGCTTCTTTCAAAGACAGCTGCAGGGCTGCAAGCTCCTGAGGGTAGCCGACTGGTTGACATCTGGAAGACACCAGCAATATTTGCACAATGGGGTGAAATCTGGCGGAAATTTGCCGGAGAACCCAGAAGTTTGGAAATCGCTCATACGCAGGTATGATTATCCGATCACATATGCTAGTCGGTAATCAATTGTCTGCGTCTGTAAATGGTGCTTGATGTCTTTTGTGAGCTCACCTGTGCAACGAAAAGATCAAAAACGAACATCACTTGGAATTGCTTCAGTGGTTCAGTGGTGATAATTTTTCCAAATACGCCGTAACTAACTTCCTAAATCACCATCTTCGCAACGGGATCCCGAATGATCCCCGGTTAACCATCCGAAACGCAGCGCCTTTTCCAGGCTCAAAACTTCATCGCGCCTGAGTGAAGATAGAAATCCACCCGAACCTCTGATGGATATTACCATGGATGGATAGATGGAAAGGATAGATAGATAGATAGATATAGTGGGCGCCTAGCAGTTAGAATTCGTAAAACATGGTGACAAGCACTTAGAATTGCGCCTCAGTGATACTTAAATCATGCACTTAGAATTGCCCACAGTGATACCCAAGTCATGCACTTAGAATTAAAAACATTGTAAAAAAATCCTGCACTTAGAATTGTATCAACCTTTGGTGGCCCCAAATCATCCATTTTTTAAGGATTTTCCACTGAAAATCATCCATGTTTGAAGGATTCCCCCTGGCTCAGTGCTTCGCTCCTCATCTGTTTTTCCCGCCAATTGTGAAGTCTTTCATCGTCTTAATCTAGATCTTAATCGTAAATCATGGTGACTATCACTTAGAATGTGTCTCGGTGATACCTGGGGAGTGCACTTAGAATTGCCCGCAGTGATGTCAAAATAATGCACTTAGAATTAGAAGGCCATGTCATAACCAAGCACTTAGAATTGTATCAACTCCGGGTGGTAGCCCCAAATCATCCGTTTTTCCAAGGATTTTCCACTGTAAACCATCCATTTTGGGGTACCCCTCATTTATACATATATTGGTTCCCCCTGGCTCAGTGCTTCCCCCTGTTGGTGTTTCTGTTGATGGACTGCTGGTGCAGATTCATGTGGAGGTGCCTAATCTGGCAGGTCTGGATGCTGTTTCTGCAATTCTATGTGCTGCTTGCCTTGTTCCTGTGCATTTAAACTGCAGTTGGTGCCGGTTCCTGCTTTGGGTTTGGTTCGGGCCGTGGGGTATGAGCAGCATCTGCTGTTGCTTCTGCTGTTCTTTCTTTTTTTTCTGTTAAGGGCTGCTGGTGCAATTTCATGTGGAGGTGCTTGCTCTGCCTTATGAGATTTTCTGAGCCACAGAGGATGTGCGAGCAATTGCTATTGTTTGGTGTTTTTTTGGTGTTTTTTTGGTGTTTCGATTTTGCATTTTTTCGTGTTTTTTTCCTGTTGTTTTTTGTTGTCGTGTTTTCTTTGGTATTTTGCTCCTTCTGGTTGTTGCCTTCTGTTTCATTGCGCCATCTTCCTTCTTGTTTTTTTCCCCTTTTGCTATTTCAGCTTGCCTTCGCGCTTGCCGCTGGCCATTGTTTTTCCCGTTCTGCTTGTCTTGCCCACGGTTCTTGGTCATTGCGGCACTTTGCCTATGGTTTCCGTCCTTGTGGCACTTTGCATGTGCCGAATTTCGTAACAAGAGACCGGCTCGACAGTCAAAACTTAAGATTTGCATGTCCCTCTGTTCTGCTGCCACCTCCTAGCTCCAAGAAAACGCCAAGAACGCCTCGCAGCCCGGAAGGGGAGAAAAAACACACCAAAAGCAACACCAAAAAAACGCCAAAAAAACACAAAAAAAACACAAAAAACACACAAAAAAAACGCAAAAAAAAAACGCAAAAAAAAACGCAAAAAAAATGCAAAAAAAATGCAAAAAAAACTCGCGGTTTTTCTCGTTTTTCTAAATTTCATTGGTTGCTCGGGGCTGCTCTGAAGAGGTCCTGTTTTTTTCCTGTTCCGTTTTCGTGTTTTTTTCGTGTTTTTTTTTCGTGGTCGCTTTCCCTTCTGCGTTGGGTCCTGTTCTTTTCCCGTGTTTTTAGTGTTTTTCTGCCTGCCATCTGCATTGGGATCCTGTTTTGGCGTTATTCTCCTCTCATCCTGGGTTGTGCTCCTGTGTTTTGTCTACGCTTTCGTTTGGTTTTGATCGTAGCGCTGCAATTGGCCGTTTGGTCTGCGAACTTGCCCAGGGCCGGTCACTTGAAATTGGAAAGCCTGGACTGGAGAAATATACCAAAACATCAAACAAGGCATGGTAAACAGAAAAAACCAAGAAGCAACACAAAAAAACACCATCCACAAACAGTGCAAAAGAAGAGGAAAAACAACAGGAAAAAAACACCAAAAAAACACAAAAAACATGCAAAATCGAAACACCAAAAAAACGTCAAAAAAACGCAAAACAATTAAAATCCACAATCCTGACCTCTGGCTAGTAAAACATCTCATAAGCTCTGCCATTTGTGGATGCTGTTTCTGCAATTCTATGTGCTGCTTGCCTTGCTCCTGCGCATTTAAGTTGCAGTTGGTGCCAGTTCCTGCTTTGGGTTTCGTTCGGGCCGTGGGGTGTGAGCAGCATCTGCTGTTGCGTCTTGTTTTGCTTCTGCTGCTGTTTCTGTTGAAGGGCTGCTGATGCAATTTCATGTGGAGGTGCCTGCTCTGGTAGGTCTAGATGCTGTTTCTGCAATTCTATGTGCTGCTTGTCTTGTTCCTGTGCATTCAAATTGCAGTTGGTGCCGGTTCCTGCTTTTGGTTTGGTTCGGGCTCTGGAGCATGAGCAGCATCTGCTGTGTCTGCTGCTGTTTCTGTTGAAGGGCTGCTGATGCAATTTCATGTGGAGGTGCCTGCTCTGGTAGGTCTAGATGCTGTTTCTGCAATTCTATGTGCTGCTTGCCTTGTTCCTGTGCATTTAAATTGCAGTTGGTGCCGGTTCCTGCTTTGGGTTCGGTGCGGGCTCTGGGGTATGAGCAGCATCTGCTGTTGCTTCTGCTGTTCTTTCTGCTGTTTTTTCTGTTAAGGGCTGCTGATGCAATTTCATGTGGAGGTGCTTGCTCTGCCATTTGTGGATGCTGCTTCTGCAATTCTATGTGCTGCTTGTCTTGCTCCTGCGCATTTAAGTTGCAGTTGGTGCCAGTTCCTGCTTTGGGTTTCGTTCGGGCCGTGGGGTGTGAGCAGCATCTGCTGTTGCGTCTTGTTTTGCTTCTGCTGCTGTTTCTGCTGGAGGGCTGCTGACGTAATTTCATGTGGAGGCGCCTGCTCTGCCAGTTCTGGCTGCTGCTTCTGCAATTCTATGTGCTGCTTGTCTTGTTCCTGTGCATTCAAATTGCAGTTGGTACCGGTTCCTGCTTTTGGTTTGGTTCGGGCTCTGGAGCATGAGCAGCATCTGCTGTTCCGTCTGCTGCTGTTTCTGCTGCTGTTTCTGTTGAAGGGCTGCTGATGCAATTTCATGTGGAGGTGCTTGCTCTGCCATTTGTGGATGCTGTTTCTGCAATTCTATGTGCTGCTTGTCTTGCTCCTGCGCATTTAAGTTGCAGTTGGTGCCAGTTCCTGCTTTGGGTTTCGTTCGGGCCGTGGGGTGTGAGCAGCATCTGCTGTTGCGTCTTGTTTTGCTTCTGCTGCTGTTTCTGGGCTGCTGATGCACTTTCATGTGGAGGTGCCTGCTCTGGCAGGTCTAGATGCTGTTTCTGCAATTCTATGTGCTGCTTGCCTTGTTCCTGTGCATTTAAATTGCAGTTGGTGCCGGTCCCTGCTTTGGGTTCGGTGCGGGCTCTTGGGTATGAGCATGTATGAGCAGCATCTGCTGTTGCTTCTGCTGTTCTTTCTGCTGTTTTTTCTGTTAAGGGCTGCTGATGCAATTTCATGTGGAGGTGCTTGCTCTGCCATTTGTGGATGCTGCTTCTGCAATTCTATGTGCTGCTTGTCTTGCTCCTGCGCATTTAAGTTGCAGTTGGTGCCAGTTCCTGCTTTGGGTTTCGTTCGGGCCGTGGGGTGTGAGCAGCATCTGCTGTTGCGTCTTGTTTTGCTTCTGCTGCTGTTTCTGCTGGAGGGCTGCTGACGTAATTTCATGTGGAGGCGCCTGCTCTGCCAGTTCTGGCTGCTGCTTCTGCAATTCTATGTGCTGCTTGTCTTGTTCCTGTGCATTCAAATTGCAGCTGGTGCCGGTTCCTGCTTTTGGTTTGGTTCGGGCTCTGGAGCATGAGCAGCATCTGCTGTTCCGTCTGCTGCTGTTTCTGCTGCTGTTTCTGTTGAAGGGCTGCTGATGCAATTTCATGTGGAGGTGCTTGCTCTGCCATTTGTGGATGCTGTTTCTGCAATTCCATGTGCTGCTTGTCTTGCTCCTGCGCATTCAAATTGCAGTTGGTGCCGGTTCCTGCTTTTTTGGTTTGGTTCGGGCTCTGGAGCATGAGCAGCATCTGCTGTTCCGTCTGCTGCTGTTTCTGCTGCTGTTTCTGTTGAAGGGCTGCTGATGCAATTTCATGTGGAGGTGCCTGCTCTGGCAGGTCTAGATGCTGTTTCTGCAATTCTATGTGCTGCTTGCCTTGTTCCTGTGCATTTAAACAGCAGTTGGTGCCGGTTCCTGCTTTGGGTTTGGTTTGGGCCGTGGGGTATGAGCAGCATCTGCTGTTGCTTCTGCTGTTCTTTCTGCTGTTTTTTCTGTTAAGGGCTGCTGATGCAATTTCATGTGGATGTGCCTGCTCTGGCAGGTCTGGATGCTGTTTCTGCAATTCTATGTGCTGCTTGTCTTGTTCCTGCGCATTGAAATTGCAGTTGGTGCCCGTTCCTGCTTTGGGTTTTGGTGCGGGTTCTGGTGTATGAGCAGCATCTGCTGTTGCGTCTGCGGTTGCTTCCTTCTGCTCTTCCTTCTGCTGCGGTTTCTGTTGAAGGGCTGCTGATGCAATTTCATGTGGAGGCGCCTGCTCTGCCAGTTGTGGAAAGGGGGGCCGATGGGAAACTAATTCTAACTGCATCACCATTGTATCCGGGTGGCTTTACAACCATTAAAGAAAATATGGGCACATTTTTTCGTACCCTGTCGTTAAGGATCGCCATGCCATTCATGCAAGGCTGCGATCTCTTAAACCCCACAAGCTGCAGCGTCAATACTGTGGTGTATATGGATGTTTGGATGGATCTGCTCGTTTTTTCAAAACAATATTCGACACACTGTGAAATATTGTGTTTGGTATCCAAAACATTTCAAAGCATTTCTCATCCATCAAACATCGCCCATCAAATTTATGTATATACATTGCATGTTTCCCTTGGAAAATGGTGGCAGTGATAGATATTTATGTATATACAAGTATATATATATACTGTAATCAACGTATCACACATGAATATATACAACATATATACATAGATCAAAACAATTCTATGTGTAAAACAATTCTAACTGTCAAAAAAATCTATCTGTCTAAAAAATGTATAAACAATTCTAAGGTCCCTGCGTTTCTAGCAGTTAGAATTTCGCTACTTTAGTCATGCAAAATCCGCTAAAAAAAATTCTATCTGCTAGGGGCCTACTATAGATAGATAGATAGATAGATAGATAGATAGCTAGCTAGATAGCTAGATAGATAGATAGATAGGTAGATAGATAGATAGATAGAGAGACAGAGAGACAGAGAGACAGACAGACAGACAGACAGACAGACAGACAGACAGATAGATAGCTAGATAGATAGATAGATCGATCGATCGGTAGATAGATAGAAAGATAGATAGATAAATGGATGTATAGATGGATAGATAGATCGATAGATAGATTAGATAGATAGATATGTAGATAGATACATACATAGATAGATAGATAGATGGATAGATAGATAGATAGATAGATAGCTAGCTAGATACATAGATAGACAGACAGATAGACTAGATAAGTAGATAGATAGATACATAGATACATAGATACATAGATCGATAGATCGATAGCTCGATCGATCGATAGAAAGATATAGGTAGATAGATAGATTGGATTGGATTAGATTAGGTTAGATTAGATTAGACTAGACTAGATTAGAGTAGAGTAGATAGATAGACAGATGGATAGATAGATAGATAGATGGATAGACAGATGGATGGATGGATAGATCGATAGATCGATAGATCGATAGATCGATAGATAGATCGATAGATAGATCGATGATAGATAGATAGATAGATAGATAGATAGATAGATAGATAGATAGATAGATAGATAGATAGATAGAGAGATAGAAAGATAGAGAGATAGAGAGGTAGATTAGATTAGATTAGATTAGATTTGATTAGATGAGATGAGATGAGATGAGATTAGATAGATCGACAAGGAAGCCAGTGTAAGAAAAGTGGATGTTCATGATTTCCAGGTGATTTGCGGCCAGTGGAAGTTTGATGTGGATATCTTGATGGTGATTTGTCCGCTTGGCAAAGATAGATTGTCAGAGGGCATGTCTAGACAGCTAGATGGATAGGTCAATAACGATCAACACATATCAAACATACGTAGCATACCGTGCTATGTTTGCTGGTGATTTTTGACTACCACTGATGATGTATATTCTTAAGGTAAATAGATAGGTAGATAGATAGGTAGATAGATAGATAGATAGATAGAGAAACAGAGAGACAGACAGACAGACAGACAGACAGACAGACAGACAGATAGATAGATAGATGGATCATGTGTTAATCTATCGGGTGCGCGGTGCATCCCACTTAGGAAGTTGCGAATAACATTTTTTTGCAGCCCAGGTGGAACATGAAATATCCCCCGTTACGCATGGGGTTGCAACATGTAATGAGCCACCTACTGGGATGCACATCCAAGCATCCTGTTACTCAAGATATGACAAATATGATCTTTAGGGCCTTTAGGGAACTGGTTCCTGGGCCCGTCTGAGCCAAGCACTCCGATATCAATTTCCTCCATGGCGGGAAGCGTGGAGATTGAAGGGTAGCTCCAAGTTCTGCATGGTTCTCACATGTTGAACACATTGGTTCACCATCAGTGTGTGTGTGTGTGCGTGTGTAACATCTAAATAGATGTAAAACCTATCTTTTTTTCTTTTTTCTCTCCTTCTAACAAGGGTTGTCAATGTCAAAGCAGGGGACATGGCAGCTGTTTCCCTAGCCATGCCAACGAAGCTATGGGATTCAGCCGGAAGGGAATGTGGACGCACATTCCTGTACCTGCATATATTTTCGTAATTGCATGTGAAAGGACTCAGTTCCTGATGGATCTCTTAAAAGATCCAATTTTGTCTAGCGTGTGCATGTTACACCTTTAAACCCTCAATTTTGCTTTTAAAACCATAATTGTTTACTGGTCAAACCACCACTTGGTGGATAATATATCCATTCCTTGAGTCACCCCCAGCCCCTTTGACACCACGTTCCCCCGCCTGCCGATGTCCTTTCGATCGGCTTCTCGAGGTGTAGTTATGGGCCCAGTTGGGGCCTGTCACAGCGATCGTCGTGCATCATTAAAAAATAATAAAACAACATTGTTTGAAACAAATTGAAAAAATGATACACCGAATTCATGAATAGCTAAAAACATAAACAACAAAATACACATGCATACACAGATGCACATATTGCCTTCTTTTGAAATAGATGACTGATACATAGGCATAAATGCACTCTAGGATGTACGGAGGAATTAAAATCGCGACTGCGCAGGAGTGCACAAGTAACTATCTGCTTGCTGGTTTCAGCAAACCCCCCCAATACGTATGTAATATAATTACTGTATATATATATAAACATATATCTACATACACTAAAAACGTGAGTCACTGGGGATCATCATTCCAAACATCATTGAGCCTTACAAATAAATATGTATATATATATATATGTAAATGCGAGAAGTATATTCGAAACCACCAACTTGCAATTTTTGGCAGGTACCCCCACCAAATCGCATTGTCTGAAAATATGACCCCCATAGGCCCATAGAATTCAATTATCATCATCAGTTTCTCTATCAAAATGGCTATTGTGGGCATACCCAATTTTTGAAGTCTTCTCGCATTCACTGACCATGATTTGTTATGCCACACTCATTCCGCATGACTATATGGTCATGTCAAAAGGGTTGGAAAGTGTAAATAAATAAACAAATATATATATATATACATATATATTATCTTATTTGGCCATTGATCGATTTGTCTGAAACTAGGGTAGCCCTAAATCCATGGGTTGATGGTCATTATCCTTATTTAATTGGATATATGGGGGGATACCCCCCATTTTCAGACAACCCCTTATCATGGACAAAACTTGAGTATTCATGGTATATACACCAGGGTGATGGCACCCCCAGAGCCTCTTGGGAGACGCTCGACAGAAGCGTCTTCAACTTGGTGGTGTAGGCCTTTCATGGCAGCGAGTCCCACATGAAAATGGCTGGCCATCAACTGGGTGTGGACCTGGAGATTCAACCCCTCTCACTTGACACTTTCAATATCTTTTCAGATGTTCTCATGGGGAAAATGTTCGTACAGCATTGGACTTTGGGGTACTCCTATGTTCAGACAATATCTTATTTCCAGCTGGGCCTGAAAATCATTGACGCCAACAAGAGCAGACCAAACCTGTGGTTCGATAGATAAAATGATGCATAAAATCATGGAATTACACTTCTGATTCACATTAAACACTCCAGTGACTGGTGTCAGAGAGGCAAGCTCATAACAAGGAGCTTTCAATGGCAGGGAGTGGGAAGCAAGTGCTAGTGCTAAACTGCTTGGTGGGCCGTGCCCCAGCCAGAGATACCCTATATCAATCTATATCATGTGATGCCTTTTCAGGAAACTAGTTATGGAGCTCAAAAACTGTGGAAAACCCTTTTGTGTTTGAATTAATAAGTGGTTTTGAAAGCTCTAAACACGACAAAATTCTGCAACGATTTCTATCAACTTCCACACCTCATCAGCCTGCGAGGTCTGCGCTTTCTCGGAGATGTCCACCTAGCACCGGGAATCATGGCCAATCGCTTAGATACCAAACAGCCGAACAAGTCAGTTTTCAGCTGGTCCCTTAAAAAAATCCCCCAAATCTGTAGATTTGGAATTTTTGAGTACGAAACTATCCATCACAACTCGGAAGTGACTTGCAACCATTGGGGAGCTTCCCACATGCCATCCCATGCCTGGCTCCCGCTGGGCCTGCCCGAGTTCATGGCACATCTTCTTCACCCGATCGCGCACATGTTGCACCTGTGGGGTGGAGCATCCCGAGCCTGTGGGGTGGATCAACCAAAAACAGCAGATGTATCCATACTACTGAACTGATGGACAGAGGATCCATTGTTATTCATTAAAAATGCACATATCTTGGTTGCTGGTTATATTACGTTCTTATTGCCCTTGTTGCCCTTGTTGCTGTTCAAATCCGCATTCCTGCGAACTATCCCCATGTTCGCGCTTCAAACCCTTCTTTTGAGACATTAAATTGAAGTCATAGTCCCTATTTCATCTCATTTTCCCAGTTCACACCTCATTTCCCTAAAGAAGAATGCATGATTCACCTTCTTGTCTTTGAGACTCCCTCGCCTACTAGAATGAACAGGGATTGAACAAAACCTATACCCTCCAGTAAACAAACAGTTTTCAATGGAAGCCATGGCCCATCTGGTTCGATGATGTACCTATTATCACATACTGGTGATTTTCTATATATAAATTATCAAGGGCACGGGTTTAACAACTTAACATAGTTTAAACATTTATATAGTATCATGACTGCAGTATATTACTCAGTACATTGATAATAGGTCTATTTACCAGAATTCATTTCTATTAATTTGGTACGCCCAATAAGTAAATCCCATTGACCCACTTAGGGTCATGCTACATTGTCCCAAGCAAGAACCTCCCCCAAAAAAAACAACAACTCTAATTGGAATGGTTTATGACATTTGACATTGGGCTTGCCACATTAGTAAGATATATTTACCATTATTTACCACATTAGTAATTTGGTTTAAAAACCCATCATAGCAACTACAAGGCAACTATATAGCCAGATACAATATATCGTTTATATATATATATATATAGATAAAAGTTGATACTGTAGTTCTATCCCGGATATGTTCCCCATCAACCCCAGTTAACTACCCAAGGCCTCTTCCAAGGCTTCTTGCACCTTGGTGCTAAGCCGTTGCAACTCCTCCTGGCGCGATGACCCTGGGGCCATATCTGAATGAATGAGTGGATGGGTAAATACATCAAAGAGCGGACCGAAGCTTGCAGGTCTTTTGGCAAAAAAAAAGAATCTTGCTACCAAATAATATCTGATAGATAGATATGTATGTATATATCTTGGTACCCATCCAAGTCCCCTCTGCCCGTAGAAACATGCCAAAACCCCGTCTGGTGCACCTCCATCCCGATTCAATGCCAGGTCTGCCTTAGCCAGAAGAGATTCAAACAGAATATACATAAACTAAGGTCTAACAAACATCGCTATGCTGGATAATCTGCAAAAAATATAGCTCCATTCTATTTAGGCATCCTTGAGTTCAAGGGATCAAACAAGGAACAAAGGATGCAACTGACACAACTGAACAACCATGAACCATACCACAAGATCCCACAAAAGAAAACTTGGAACCGTGGAGAAATGTTGAAACAAAACCAAAAATGACAGAGACACAATCACATATAGTCAAGAAGAATCATCTTTCAATCAGCAGTATAGCCCATGCAACCAACAAAGAACTGGGACCAGCGACAGCAGTCAACTTGTGAGCCTGGCCCTAAATAGCATCTTCCCCCTGATAGTGGGGAATAGGTGGACTAGGTTCAGCAGCTAGTGCTTAGAGATCTCAAATTCTTGAGCTGAAACCGAGGACGCGACGCAGCGGTGGCCCCCTTTGGGCATTGAATCTCTACAAAAAAATGGAAGCTTTGGAGAACGGCAGCGGCAGCGATGGTTTGCCGGATTCTTTTCCCAGTGAGACACAGAGAAAAGAATAAACACATAATTTTGAAACTGCCAGTAACCTACGTGCTCCATGTTCATGATTGAAATGCCTCTGCTTAAAGAGAAGTCATGCTTTCAATGCACTTTCTGGGTTTGCTTCAAGCCTGGGACACCAGCCGCCCAGGCAGTCCCATATGCGAAAACGGAATCTGTCCAAGGTGCCACAAATATCTATGGCATTCCATGGCAATGTCAGCATGGTACGATGGAAACAACTCATTTTTATAGGCTAGGGAAAAACATCCCCAGACCCCATCCACAACAAATTGAGTAACTTGGGTGGTCATCCTATGTCATCCTACAACAAACTGATAGCGCATGTGTTACCCAAGTTTCATACTCTACACATGCCATTTGGGACGGTCACCCTCTACACATGCCTCTTGGATTCAAGACTCCCCAATATAGGAGGTTCAGTTACACAGAATAATGTACTATATATATATTATATCAGTGACAGTCATAGGTAGTTATAGTAAACAGGTGTAATAATGATACTTCACCATGATGACTAAAACCCGAACATTAAGTGATACTCCAGTCTTCAATCCTTGATTTCCACGGAATGGCGAAGACATTTTGCATCACCCCTACGGCCCTGCTAAGGGGATGGAACACATGTTTGGTCCCATATTTTCCATATCAATGCCGAACCTTTCCTGGAAAAAAGAATGCTGGGAACTGGGAACACGTTTCTAGCATCTTCTAGAATTATCACCAAAAAAGACTGAAAACTGCAAACGAATTATTTACATAACACCAAGGTGTTCCCAGCATTTCCGAACCCTTTTCCCTTTCCGGTCACCATCCTTGCAGTCGTCGCCCGTCCGTCCATCCACCTGTGGCGTCCGCGCCAGTACTCTCGGGTCACATCGATCACTGGAACCTCGTGGCCCGGGTCCTGCAGCGAGCTGCCTGTCAAAATCGAAACCCACAATTTTTAGATAATGTCTGTAAGAAGATATGTTTTTTTTTTTGAATGTATATATATATGACAATGTATATATATATGAATATAACAATATATGTATATATACATACATAAAAATGATAAGTATATATGTGTGTATGAATATGATATTTTTTTAAAAAAAAAAACATTTACATATACATATACATACAAATAAAATGAATATACATGAATATAATAATTTAAATATTTAAGTATGTATATATATATACATATGTGATTTATGTATGTAAATATGTGTATATATATATACATACTTGATAATATATGCATATCCAACATATATAAATAACTATATATATATAATATAGATGAATAGATGAATGCATGTAGAAAAATCTGCATATACATCTGCAAAACATATCTGTACATCTAGATATATAGTTATTTATGGTGCTGTAGCATTTACTGCTTTCAAACGTAGGCTGTATAAAGAAAGTTCAAAAGGATGAAACACAACAATCATGTGAGTAGCAACATGTCTGTGAAACAAAACAGTCTTTGAAGGGTCACATTGCATCCCATATAAAATGACAAGGTCATCCATCGCAACAGCTACTTTCTACGACACCGTCCGACAATCTGACCCAGCCATGAAACATATTCCATTGCTCGATGTTCTTTCCATTTCTTTCCCATCAAACAATAGTACAACCACCATTAATCATGATTATAGAATCATTAAGAATTTGCAGGGAAGTTCCCAGCCAAGTTTGACTATCGGGTAGCTTCCCTTTTCTTGGGGCAGTGGCTCCGAATCTCGGCCCTGGCACCGTCAGAAGGATGATGCGCGTCTCAGGTTTGAAATTGTCCAAGACCTGCCACCCAGAATCTGCCCTAGACTTTGAGAGCCCATAATTTGCCTAGGAAAATGGTCTACAAATGCTGTGTTTTCCACATCTATATACATATGCCAGTTTACAGCAGGGGTAACTTAAAAGCAAATATCAGCTTGAGGTTGATATATGTGAACCATTTCGAACCCCTGGCACATACCAGAAAGCCCCAACTTACCAAAGCCTATGAATCTCAACATATATTTTCTTTAAACAACATGTGTTTGTCCGTCATCCCTTTGATCCAACTGAGGGCCCCGATTTTTGATATCTTTGAGGTTCCAGCAAGTTGCAGTCTCAATTCCAGGGGAACCATTTCATGGGATGGATGTATCTCTGCCGGCTTCTGGTCCCTCTGTGGACGACCATGATGGGACACTACTATACCCTGAAAACCAAAAAAATGTGAACATAATTCCCACCTGTGGAAAAAATAAACATATTATATATTTTTTATTTATTTATTTATAAATATATTATATATATTTATATATAAATATAACCAGATCAACATGGTTAACTAGATACTAGCAAGTTAACTAGTATCTGGAATCGGGGCCAATCCTTGTAGGGGATATCTAGACTACATCTCGATCTCGGGTGCATTTTTAGCCGGTGACAGCTGGATGCCTATCTTCATCTCCCCGCAGCCCGTATAGTAGCCCTATCCCTGTCTCTAAAAATCTGGATGGTGCATCCAAAATCATCCAAACGGCCACCAGCATCCTGAAATCATTCATATGACCATGCGCAATCAAGTGAGAAAATCCTTCGCCATTTCTCAAGTTGCTCATATGGCATCACTTCCAGTCTTTCTATTAATTAGCCACAAATCTGTGTTGTCTTGCTCACAATCAACCTACCCTGCAACACGTCCCAAGAACATAAATCGCACTGTGATTTCCCACTAAAGTTGAGAAGTCATTCTCCAGGAAGAGGGTCGCTGGTGATGCCTGCAGCTGACCCGGAATTGACATTATCTTCGATCGCGTTCGATGCACTACCGAAGCATGTCCACCTCTATCACTTGTTTTTTTTTGGGGGGGGAGTTACTGTACCATGGGATAATATTGGGCTCTGCAAGCACCACTCACATATGTGAAAGTAAAGCACGCATGACCTGCTCATGACTGTCTACGTGACACCTCATGTGCTCAACTCTCTGAGCAATCTACGACCTGTGGAAAACGCAGCCACATTGCTATTTTTGCCCTTGTGACCATCATCAACGGTGATAATGAAGGAATATTAAGGATTAATATGGGTTAATCATGCCCCCTTCTCATCGATTCTCAATTGTACTTGGCTCAAATCTCTGAATCTTTTGTGGCTTCACAACCATGTAGCTTTGTGACTGAATAGTCCCAGTATGTCCCAGTTCCTGGCAGCTTTCCGGCGCTTGGCTTGGCACCTTGCCATTGGGATCCACCAAAACAAAGGCTTCATCATGTGCGCTCTGGCGACGGCGCGGCGTTAGGGCCACGTTCTTGGAAAGGGTAAGCACACACTGATGAGCCCCAATGTTGGGTGGCTACCGCGGTTACCACCCAATTAAACTGGTAGCATTCTATAGGTACTGTAACCTTGGCTACGGATGGTCGAGGAAGTTACCGGTATTTGCTAAGCAAGGCCGGCAACTGCAACGATAAGGTTCCAAAACTCCCGTGCAATTCTGATCAAAGATCATTCTCCCAGTTTCAGATCTATATAGTTTCTGGCAATTTGTTTCTTCCAATCCACAAATGATATCCGTCCCAAGCCCAACAACATGTCACCACCCCAGGCCGCCCCTCATGTCCGGTGCAACCTGAAAATCCGGGTCGCGGAGCACGGTACCATGGCCCTCATAGTAGAGGATGAAGTAGTCATTCACGCCACACTTGGACCTGTGCGAAGGGCTTTTCAGCACGGAGCCGGACCTCAAAACATAAGATCTACCGCGTATCTGTTGTTTATATACCATCTGGTTATTTAACATAGCCATGGAAAATCGCTATTTTTAATACGTAAAAGATCTATAAATATGTTATTTCCCATGGCTATGTTAAAATAACCAGAGGGTACTTGGATACAGAGAGCAAGATATTTTGTTTGTTCCTTTTTTTGGGTGGCCCTTTAGAAATTCACCTGATAGCTAAACCGAATCAGCACCAGCACAAACGTTGCTGGTAGCAGCACCTTTTCTTTTGCCACAGGCACAAATGTGCTGAGCAGTTGGTGAAACAACTCGGCATTCAGGTGAAACGATCTTCATGCACCACTTGAGAAGGGTCGTAGCATCTGCAAACTTACTTCTCTTTCAGATCTGAGCCTCTCAATTCCAACTTTGGTGCCTGTTGGATTGACACTTCTGGCCTTTTGAAGTCTTCTTGTATTTCAGGGAACCTGACCAAATATGACCAAATCCTGATTCTGAATCTACTATCAGACTATTATCAACCATTCTGGGCTGCAGCTACAGAGTTTCATCGAGACTGGCGAAGGACAAAGCCAGGTCAGAAAAACCACGTTGAAGACCCGCCTGACCCAACGCAACTGGGTGATTTGAGTATGAAGAATCCAACGGAGGGACCAGCAAAAAAATGTCTTGGAACTACAATAACTATATATAGAACCTATGGCCTATGGTGGATATACGCTTGAATCATTGAATATCATTAAACTATATAAGCAAACTTTTACCTAACTTTGCAGGGGTTAAAGCATTATATATCGTTTAGAAAAAACGAAATTTGGAATGTGGCAGCCAAAAAAACTGACAATAGTCACCAGTACATGAGAAGCATTTTTCCCAAATATAGAATCTATGGGTTCCCCAAAAACTTAGGACGGGAAATAGAATCTATCGTATTCATTAATATTCTATATTAAAAAAATCTATAGGTTCCCCATATTCATATAGATTCCCAGAGATATGTTCTATAATACTGTAATCCCATATTTCTTGATCTATGGGAATAACTGCAGTAACTATCTATAGATTCCCGTGTAAGTTTCCCCATGGCCGCCTCTTTGGAACCTTCACGTTGCGCGGGAAGCACTGCGCTGGCGGAAGCAGCTGCATCACCTCTGGAACAGAACCCCCGTTCAGAAACGGGGTGTTAAGGGGGTTAGCCAACAAAAGTAGGGAATGGAAACCGGTGAATATCATGGTTTCATGGTGGTAATCCAATAAACTCTATATTGTCACTATATATATATATACGTGTGTGTGTGTGTGTCACAATCGGAACAACAACACAACAGCACTAACATGCACCTTCCCAGAACTGGTGCACCTCGATTGGGATCATGAAACCATGCTCTATCAAACTTACTCCAGTCATAGGAATGTAAAGTCCAAAGTAACATGGAGTTCCAGTACAACCAGCGGCCCCAACATGGGGGTACCCAACTGCTTGGTGGCGTTTTCACCCTGTGATTGCTGGCAAAATCTCCTTATTGTTCTTAGTGAACTCACCACGTTTCTACCCATACCACCGGCCCCTTGGATCCGCACTTGCAGGCAGCTCCTGTCCGACGCTGAATTGGGACACTGCTGAGATATTAGGATCATATGATTCCATGCTGTGCCATTGTTGTTGCTGTTTCCTGCTGGCCGGACTGTCGCATTTCAACTGAAATTGGCGAAAGTTGCGGATTTGTTTGGAACATGTGATTAGGAAAGCAAACAATCAAACAACATGTCCCTCATCGCCATGCCGTGTCAGTTTGCTCCGGCAGTTGCGCGTAGCTCGCCATGTTTGTTTCTTGCAAATAAATGTCCTTCTTTTGGCCCATTGGTACTATATATATATATATACAAAAAAGGAAGTTTGATAAAAATTAGTCTTTTCAGATGTTGGTTCTTTGACGTTCTTTGGGTGAATGCTCAAGATTCCAAATATCTATGAAAGTTGCTTATTATTCAATGAATTTCTACTGTATCATCACCATAATCACTACCATAATCACTACCATCAGAGCATCATTGAATCGTTACAATGCATCATCAGTAAACCTGTGAAGGGGTCCTTGTGCAAGTTTGTGAGCCTTTTCGTGCGCGTTTTCCGCAAGTTTCGGACCCTTCGACCACAAAGCCATGAGTTTCAGCCCTCACCTTGGAACAAATCTATATACATTTCCAGTAAGGGCACTTTTTAGCTGTCTCGCGCTGGATAAAAAATCCCAAACTATGTGCTCCTGAAAATTGGAGAGGGGCGGCAAGCTATTAAGGCTAGTGGGGGCGGTGAATTGTTGAGGTCTTGGGGGGCGGCGAGCTCTTCCTGGAAGAGCTCTCCACTCTCGTTCCCTGCGATAGCCTTGATATTGTATGTCTTAGATATACCAAAAGGGGTTAGTATAGCAGGCGCAGGACTGACCCAAGACCGCTGTCTATGGGAGGTGGCGAAAAAAACACCAATTTGCTGGACACTTTCTCTGATTTGAATTGAGTTCAAGTTGCAGCAATATTCGATATGTCAGATCCCACATAAGTAATACCACTTTGATCCACTTTGTAGGTTACATAGGTACGAATTCCTGGGCCACAAATTCTGTTCTGGTGTTCGGTCGTTTCCTGGTTTTGTGTTGGTTTCTTCCAAAATCATAAAATCTAGGTTGTGGTGCAAATTCGTGAAGACAATCGCTTCAGGGTTCATCCAGCCAAACTCTCCCGGGAAACCAAAGAACCAAAATCTGAAAAGACTAACTTTTCTGAAACGTCCTTATGTTTCCCCACCTGCCAGGTGAGGGTTGTTAGATTTTATCACAGCTGTTCCGGCTCCTCCTCCTTCTTCTTCTTCTCCTCCTCCTCCTTCTCCTCCACCTCCTCCTCGTCCTCCTCCTTCTCCTCCACCACCTCTGCCTCCACTTCCACGTCCACTTCCGCCTTGCTAACTCTTCGCCAATCTCTTCGCCAACTTCCGCGCGCAGTGGGCACTGCTGGACCTCAACTGCCGGCTTCCGATCTGAGTGGGCACGGCTGGACCTCAACCGCAACACAGTGGGCACCGCTGGACCTCAACCAGGGACCTTCCGAGTCCAGTGGGCACCGCTGGACCTCAGCGGCCAGATGGACTGCCAGAATATATGCCAGAAAGACTGCCAGAATATATGCCACATAGACTGCCAGAATATATGCCACATAGAATGCCACATAGAATGCCAAAATATATGCGAGAAAGAATGCCACATAGAATGCCAGAATATATGCCAGATAGAACGCCAAAATATATACCAGATAAAATGCTGGAAGATATGCCAGATAGAATATCAGAATAGATGTCAGATAGAATGTTAAGTAAAATGCCAAAATATATGTCAGAATAAATGACTTGAAATGCCAGGGTGGGGATCACTCGAAGTAAAGTATTTTTTTTTTTAATTAAAAAAAGTGCCTCCCAAGAAGATAGAAAAAAAAGGCTGTTGCGTCCTGAAAACCGACGGGAAAAAATGAACCAAATTTCTGGGAGAAATTTCGGAATAAAAAACATGCAAACATGGGAGATTCCAGAAAGCATGCCGAATCCACATATAGCTGGGGGATACTGAAGATAGAAAAACCCAAATGAACCACTTGACCCCACAATTCATACATGCCAAATCTACAAAAAAAAAGTTTAAGGATATTGACAAATTACGTGGAAATCATCAGGTTCTTGCCCATTGAACAAATGCCATTTGTTTCGTTGGATCTTGGTCCTGGGTTCCTGCCTTGGAGTTCTGTTGCTTGCTGTTCCTTCAAAACCTCTTTATTTTAACAAGTTTCAAGCGTGGGATCAGGACTGGATGCTGGCTCTCCTTTTTCGTTTTTTGGTTGCTCTTGCCATTTTTTCAAGCCTGTGAATTCTCTGCAAAATCTATTCAAATTGAAGTCTGAAGCCATGTAAATGGTTGGTGGGGCCCCGAGAATTGAAAAGTAATGTGTGCAGCTACATGCAGGTTCTGACCCAGTTTGGGTGGTAAAACATGCAAATAGGTGGGGATACTAGAGATAGAAGGAAAATTGCACCCGAGGATGCAACAAACAAGGCAAACAGGTCGGGGGTACTGAAGATAGAAAAGCAACAAACGCAATTGTTGACCCAGCATGTCTGTTTTAAACCATGCAAATAGCTTGAAAGATACAAAACATGAGCAGCAAACATGAAAACCTTAAAACCTTGACGTGGGGTGTATTGAGCAAAAACTATTTTGTTCGTTGGATCTTGGTCCTGAGTTCCTGTTTTGCAGTTCTTTTGTCAGCTGTTCCTTCAAAGGCATCCTTTTGTAAAAGGTTTCAAGGGGTGGATGCTGGCTCTCCTTTTCCTTTTTTTTGTATTTCTTTGGTTGCGTTGTTTCTAGTCAAGATTGCGAAATGGGAAAAGAGCGCTATTTGCAGGGTTTGAGCTTTTCCAAGCTTTTCTAACTTTAGCATCGTCTGCATATATGTGGGAAAAATCGCAATTGGATCATTTTTATGCCCTGAAACTTTTCTATCTTTAGTATCGGCTGTAAATTTACAGGGAATTATGCACTTAAAATCATCGAAATTAAGGAAATCCTGTAAATACCAGTGAGATACTAAAAATAGACACGTTTGCAAACCTGAAAAAAAAAACGTCGCTTTTCAGGTTGTAACTTTTATATCTTCCCAGGGGACACTATATATATATGTATATATACAGTATATATTTATACGAACATAATATGCGCGTGTCTTGGTGAGATCCCCAGGTTTGGTGCAGTGGATTCACTCTCTTGGTTTTGGTTGCTTACATTTCAGTTTTGCTGTTTAAGAAAACAGGCTCCTCTTGCTGCCATCCAATTGCGTCTTTTTCAAACCTCCATTTTTGATATTTGTTTGGTGAAATGTAATATGCAGACATTTCTTTGGGTACTTGGAGGGTGTAGGTACATGGTATGTACATGTATTCGGGGAAATATGCACCGGTTGAAATTAATAAAACATATTAAAACATATGATATGAAATTCATTTCGTAAATCACTATCTTTGAGTATCCACCATTGATGGACAGCAGCATACCACCATTCCACAATCCTCACCCAGCCTCACTACTGGAGCCTTTGCTCCAGCGCCGATGGCCCAGGGCCGGCACCGTGGCCGACTTTGCATTGGCACCTGAGAGGAAGCCTTCACATGAGTAATTTCAATCAATTCATATCAATTCGTTTACCATCATGTATGAAAATGCAGATGCACCGCTAAGTATCTAAAATGGTTCTCCCATTTTACCCCCAAAAAAAAATGATTCAGTGGGTCAATGGTCAGCGGCACTGGGTGGCGCACTTTCGCTGGCTCGTTTCAAGGCTAAGGCAAAGTTGGGGTCCGGCACCTTAGATCATCAAGGTCCTGGATAGCCACAATATTGAAAATGGCCATAGAAATAATTTCTAATGGATCTACCCATTATATAATAGCATGGTGATTTTCCATAGTTATGTTAGTTTACCAGATGGTAATTCACAAGCCTCACATGTTGGGTCATGTTTGGATGATTCCCCCTACCTTAGTCTAGGGTGACGTTGTGAGGTCATTAGAATTCAGCCAAGACGCCAAGCCATTGTTTATCATCAATCAAACAGCTTCTGAAAAAAACATGAGAATCAGGGAAGTACCCCGGGGTTCGTCAATCAGCCGCTCTGGGGGGAGGTTCCCCACTCAAATAAAGGATCATCTATTAAAGGTGAACAAGCACTTCAAACATGGTATGAGGTATAGTAAACCAAAGCAAAAACCCTCCAATTCGATACACTTGACCTCCCATTTTTGATGGAGATCAGTAAGATCAGAAAGCTACTATACATACAGTAAAACAATGTAAAACAGTTAAACTCCAACAGTTGAGGCACCGTTGTGGCCTCACAAGGCGCTGGCGGCGGCGCTGGCTGATCCGGCGCTTGGCCCACAAGCTCCGGCGCCTGCGAGCACGAGCGCTCCACACGTGGGACATCCCCGAACTCAATGAATTGTTTCCATAGCTGGAAAAGTCATGGCAAAATTAAGGGAAAATATGGAAACATCTTCTATCAATAAGGGTTTCTATAGCTGGACAAAATCATCTGTAAATGGTGATTTCCTCTATTATATTGATTGCCGGAGGTAATGATTACAGTATAGGATACGCCTACAATGGGCTTACGGTTCACCGATTCAACAGGTTGGAGCAACCCTCCTGAGGTTTCACCTTTAATCCATCTCAGTCCGAAGCATGACAAAAATCAAAGTGTATGGCCATGATCATCCAGCATGTCAGTCACATAAAATCAATGACAGGGGCAATCTTGGATGCCCTCAGAAACATCAAATGCAACATCTTGTGAAACATTCACGAAAGTACCCATCCAAGGTTTCCTAAGATATATGATGGTTGGTCTATACACCTGAAAGGGTCATATCCCATGATAACTCCTGAGATCCTATCACATCCCCACATGACCCATTTTCGTTGGGTAGGGTGTTTCTTTGGCATGGTGGGCCCCCCTGGCGTCATCACCAAGCCTTCCCTGGCGTCCACTCTTCACGCCAGGAGGACTTGGCGGATTGCCGCGAGGTGCCGGCGGACCTAGGTCCCCTTCCGGGCGTGAATATGTCACTTACAGCAGGAGAAATCTGGAAAAATGATCAAAAAATACTGATCTGACTGGTAAAACACATGGAAATTACACAGGAATTGAATTTTGGAATCCTTGGGGTTCTTAAACGGCTGGTGTGATAAGGCCTTAGAATTTTCTTGCAACGAGCAGAGACAACGCCGCCAATGTTGTCTTGAAAATGCATCAGGCTGAGGTTGTTTCACCTGCAAAGGTGGTTCCGAAATTCAAATCAAGCTGGCTGTGTCCAATGAGAATAGTGTATGTCATTGTGGCAGCCAGGCAACAAAACCAATTTCAGGAACAAACTATCTATAGGTCCTATAGGTGTCTGCGGAAGAAAAAAACAGCATACATGAAATTGCCCCGGAACCATTTGAAATTCTCAGTTTTCCTGATGGTCCAGTCCAACTTGATATTTTATCATAAGTAACGGAGAATGGACTTCTGCAAAAATAAAACGTTGCAACCTGGCCGTCTCCTGAATTTGGGCATAGTATACCTTCAAATTTCCATTTATAAATCAAAAAAAAGATGACCAAGCGTCAAATTTGTTGGTGAATTCCCAGCAACTGCAGTTTAAATGCCAATTCATTGCTGTTTAACCACCGTATATTCTTGTTGTCACCCTCCGGTAATATCGATACGTAAATCCATGGGGTTCATTAGGAAAACAATCGTTAAATCGTGGGTTTTCCATATCTATGTGAACTGATTGGCAGGCAGCCATCCCATTCATGTTCATACATTGTCATACATAAACCCAATAAACATAGATAAATGCTTATCTTGTGTTGTCATTTGACATGGTAGCCACCCCAATTTTTAAGAAACCCACATGATAAAACCATACTTTCTTCCCGTGCCCAGCTGAGCAAGTCCATTGCAACAGTTGAGGTCCTAGCTCTTCACCCGCAGTGGTCGGCCTGCAGGGAAGAAAATGAATTGAGATATTTTTCGGCCGAAACCACCAAGAATTGTGCCAATATCCACTATATACATATATACTGTATGTGTATATATATATATCATTATATACTACAGTATGTCTTATGTTACATGTATTGAATCGATCATTATATATGGACATGGAGAGATATTTAGACAGATAAATGATGATAAATGCACATGTTGCAAAAGGTTGTTAATGGTATATTTACATACATACACAGACAGACACACACACACAGAGACATATGTATATATATATATATGTGTGTGTGTGTGTGTGTCTGAGTAAACTATAATATTTCACTAACCTGAAATAAGGCCATTTTGGGATGATTCCCCTTACTAACCATGATTCCAGTGAGGTCGTAGTGAGGTCGTTATAATTTACCCATATGTGAATATATATATATATATACACATTGTATATACATGATAAGTTATATATATATGACTTCATTTGCTTCCCACATATGCACTGACACCTGCCCACTGCCCTTGTTCTTCCCATGCCTTGATGATGACACGCTGTGTCCAGCACTCCGTCGGAAGGTGCTGGGCCGCACGGCTGGAGGAACCACAGCCTCGGTGTCGGCCTCGGTGGAGAGGTGTTCGGAAAATGATCTAGACATGGTACCCTCCAGTGAACATAGCTGTGAAAAATCTCTATGTTTGATGGGTAAAACCCACTATGTTATATTACAAAGGCAAAGGCAAACCCCTCACTTGCGCACACGACTTTCCATTATAAATGGTCCATGTTCCATAGCTATTTTAATTCCCAACACCGTCCCCAGGCAACTGGTATATAAGGAAACCCAATTTTGTATTTTGTTTAAGGGTTTGGGGTGGGAGGGATGTTAGCGTGCCTGTCAACTTGCTCACGTCATGTACGCTTCGTGAACTTCGGGGTTTGGGTGGGGGGAGATGTTAACGTCCCTGTCAACTTGCTCACGTCATGTATGCTTCACGAGCTTCGGGGTTTGGGTGGGGGGATGTTAATGTCCCTGTCAACTTGCTCAACTTGGCTGAAAAAAGTCATTGACGCCACTGCAGTTTCTAAAACAATTGGCCAAAGCTTGCAACGCTCGCTGATACAGAAAGGAGCAAGAAAAACACCAGTTGCCCGAAGTCGGCGCTACCTTTTAGTTTACTATAACTATAACATATATATTTTAGTTTTCCATGTACATATCTTACATCATAAATCGTCCATTATACATGGCAAATTCGCGGTTATTCATATATATATATATATACCTATGGCAAGGCAAGTCACCTCTTGCTCTTGCGCAGGTTCTTCTGCGCCGGAGCGTGAGGATGGCAGTCTGCTGTGTCCCCGTGGCAAAGGTGGAAGCAGGCCTACCAGGAAGTCATGTTAGCGTCATATTCTGGACATGGGTCACTGGTTGGTGGATTCAAAACCCCTGACAAATAATGCGGAATATTATGGATCATTGCCCCAAACTAAGGAGAAAGGACCATGAAACATATCTGAATATCTGAAACCACCAGACTGGTCAAGCCTTTGAGGACCTCTCACCCACAAAACAAGGGTGACGAATCGAAAGAACATGACCAACCTGGAGCCGTTAACCTCACTCCAAATATGAATATTGGATGTTCAAGGTCCCAAGAATGACAAACTTCCGTCAAAATCTGGGTTGAGGTTCATTGGCTCAGGTTTTGACACTCATTCAGTGGCCTTCTGCCTATTTGAGGGAACGTCTGGACGAACCGCTGTGCTTCGTGGAAAAAAATAGCATCACCTGCAACATGTTCCCTTAAATCAACCCTTGACCTAGAGGATGAGCTGGGGATGAACTAGGTGGTTGCGAGCTATGCCAGCCGGTGGAAGAGAGGCAAACACTCAGACTGACGCAATCTCCAGAATGATACAGGCACTTGTCATGGAAGATTGTCTTTATTTTTGCTAAATTCTCTGTTCAGCACATGTACTTTTCTTCCTCGTGCCTTGGCAGCAGGGAAAAAAAACAGTCCAAACTGCAACGCCTAGCAAATCAACGACCTAAAGTTTTAAAGAGTTCGGACAGTCCCAGTGGATTCCCAAATCAATAACGCTCCATGATCTGGTCACAACCAAGGCAGGTCTCCATCAGTCATTCCCCCGTTCTCCCTACAAGATGCCCGCCCAGTATGCGGTTTGTTTATAAATCTTATTTATTACGGTTATAATATTATAAATTATACAAGTACCATAGTATACCTACCAGCATCGACCACAAAATCTAGTTATTATCGACCATTATATCTATAAGTCTATAAGATTCTATAAGTAATATCTACCATAAAACCTATAAACATCTACAGTAGTTCTTGGATTCCCCCCACCATGTCAGGGCCTGCTAGGTCTCCCATGGTCTCGGGCAGCGCTTCATCCAACAGCTCTGCCGGCATCTGCTTCCCGCTGGGCGATTCGTAGCTGGTCGCCAGCGTCTCCGCCACAGTACGGCGAAGCTGGGCCTGGGATGGTGGGGGTTGGATGGGGGTGGGGTTGGGCAACCCACAAGTGCAAAGTTCTATGAAATCTTCAAGTGGCACGCTATGGCACGCTTGTGCAGACCTTTGGAAGCAAACACTGAAGTCTTCAACATGCCCTGTCTGAACGTGGTCCTATGCCGCTAGATAAGTATGCATATGTGCGCATCTTATATTCTGGTTTTAGGGCCAAAATCCGGCTTCAATGCCATTTTGCAGCACTGTATTTATTTTTCAGCATTGCCTCACGCAATGAACAATAAGCAAAGATCCGTCCTGAAAATTAAGTGGCACTATCCTTCGAAGAAAAATGACACCATCCATTTGGTAGGTCCTGAGCATCACTCAAACAACAGCAAAAAAGGTAAATATACAAATAAATAAATAAACCTATATATATATGTCATATATTTCCCTAATGCCTAAATTGGGAACAAACACCAATGGCCACTATCAATCAGTTTTATTTGTTTATACCATATTCCCAACATGGTACAACAACATGTGGGATTAGCACACTGCTACAACGCCCAGCTGCTTCTGGACCGGGTGCGGGCAAAGCCAACCTCAGCAGGATCTGGCCCCTTGGGGACTGGGCATGGCAAACAGCAGTTGTTTTTTCTTTTGGAAAGGGTTGGAGGACAAAGAAATCATTCTTTATGTCATGTATGCAATTGGCTTAAATTGGTTTAATCATTACAACATCTGAAAATAACCATGATACGCACTAGAATTATTGCATGGCCAATCTTAGATACTCCGTAGAAGTTTTTTTTGGGTTGGCTACCATATTTACATCTTTATGTATATACAGCAATAAGTACTAGCCGCCAGGTACGACCCAAGAATTGGAAGAGTTATAGTCGCAATGCATGTAGTATAGATATATTATAAATTAATATAGATATATAGATGATATATATAGATGATATATATGTGTTCGAAATCGACCTACCCTACCAATCCCCACCACACAATTCATCACACAGCTACCATGATGGAATTCTGACGCCGGGGAGCTGCGGCATCGCAGCATAGCCATGGTCGATAGCCATACTCTGCTCCAGTGAGATCTGGACGCTGGGATGTGCTGCCCAGTCAAGTTCAATGGCTTATCATGGCTTATCCGCAATCACTAAGACCCATGAACTAGATATTTATAGATAGCTACAATAAAACCCATAATATAGTTACAGTAGATAAAAACCAACCTAGCTATCTCATGTGACACCACCTTGTGAATCTCGAATCCAAATTTGGTCGTTAGGGCTCTTTTAGCTGACTTCCCCGTATCCAGTTGGTTGGCAGTGTTGGCTACCCTTTGGATCCTTGTGAAGTAGAGGTGGGCCTTCTCCAACAACGAACAGTGGTCAGTCCAATCCAATTAAATCCATCAACAATATTCAACAATCACAAGCCAGAAGCCGGATGAAGCCAGGTCCAAGTTTTGGAGATCTGAAATCATATCGCTATAAGGACCAAGCTGAAAAAAATCTAGGACATCCACGGCTCTCATGCATCGACAGCACAAGTCTCCCTGGCTATCCTTGACCAATGTCACTGCATACTTACACAAACTTACCTTAAAATTGCAGGCCATCAAATCTATTGAATTCTGACTATTAAAAGCATCCTCTTGCATCATCCGGTGAAATTTAAACTCGCCATATCTTGACGTTTTTCACATCATGCATTCAGCTAAGCGCAAAGTTTATGCCAATCGCAATTTATTGTTCGGTAAAAAACATTATACATGCCGGATATATCCCCCAAAACCAAAAGCACCAGCTAACCACCTTGAAATACTTACCAGTATTGGTAAAGCAATGTCATAAACCACCCATATGGATTCATGATTTATAATACATCTTTATACCACCTATAAGAATGGTAAATTTGGGGATGGTGGATCCTATTGCTTTACTAACATTAAATTGCTAAGCCGTGGCTCATCAGCCTGGGGCTGTGCTTCGATAGACGACCAGTCTGATGGAGGCATGGGCATTTCGTGGCTGGAGCTACTCTTACGCATCCTTGGCGGTTGAAGTTTGTGGGCTTCCGAAGACTGCAACGAAAGCAAAGAACACTGGATATTACTTATGGGATATTATTGGGATTATTAATTATTGGGATTTAATGGGATTATATGGAGGATTATATGGGATTTTTACGGGATTCAATGGGTCTTCATTGGTTTCATGGGTCGTAGTGGGATATAATAGGATTACGTCTGAAACATCTGGATAAATTAAAAAATCTTCGCCAAACGTCGCGACGGGAGGTTGTTATAATTTATCCAAACACATTGTCTGGTTCGGAGATGTCGGGGTTAAGATTGGTTTTGCCACTCCAAACCCTACAATTTGTATATTGTCTTTGCTTATTTTTCCACCAATTGGGATTATCATCCCAGCTAACCCTGAGGCTAGGATATATGTGCAGCTACCAAAGTCATCCCGTTCGCAGCTAGAAGATGTTTCCGGATTTATGGGATGCCAACACTTACCCAAAATTATGGAATATTAGATGGATATTGGATAATTTCTCCAGATTTCCCATCTCTCAAGCATTTCCAAATTCAGAAATCTTGCCTGTATATCGGATAAGCACTAAAAACGACAATGAATGCCAATGGAAGGCACAGTTTCCCAAATGGTACCCGATCCTCTTAGCATTTGACAGAGACAGTTTGAACAATCAGATCTGATACCGTGGGTTAAACAATAATAACCCACTCATTTGGGAATGGTTTATACCAACTATTTATATCTATTTATAGTGATTTGGGGGATGGTTTGTTATTGTTTTACCCACACCAAATTTGATTTTGCCCACTGCCCCACCCAATCGATTCTGTGGAAGGATCTCTACCGGCATGTTACCCCCACAGAAAAAATGACCATGACAATACATCTGGGGTGTTTGCCGAATGGTTCCATGGTCAACGAACATTGGCTGAGTGGCGAACTTTGAGGCCATTGTGTTCAAGTGGTGATCTCAGAATCAAGCAACCACCCAGATTGACGCTTTAATCATCTTTAAAAGGCGACATTAGGATATATACTATACACATGTATCATTTATATCAAGTATATAACATATATATATATGTATGAAAACGAAATATATACAGTTAAAAAACAATCTACATATGTACGTATGATTATATATGTATGCATGTCATATATATATATATATGTATGTATATGTTCATTTAATTAACTATATGTGTGATATATGGGGTATGGTAGGTCATCTTGATTCAACTTTTTGCAATCGCACGAAACATGGCAAATCTCAAATTGGTCGGCCACCCTTCCCTTCCCCAACCCTTCCAGGCTGAGCCCTTTTGTATTAGCAGCCTGGAAAAGAAACGCAACCATTTGATCCCTCCTGGCTTCACCGAAGCTTCAGCAGTGCCCTGCCAGCATAAGCACCATGCACCAGAGTTTTGGAACCCGATGCTTGAAAAACCATGCGGATTTAGGGGGGCTAAATTATATATTTGGATAGAAACCCATATGGCTGGCCCAAAATTTGATTGGAAAAAACAAAGGTCATTTCCAGCTTCCAATGATCAAGAAGGGTACTATGACAAGATTGTCAAAAGCGACCAGCCATGTCCATCATGTCCCCTAGCGATCACCAGAGCAGCACTGGAAAAGGGACCATTCGTGATAGCAAACCGCTGCAATGCGCATCATTTGCGTACAAATGACTGTTAGATTCCTCCAACAGTTGCCATGCATAGGTTTCCTCACAAGCACAAGGGTGCCCTTCATTCGACCTTTTTGCCTGATCGAACATAGGGAAACCCATCCCCGGGCATGATCTTCGCACCCATCACACCCCAAGGATTGCCGGTACAAAGCGAAAGTGCAGGGCTGCTTGACCGTGAGCATGGTTGACTAGAACAACTGGAGATGCTTCAGCACAAAATGAAAAAACAACACTATAGCTACAGTAGAAGTCAGTCTAAAAAGCAGACACCCCCAAACAAGACTAATTAACAGCAACCAAGTCCCCAGAAAAATGGCCCTCGGATGCCTGAGCTGCAGGGCCCTCCGCGCCCATGCCGAAACGGCGCGGGAAAGCGCCCGGCCCGGCAAGCTGGAAATGGCACCAGTTTGGTTCCAAGTTGATAGGAAAACTGGCAAATGAATTACTGAATCATCCGATGATTGACGATCTCTATACGTACTACAAGTAAAAGAAATGTATGTGTCCAAAATCTATTTTATACTTTTATTGTATAATTATATACGCATATCATTGGCTTACAGGATAGTTCACGGTTCTCACACAACTTTTCAACCGTGGAAGCGCCAGGCTTCCAGCACCAAACCCCGCGCACCCTGTGGTCTTGATGGCTTTCCGGACCGCGTCTTTAGTGCACTGCTGGTTGTAGAGGGTCAGCACCTGTCACCCGAAGGTGCCCTAGAAATGTCCCATGGCCCTGAGGGAAAAAAAACTTGCATTTCAGATATCAAGAAAAAGGCCGCACAGATCCCGAATTGTGAGTGCAATGCAAAGTTGGGAAAAAATCAAACACCTGGAGGATAATTATAAAACTATTTTCAACCTACAATATCCAAAGGATTCCCTTGCGATGCCTCGTGCACTCCGCACTGTTTGGCCTGGCGTGGCACGAGGAATACATGTTTTATAGTTCTTTGGAGGCCACTGTGTGCATGGCATTGGGCGAAATTATGTATCTGTGTAGAAATAGATATGTGTGGATATGTTTCTCCTATTTTGGTAAGCCTGTCCCCCAGGGAATCCACACGTTTTCTTTTTAAATCCATTGTGCGTAAAAAACCACTGCCTGCGTGGGCAATCCCGAATCAAAATGGAAATAGACGGAAAAGCCATGGAAGCAGAATGTTTGATCCACTATATACACGGTACAGAACATGTGTAGTATATGTTTGAGAAAACGCAACATCAAAGCAGTGCGGGTTGATGATGGCTGAACCGCTCCCCGGTCAAATAACACACCGAAACTCTTTTGGACGTTCTTATCCCAACAAGCAACTATTGCACATGTTAGTCATGTTAGTCACATTCCATGGCTCTCACATGGTTGCGCCCCTCCGTTGTAAGCTGAGCCATCCGACCAGATCCTCGATGTGTTTGGCATCGATGACGCTGGGCAAACGCTGCTTGCTGTTGCTGTAGTCCAACGCCTTGCTGGAAGCCAAGGGGGGGCGCTTGAGACGGGAGTAGTGTCATTTGTTATATGTCTTACACACACAACCCCAAAAGGTAAAGTTTGCAAATTCCTCCTAGGAGGGTTATATAGTAAAACTACTTGTAATTGTTACGTGTAATTCCTCCTAGGTAAAGTAATTCCTCCTAGGTTACTATGTATATATTTGTATATATATATATCTCTCTCTCTCTCTGTGTTTTTTTCTGTTTTTTTTTAGCAGTGTTACCACCAAAAAAAATGTTGGGAGCCTCATGCCCCCAGGACCCTGAAACCTTTTTCATTCGAATTTCCAAGATGCACACTATTGAAGGAAGTCATCTTCCAGATTTGTTCGTTCCATGTTGCACCCCAATATTTTTTCGTGACAGGGAACACAACGGTTGGACCATGTCCAGGAACCCCAGGAATCTTCTTTAGGAGTCCATGTTTTATCAGTTTCTTCAGATTTCATGAAGATTTAACTCCACAAAGGTGACCTGCCCAAAGATGGCAGGTTTTTGTTCAGCCCTTACGGTGCTTGTCAGTGATTAATAAGCCCTTAGCAAACCTCTATGATGAACACCTGGTTCTTTAAATCATCCAAGCCCAGGCGCCAGAATCAGCAAGTGAATGCGATGGTCCTCGCTGTGAAAGATGGGAGCCTGGATGGGGCAGAGAGGCACCGTTTTGCGTGGCATACCTTGGGGGGTTTCATGTATGGAATACGTTCCAACATTTAACCAGACAATGGCCCAAATGTATATAGCCATATATATATATGTATATATATTTGTATATATATATATATTCATTACATGGAGCCTATGGGATATGAAAAGGATTGAAAAGGTATATTGTGAAGAAAATGTAATGTGAACCGAGTTGTTTTTCTCAATATATGTACCTGGCAGAAAATCAAACCGTTAAATTGCCCTACCAAGGTTTAGGGTTTGAGAACCAAAAAAAGAGTGGCAGAAGTAGTTGTTAAGCAAAGGAAAATCATGTACAACAAATGTGCACATGATAATGGTCTGTATGTATATATGATATATATATATATGTGTGTACATAAATATGTATCCATAATACTATATATATATATAAATATACTGAGATTTGCTGCAAGTCAAATGTTGCTTAACCACTCAATGTGGGATCATGTACCAGCTTCCACTTCCACAGGTAACCATTTCTACATCGGGGTGCATTCTGACTATTAAAAAAAACACCTACAATTGGTGTATATCCCACCTATGACTCGGTTATAATACTGTTTGGTTTTTACGCACTTACCAACTGGGATGCGCATCCAAGTACTACAATAGAACCAGAATTAAATGCCACCAGCTGAGACTTAATGCTGAGATATCCAGACCCTTGCATCGCATGACTACTGTAGTAGTACCGGGGCTGCTTAGTGGTTTAGCGACTGGGGTCGTCAAAATATGAGCCACTTTGGCTGAATCATCTAAGGGATATCGGCATATTCATTGCAATACTCTCTCGTAATCAAACATGGCTCGCTGGAAAACCTTCCATCATTTCGCATTTCAACGCGTTTTTTCATCGGGGATTCCCAGCTAGTCATATGTGGTTGTCGGAGGGTATAGTAGGGGATTGGGAATATGGTCAGCTTCCCCATTCAATAGATGTCTTGTGGCTAAGAATTAGACAATTGACCTACCCAGCCAGAAGGTTTACCCAACATGTGACCAGATGGGGTTCCCAGCATGTAACCACAGAATTGGTGTGAACATACACGTGCTAACCAATATGGCAAAATTACAGATCCAATGGGTATTTTTCCCAAGCATCCACAAATATCGACAAGATCGAGAAAGTCAAGAGCGACTGAGGTGGATATATATATATATATATATTATATATATATTATGTATATAATGTCCACCTATGATTTAACAATAGGGCCCCCCCCCCTCTCTGACCCTAAATAGACTTAAGGCCACCATAAAACTTGTTTGTATGTAAAGGTTTTAAATTACCACAATTGAAAACGAATACATAAAATGCAATTTCAAAAAAAAGGAATCCAGCAATTGTTTTAGTATTGATCTAGTACTCATGTCATGGACTTAGTATTGATCTAGTACTCATGTCATGGACTTAGTATTGATTTAGTATTCATGTCATGGATTCAGTATTGATCTAGTATTCATATCATGAATTTAGTATTGATTTAGTATTCGTGTCATGGATTTAGTATTGATCTCGTATTCATGTCATGGATCTGGGCAAATCTGGGTTTAGGGCCAAAAACAATTAGCTTTATTCAGGGTCAAACTCTAATTAGTGCCAAGGCACCTCATGGGGGGTACCCTTGACGAGTTGATTTGGGATTGATTTTGGATAATTTTGAATAAAGGTTTTGAATAGAAAAGAGCAACCATTATTTTTGAAAATTTGAAGTTATCAAGGTAAGATCTAATGAGCTGGCAATATGAATTAGTACATGAAAGCCACCTCAAATAAAGCATGGAAAAAACAAAATCAGCCCCATCTGGGCAAATCTGGGTTTAGGGCCAAAAACAATTAGCTTTATTCAGGGTCAAACTCTAATTAGTGCCAAGGCACCTCATGGGGGGTACCCTTGACGAGTTGATTTGGGATTGATTTTGGATAATTTTGAATAAAGGTTTTAAATAGAAAAGAGCAACCATTATTTTTGAAAATTTGAAGTTATCAAGGTAAGATCTAATGAGCTGGCAATATGAATTAGTACATGAAAGCCACCTCAAATAAAGCATGGAAAAAAAAAAATCAGCCCCATCTGGGCAAATCTGGGTTTAGGGCCAAAAAAATTTAGCTTTATTTAGGGGGCATTTATTATTTATTTTGGGAACAATTTAGCTTTATTCAGGGGGCATTGACAAATCATAGGTGAACATTATTATGTATATATAGATTTAATATTTAAATAAAACTGATCATCAATGGTTAAGTTTTGAATCCCATTTCAACACCTTTTTCCTTGTCGATTGCCACGTCCTGCGTTCGCTACCGAGTTGCCGCCCTCTTGTAGTTTGAGGCTCCATTGACCTGCACGTTGCGCTCCCGAACGGCCTCGGAGAAGACTGATGTCGAATTGATCTTTCCGAGATTTCACTGGAAAATACCTGTGAAATCCTGTCAAGAGCCACTATCCAACATCTGTATCTGCTAGATATCTGTAGGTTCCGAGGCATCGGCGCTCATGAAGCGCAGCTTTTATTATGGTGGCCAGCCGCGCATGGCACTCGGAAAAAATGGATGGGAGATGCTGGAAGTTACTGGAAGTTTAGGATTCCAACTTGGGCTAAATAGCTATTCCTTAGTTGGCCCATTCATTGGGAGCCCAAAAATTCGTCTATATTTCTCTGATCAAAAGCGGCCCCATGCAACGTTCGAATGTTTATCTATGGCAATCTATGGGTCATGGTGGCTGGAAGTCTTCGCTTGATTTCCTTTGGGCCAAGACCAGCATCACAAGTTCCAGCACCTGGTGAAGTTGCACCAGTCCGACGGCCACAGCCCATGTACTGCTGACGAAACTTGGACATGTTCAGCAATCTCAAGCAGATAATAGACACAATTCCCTATACAAAAACAATTGTAGACATCCGTTTTCAAAATCTTTCTGGGATCTTTTCTTGGGGCCACATGTTGCCCATCCTCAGCCTGGAAGCGACACACGAGGTGCTCTGCATTTTTTCCCCTCTTTGTCTTTGCGTTTTTTTTGCTCTCCACCTCAGCGGCTGGGATGGTGACCATCCCCAAAACTCACGTGTACAACCGGAAGGGTGTGCAACAATACTGACCTGACCCGTAGCCGGCCCTACCTGATCCAACGATAGAAATCGAAACATAACCACCTCTAAAATGGAGTTCCTGGTGAAAATGGGTGGAAATGGTGGAGTTCTACCTCCATGTTTGTCAGCTTCATGTCTATTGACCTTCCGATGGAAAGGATCCACTTTGGTTTCTCAGATGATGGCGATCTGCGGTGAATTTACAATACATATAGACGACATGTGACAAACGGCAACTTGTGATAACGAGCAGGGAAGCATCACATTCAAATGGGTCACACTTTAAGATCCGGCACCCAAAACAGGCTGGTCACTTTTCAAGTCACACAGAAAGCAAAAAAAAAACAGCCATTGTGGCAACTGATATACACATATATATATATATATGTATACATACTGTAAACCCATGTATGCAGTACCCATGTATGATGGTGACCATCCTATAATTATCCGCACGTGTATCAGTGTTTTGTTAGTCGCTGTTAGTCTGGTCTGCGAACTGTTCGATGCCAAGCTCCAAAAATGGTGAGAAGACTTACAACAGTGGTGAACTATCCTAGACTAATGTTCCTTATTGTAGAACAAGGTGTTGCATAGTTAAAATGCAGGAGACGTCCACAAGATTCCACAGGCCCTGCATATTGGTAGAACGATTCTCTCTTTTTCCATGTCAGGGATGTGAAGTTTCAGAGCCCTTGACTGTCATACGCCTGGAAGACAAATACCTATACATTGCTTGTTTCTGCAGCTTAGCTGGTAATGAGGGATTCACAAATATGCATTCAATTACAACATGAGATCCAATTTCCACAGCACACCTGGGTATGGCTCCATGGGAATCAACTTTGACCCGCAAAATGTACCGTTTTAAGTAGCAAACTTAGTAAATCATCCAGTTTGGTGGGTCAATGACATTGTCAAAAAAACAGTGTAAAGACACAGGGGTATAGCCTCTATACACAACCTTCCTCAATGTGTTGATATAACCTAAAACCCATACTTGGTGCACCAAGTACCACATCATGCCCGCCAGGAACATGGACTGTTTTTTTTCTTCTCTTTGGTGCGCGGAGCATCTGTCCAGCGGTTTATTGAGCTCTGGATCGAAAAAAAAATGCATCCATTCAATTCTTCTTGAGCAAAATGATGTATGGGCCAGAATCTTAATTGAAAGAAAAAAAATATGTATAGAAACAATGTGGAGATGCGATGATATGTACATAGCGTATGTATTCTAAATGTATACATAGACGCAAACATGTGTTACAGTGGTACAAAATACAACTAAGTACACACATTCCCGGGTGGAACTTCACATGGACCCTCATCAAACGGCCACGAGGTCACGGAACACTATTGGATAACGTGCCGCGTGAAATTTCCTGGAAATGGTGGTTTCTTAATGCGAATTGACATCCATATCTGTCTTGCTTAATTATTCCAATTTTCTCGGTCAAGTGCTGTTTCTTTCATTTCTTTCCCATTTGAGTCACTATTTCTGCTACCGTAGTTAAAATCCCAACTTTTGTTGGCAAACCACCCATTTCTGCAGGTAAAACATTATATATACATATATACATATATACATATATACATATATACATATATACATATATTAGGGACCCGTGAACTAGGACTTGTGAAAGATACCCCGGGGTGGACAAGTCCTATCTCATCATGCGCCGGACCCCCCCTGGACAAGTCCCAGCTCATCAGGTGTCCGTCTGAAAACAGAAACTATGTTTGTTTTTTTTGATTTGCTGAAAAGTATTGATTTTTACAAGAATCTAGTGCGGCATGGACTGCTTGTGCATCATGATGACCTAGGAATAAACTAATAGAAATATAATATACTAAGATGGGCCTAAGTCATCATGCTCGTGGGCTGCACCAAGTATGTATGTAATGTAATGTATGTAATGTAATGTCATGTACTGGTAGAGGACATGACATTACATTACAGTACATTACAGTACAGTACATTACATTTACATTACATGCATGAACAGGACTTGGCGCACACAATCGTATGTCGCCAGAGGGGCACAAGTCCTAAGTCATCAGAACCTACATACTTACATTACATTACATTACATTACAGTACACTACATTACATTAAAGTACATTGCATTACAGCACGCTACATTACAGCACATTAAAAAACATTTCCCGTTTTGTTTCCCCATTGTGCTTCCCTATTGTGGTTCCCGTTGTATTACCCCGTCGTTCGGTCGAAGTCCTCGAGCCAACCGTTGAAAAAATTGATGACTTAGGACTTGTGCCCATCTTCAATAAAATATTTAAAAAAAACTGTGATTTTCCTTTTTTTGCTTCGATTTATATACAGACATTATTTTAAAGCAATTAAATAAAATAAAAAGTCTAAATATTTTTAATATTTTTTTTCACTTTTCATTTTTCTCTGTTGTTTCCCGTTATGTTTCCCCGTCGTGCTTCCCTATTGTGGTCCCTGTTGCACTACCCCGTCGTTGGGTCGAAGTCCTCGAGCCAACCGTTGAAAAAATTGATGACTTAGGACTTGTGCCCATCTTCAAAAAAAATCAAAAAAAAATGTGATTTTCCTTTTGTTTGCTTCGATTTATATACAGACATTATTTTAAAGCAATTAAATAAAATAAAAAGTCTAAATATGTTTAATTTGTTTTTTTCACTTTTCATTTTTCTCTGTTGTTTCCCGTTATGTTTCCCCGTCGTGCTTCCCTATTGTGGTCCCTGTTGCGCTACCCCGTCGTTGGGTCGAAGTCCTCGAGCCAACCGTTGAAAATTGATGACTTAGGACTTGTGGCCATCTTCAAAAAAAATATTTCAATAAAAAATCTGTGATTTTCTTTCTTTCTCCTTCGATTTATGTACAGACATTTTTTTTAAAGCAATTAAACCAAAAATATAAATATAATGCTTTATGTTTTTCATTTTTTGGTTGTTTTTTCTTTTTTCTTTCTGTTTATATTAAAAAAATGTTTTGACGTATTATGTATTGTGATGTAATGTATTGTACTGTACTGTTATGTAATGTATATATATATACACGTTCTGATGACTTAGGACTTGTGCCCCTCTGGTATACGATTCTGTAAGTCCTATGCATGTACGTAATGTAATGTACTGTGCTGTAATGTAATGTACTGTAGTATAATATAATGTACTGTAGTGTGATGTACTGTAATGTAATGTAATGTCCTGTAGTGCAATGTATGGTACTGTACTCTAATATACTGTGGGTATGTAGGTTCTGATGACTTAGGACTTATGCCCCTCTGGTGACATGCAATTGTGTGCTCCTATGTATCTCTGTATGTATCTATGTATGTATGTATGTATGTATGTATGGAATGCAAAGCAAAGCAAAGCAAAGCAAAGCAAAGCAAAGCAATGCAATGCAATGCATGTATGTATGTATGCAATGCAATGTAATGTATTGTACGGTAATGTAATGTAATGTAATGTAACGTAATGTAATGTAATGTAATGTAAGTATGTAGGTTCTGATGACTTAGGACTTATGCCCCTCTGGTGATAGCGGATGTTGTGCACCAAGTCCATACTCTTTTCTGATGACTTAGGACATTAGGAGAAGATATGAGAAGATTTTTTTTATTCCCCACCTGCCAGGTGAGGGTTGTTAGATTTTATCAGAGCTGTTCTCCTCCTCCTCCTCCTCGGCTAGCTGTCCTCCTCCTCCTCGTCCTCCTCCTCCTCCCCCTCTAGTTTCTCCTCGACCATGTCTGCATCAACTTCCACCTCCACTTCCGCCTTGCCAACTCTTCGCCAAGCTCTTTGCCAACTTCCCAGCTCAGTGTGCACTGGGACCTCAACCTGGGACCTGCCCAGCTCAGTGTGCACCGCTGGATCTCAAGCTCAGTGTGCACCGCTGGACCTCAACCAGCGACCGTCTCAGCTCAGTGTGCGCCGCTGGACCTCAACCTGGGACCTGCCCAGCCCAGTGTGCACCGCTGGACCTCAACCTGGGATTTGCCCAGCGCAGTGTGCACCGCTGGACCTCAACCGGGGACCTCCCCAGCTCAGTGTGCACTGCTGGACCTCAACGGGCAGATAGAATGCCAGAAGGTATGCCAGATAGAATGTCAGATGGAATGGCCAGAAGATATGCCACATAGATTGGCAGAAAGTGTGCCAGAAGATATGCCAGATAGAATGCCAGAAGATATGCCAGATAAAATGCCATGAGATATGCCAGATAGAATGCCAGAAGCTATGCGAAATAGAATGCCAGAAGATATGCCAGATAAAATGCCATGAGATATGCCAGATGGAATGCCAGAAGCTATGCCAGATAAAATGCCAGAGGATATGCCAGATAAAATGCCATGAGATATGCCAGATAGAATGCTAGAATGTTAGAAGATATGCGAGAGAGAATGCCGGATCGAATGCCAGAAGATATGCCACATAGATTGGCAGAAAGTGTGCCAGAAGATATGCAGGATAGAACGTCCGAAAGAAGTTTGCCAGTCAAGTGGACTAGACTAGAACATATGGACAAAGAACAGCAGATCATAAGCCAGATAGAATACAAGATCATGTGTGTAGAATTTGAGTGGATCGCTTGCTTTGCTGGGTCCTGGGTCAAGCAAGATCAAGTCAAAGCAAGTTGTCTCGTGGAACGGATGATGTGTTTGAGCAGCATTGCATCATGCGTATCTTAGCAGTTTGTATTGGTAAGCAACAGCTTGCGCTGGTTTTGACTTGCACCACTTGCATGACAGCAGTTGCATCACAGCAGTTGCATGACAACACTTGTAACTGACATGTGGTTCAGCTGGTATGCATGAGGTGGATGCTAAAAGTATGTATGGGTTAGTATTGCTACCGCTTCTTTGGCCCTATTTCGCTGCAGACAGATATGTGACCTTCAGAGCATTTCCGAATAGACTTAGGCAGAGACTTTGTGATGGCTTGCGCGGATGTTCCTGTGGAGCTGGGGAATATGTCGCCACACTTGGCAGAAGCAATGCTTGTGGTTGCCAGAAGATATGCCAAAACATATGCCAGAAGATATGCCAGGTAGAATGCCAGAAGATATGCCAGATCGAATGCCAGAAGATATGTCAGATAGAATGCCAGAAGATTTGCCAGTAACAAATCGATAAATGTCATGGTGGGGATCACTCGAAGTAAAGTATTTTTTTACCCTCAAAAGTGCTTGAGTCCAATAACAACCCCAGTGACTTAGGACTTGGTGCACACAAATCACCTGGTACCAACACCAGTGACTTAGGATTTGGTGCACAAAATCCTAGGTCACCAGGCGGGCCTTAGGCCTAGGTCCCGGGACCGTAATATATATATATATATCAAAACGTTGGCGAAATCCACATGTTCATACATTTTCTTGGTAAAATTGTCGTCTTTCCTGGTTGAATCCTCAGCGTCCCCACCTGGCGAAGGCGACCTGAAATGTCGGGGTGCCCGGAGAAAAGTGCGGCATGATATGCACACATATGAATCACAATGCTGGGGAATGAACATACATGAATGCAAAAAAACAAAAACCCACAAGACGGTTTATGTTTTTTGACACAAACCTAAACAATACAATCATGCTGGCAATAAAGCAGCTGCCATACAACAGAAACATGCTGTAATGATGATGGTCTTAATGTTGACCATAAGCGCAAAAAGACCAGACAATCCAACATTTCCATGGGATACCGACCCGTCAAAAAAATAACGTGCTTTCAAGTGCTTTCTTATTCTTTTCAAAAATTGGGGTGTTCCCAAGCACCAGCAGTTTCCCAAGCCATGGGGCGTCGGACCCGGACAGACCGGAGGGGGGCATGTACGGGTCCCACTGCATTCCTGCAGCTATCATCCCAAGCAGGGCCACAACAACCACGCTGTGTTAGGGGTGAAGGGCGGAGCAACAACACTGAGAAAAACGAGGATAGGCAAACAAAAAGCCTGTTGCTTACACACGAAGACACATGATTCCGACTTAGTAACTATGGATTCCGACTTCACTTGTGTCATCCCAGTATGGCTGAGCATCGGGTGTCCCCATGTGTCCCCATGTGTCCCCCTATCCATGGAGCTGTAACTGTCCACGGTCAACATAGGATGACCCTCTTGAATCAAAGGACCTAAAGACAACATGATGCCTGAAAGCAAATAAACGACACTTTGTTCGCATTCCTGGGTGTATTCAATTTCAATAGAACAAAGGCCTGAAGAGCGAAGGCACGACTAAGTGACTAAACACATGGATGCTGAGTGGGTATTGAAATGAAACACTTGATCTGATTGTAGGTGCACGTGCAAAGTAATCCAAATACATATGCATTTCGTTTTCATATGTTGTTTTGATATGTTTTGATGGCTGGGTGGAAATACAACACACATGCAGCGAATGCCCATCTGATTGAAGCGAACGCTTGAGCGACTCCCAGTCCTGATGAGGCCATCAGTTTCTTGGACTGCAGGGTTCACGGGTAGACCCACGATTGGACAGAATAGTTCAAAGGCAGCTTTGTATAAACAATGAAGAGTATTACATATTGTATCCATACATAATCAAACATAGTTGCTTACATACAAAAATCAACAAACAACTAAACAATGTGCATCATGTAGAAGCACATCCGTGCATGATGCGATGCATAAATGCAATAATGCTGTTACAAATGGCGGCACACTTTTAGGTATCACATGTTCAAGCGTTCCATCTTTCTATGCATCCTTGGGAAAAACTCACAAGTATGCCAACACTCGTATGAATTCCATCATTTTATTCCAACGCACGTATAATACCCCCGGTACGACTTTGCTGACGGTTCACTTTCGTTTTTTGTTTCAAAAAAAATACGGCATTGTTCATGGTGCTTCCCCCGACTCGAACGATTGCAATTTTACAGCCGCCACCAAGCGGATCTGGGCAGTGGCAACCCTCTGGGATGGGGATGCGGCTAAACAACAAACAACATATAGAAGCTTTCGCTGGGTTCCAATAACATATGGGTTTATGATGTTGATTCTGATTGGTGTCGACCAGAAGTCTGCAATTGTAGCATGAAAACTGCATGTAGCAAAATTAGTCACACAATTGGCTGGCATTTTTTTAACCCTGAGATATGTTCAGCAAAGAATGTGTATTTAATAGCAGGCCCGAACAGTGTGAACTGAAGGCGTTTTCCTTCTGACCAGTGCGTTCTTTCTTGGGGTGATCCAGCTAAGTTAGGATCTATGGCCGGGAACTTGGGGGCAAGGAAAAATAGATCGAAACCTGAAACCACCCAGTGAGAACAAAGGGGGTATACCGTATACCTTGTGTGCATGCACACACGCATATATATATATATAAAGATATGCGTGTATTATTTGGGTAAGTTGGTAATTCACTAGCATGCATCGAACATTACTTACTCATATCTCTACCTTCACAAATGAAGACATATTTACAAAATATAAGCAGTTGCAAATGTACCCCAGCAGTGTTTGGAAGCCAGTCACCAGCCATTGGATCAGCAGTGGCCTTGGACTTGCCATCTGCTTTCTGCTTCTTCGCCTGAAATCATGCCACCAGGGATGGATAGGCAACACACCAAAGGCAACCCCAAATAAGAAGTAGGATCACAGATACGAAAACAATCAAAAACATATAAGTGATCAGACGCGCAATATATAAGTATGTGTTTTCTGAAAACATGAACCCACACCCAGACGCACACAAACATGTGCACATATGCAAACAACATCAAATAAGTAATTTTCATTTTTGCGCGCATCTATCGCAAGTAATCTAGGCTATCCAGCTATATACCTAAATCTAAATGTATCACTCCATCTCCGCCTACACCTACCCACAAGCTTAGCCAGTACTAAAAAGGTAAGTCAGCGCTGGTAAACATGTGCACATAGGTCATTAGATGCTTGAACATAAAAACGTGTATACTTACGAGGCATAAAATTATCAATATACATATTCACCGAAATATTTGTACAGACCAGTTTGTGTATACTCACGTATGCATATCCATAATTGCAAATCCCTTAAATCCTGAACACATACATGATCACATATTTGCTTGCATCCAAAAAATACACGTATACTGTATGCATACATATATCAATATCTATCAATATCCCTATAAACCTATACCTGTATATACTATACCTCGGGCCATTGGTGTTCTGGAAAGCACCCTGAAATGGCCCAGCTGGGCACCTTAACAGCTTGTGGCGACTCGGCCCTGGTCGTGGCAGTGGGAACTCTGAGACGTTTACTTGGATGCTCCATGGAGGAAGTTAACTGGTTTGCAAGTGGCTTATCTATGGCCATATATGGCCCAGTTTTGCAATGTGATGGGCCATTTGATTAACCAATTAGCTAATTCAAGATCCATCCAGATATTACTGACTCCATGAACCAACAGGCTTTAGCACATGAACTGGGCTAGCGGCTAGCTACCTCCCACTGATGGGAACATGCCCTTTAATCAACCCAATTTACATGGAACCACGCCAGCCAGAGAGTAAACAAACAGCTCTTTGATTTGAAGGTACGGAACTCCTCAAGGGGACAATTTTCTACGGATTGGATTGAACAATATTGTCAACAAAACGACCGTGAACACGGAAGCCCTGCAGGCTGGATATGGGCCCGTCTTCCAACACGTCAAAAACCGGTGAAAGATCTTCCCATGTCCTACATGCACATCTACACACACACATATATATATACACAAGACTAAACGGTATGTACGTGTGTCTTTGTTCACACTTATGCACGCAGACAAACATGCTGGAAAAGGAAGAACAAAACAAAACTTCGGTGAAGGCCAATCTGACATTCTTTTCGGCATGAAAGGGATCCACCTGGACCCACTCACACCCGAAAATAAATGCTTTCAGGGAAACATCAGTTCTTCTCATATTGAATCTCCAACGTTCAATCTTGTCACAAAGGCCTGAATCAATTTAGGGGCAGCAACTTCAGGTGGTGATAAACATGACTTTTAAAAGTTCGGAACGCAGGTACCCGTCCAGTTTCAACCACCGGCCGTCGGAGGCCGCAGCACCTCTTCTTCTTGCTAGTCTGGCCACGTTGCCCATGTGCTCTGTGTCATGGTAATTCCTTTCCCTAAGATTACACACCCCTGGAAGAATCTGTGTTGCTATTGGATCTGGGATGGGAATCCGAAGATAATATTTAGCAACATGCAATTACTAACAAAATGACTGAATGTATCTAGATGTAAATTGATGTAAGCAAGCATGCCGTGCACGGAGAATTTGGTATGCACATATTTATCCATATTTCCATACATGTTCCCATCTTTGTATATACATATGAATGTTGAAACAGCTTTGGAAACTTCTGCTATACTCTCAACATGCGTGGACGCGTTTTTGTCTAATAAAAATCACTTTACTTCGAGTGATCCCCACCCTGGCATTTCAAGTCATATATTCTGACATATATTTTGACATAATTTTACCTAACATTCTATCAGACATCTATTCTGATATTCTATCTGGCATATCTTCCAGCATTTTATCTGGTATAATTATATTTCCCCACCTGCCAGGTGAGGGTTGTCAGATTTGATCAGAGCTGTTGTCCTCCTCCTTCTCCTCCTCCTCCGCCTCCTCCTCCAGTTTCTCCTCGACCATGTCTGCATCAACTTCCACCTCCACTTCCGCCTTGCCAACTCTTCGCCAAGCTCTTCGCCAACTTCCGAGCTCAGTGCGCACTGCTGGACCTCAACCTGGGACCTTCCCAGCTCAGTGGCTTGTGGGACCTTCCCAGCTCAGTGCGCACCGCTGGACCTCAACCTGGGACCTTCCCAGCTCAGTGCGCACCGCTGGAACTCAACCTGGGACCTTCCCAGCTCAGTGCGCACCGCTGGACCTCAACCTGGGACCTTCCGAGCTCAGTGCGCACCGCTGGACCTCCACCTGGGACCTTCCCAGCTCAGTGCGCACCGCTGGACCTCCACGGCCAGATAGAATGCCAGAAGATATGCCAGATAAAGTGCCAGAATGTTTGCCAGATAGAATGCCATAAGATATGCCAGATAGAATGCCAGAAGGTATGCCAGATAGAATGTCAAATAGAATGCCAGAAGGTATGCCAGATAAAGTGCCAGAATTTTTGCCAGATAGAACCCCTGGACACTGAGCTTGGAAGGTCCCAGGTTGAGGTCCAGCGGTGCCCACCGGGCTCGGAAGGTCCCTGGTTGAGGTCCAGCGGTGCCCACTGCGCTCAGAACCTTGCGGTTGAGGTCCAGCCGTGCCCACTCAGATCGGAAGCCGGCAGTTGAGGTCCAGCAGTGCCCACTGCGCGCGGAAGTTGGCGAAGAGATTGGCGAAGAGTTGGCAAGGCGGAAGTCGACGTGGAAGTGGAGGCAGAGGTGGTGGAGGAGAAGGAGGAGGACGAGGAGGAGGTGGAGGAGAAGGAGGAGGAGGAGCCGGAACAGCTGTGATAAAATCTAACAACCCTCACCCGGCAGGTGGGGAACAAACATCCGCAGAACATGGATGTCATGTCCTTCTGCCTAGATGCCCAGTGAGACCTTTGGGTCCATGGGTTGATAATTAATGATAATTATTCATTTTCACGTTGATCGAAATGAAGCAACAGTCTGAAATTGACCCAGTATATATTTGTGACAAGGCAAGTCAAGGGATTAAAAAACGATGCCCTGACACGGCCCAGCACCCCAAGCCGTAAGCCATGCCACAGCCCGGGAGGCCTTCTTTTCCTTCTCCGTTTGCCAAGGAAAAACGCCCGGCCTCCGCACCGAGCATGGGTATGGGATGGTATGATGGTATGGGATGGTGCTGGTATCTTGGCAAAGGACATTTCTTTGAGAACTAAAACGGTAAAAAAAACGTTCTAGTGGGTTGCTAGTTTTCTTTCTTTAAACTTTAAGATACTTTAAGCATCTTTAAACCAATTCTGACCAAGCTGCTATGTTTCCAAGTGTTGGGGTAATTCCCAACACACAAACCATTAACCATCATCTATGGTGAGGCCCTTGTGAAGGCATCTGTGGTTTGACGCCCAATTTTCATCCAAAGTGCCCTGTCCAAAACTTATAGCACATCCGCTTCGAGCAGTTTGGCCCTGCGTACCCCTGTGTCACTATAGGCAGGAAACTGTCGGGTCTTGTGGTTTTTCTATCGTGCTCCTGCATGGCAAATCTTAAATGGCAATGAAAAATCACCATCCTATTTATAGATGATTTTCCGTAGAAGCAGGGAAAACCCATTGAAGCATCAGTCACTTCGATGCTTGTAGTATCCATCGAACCACTGGGCTGCCCCCACGTGGAAATGGGCGAAATGCTTCGAAGTTCCAAATCATCCTCTGCAGGCTCCTGCGGCAACAGTTTTGCTTGTAGGACGCACGGCAACTTTGAGAGATATTGCCACGACTTTTACACAATTGGTTGGTCCGATGGAGAAAAATACGCCCGACAATACATACACCAGGTTCCAAAAAAAAAAAATATATATATAATAAATACCTCAAGCTTCCATTGCATGGAAAATTCAAGGCGTTTAAGCTAATGAGGCGTTTCATTTAAAAAAAAACGCAGCGATTTGGAGTCATAAAATGAAAACAAGGCGATTTTTGGAAAAACAGGTTGTGGTCATCGTGATTGCCCCATAAGGAAACCATCAATCCATAATAGCGGTTCAGTCCTGGGTTGCAAGCCCTGCTGCTTAATTGGTAAATTCAAACAGACAGAATGGGCATGAGAGCGATTGAATTCATGTTCCTTCAAACACGGTCAAAAATGCATCGTTTGCAAAACGACTCAAATTGCCCTAAATGACCAGAAATCAGGATTTGCGCGCGTTTGACAGTTTTTGCGCGCGTTTGCGGGATTTTTGCTTTCGTTTTGCGGGTATTTGGGTCGCAGGATTTTGCTAAGCATATGCTCTCAATCCCGCATTGTCAAAATGTGTCAAAAATGATGGTCCATGCAAGCACCATGCACACAAACATATCAATTAATACAGGTCCTCCTAGAAAGCAGATAGGTGCAGCGGTAAGGAAAGGGAAAGTGAACAGAAATGGCTGAGGTGTGGGTGAAACACTGTGAATTGCATATTTCATATTCAGTACCTCTTACATCCTCTTACAACAGGATTTTCAGGCATTTGAATCGTTTTTTGGTTTCAATCAAAAAACAATAATTTTGGTCATCAACCTTAAATCACTGGATTTTTTGCACCGAAGGAGTTCCGAGGTATGTGTGTGTGGCGGACAAAATTGCTTACTAATTACCCACAATGGACATGGCCAAAGTGGGTGGCCCCCTATCAGCTGTGAAGGTTTGGACTTCCATGCAGAGTATCGGCAAGTGGGTGGCCCCCTATCGGTTGTGAATGTTTTCGCACAAATTTAAACATCCCATGTCCACTCCCCGCTACTTTAGTCTTCCGCTAATTTTGTCGGCTACTCATATATCATCATATATCTGTAATTATCTATGCAAATGCGATATATAAAGCTTGCAATGATTTGGAGGTTACAGTCGCAGCGGAATGCCCTCTGATACATTTGATGCATCTGGATGCTGAACGGACATGAAGCATGCATTCACGCGCATTAGCGGTTGAAATCTCCTTGGACTATCTCCACAGGGAAACCGCATGTTTCATGTTGGCAAACAGTCATCCCAGTGATATTGCAAGGAAGGTGGACAACTTTCAAGCTAGCAAACAGACTTTCCAGCACGTGAAACACATTTGTGGGTCAATCCGGGCTCACAAATCTATGAAACTTTGAATCTTCAGTCTCTATTAACTTTGGGTGTTTGGCAGCGAAAAGTGTAACTGTCTTGTAAGTCAACACGCCTCAAAGTAACAGGAGAAACTATTGGGAAACCTGTAGATTTTTTCTGAATCCAAGGCTAAAGCATGGTCCTCCGCCAGACCAGCCGCCATCGCAGCGGCGGCAGATGCTTTGGCTACGTTCGCCTGTTGGTATCAAGGCCCCAGCTCACACAACGCGGATTCAACCAAGCCCCCCAAAAGTGATAGTGATGACTTGCGAAGGGCTTATGCAAGGCTTACCCACTAGGGGATGATGTATGTATACAAAAGGCCTATTAAGTTTGGGAGATTTCTATTGCAAATAGACGGAAATGGGTCGGGTGATTTTCAGTTTGGGGGGATTACCATTACACAATAAAACAGAGGGAACTAAATTTGATAGTTGGCTATAAAACTGCTGGGTTCATGGTGGAAACGTCTGCATTTGGATGGATTTAGAACCAAGTTCTCACTGGGGGACTCCCACTGTGTACTGTACCACATGTGTATACAAATATATTATATATCTAATTACATGCATACATTGCATATCATATTTGTGTTTGGCCCTCTCTCTCTCTCTCTCTCTTCAAATGCCGTTGGTATGTGCACACATCCATCTTCAGCTTTGTCCCAAAACACGTTGCAACCCGGTGCGCGGGATCATGTGTCACGAGCTGCTTCCTTCAAACCCACTTTATATTCTTTATTTAGCAAGGTTTCTCTGCAGGAAATTGCGCAGCTGCGACGACATTCTGTTTTGTTTGCTCATGAAAATCCATAGGTCCGTTTTCCCAGCCATGCTCACATACCACCATCCATCATCCCCCGTGGGCCCCAGTACCTGTGTCAAAGCTGGTGCTGGTTCTTCATCGCTCAACACCTCCACCTTCCGGGCCACGGGAAAATCCACATGCTCAGGGTCAAACCAACTTAAAGCCACATATATATGGTTCAAATATTGTTGGCGACCTGGTTTACACCGCATTTGTGCGAGCTAAACTTCCATAATAGGATCGGTTAGACGGTTAGACCCCTATATTTTCTGGTTCTTTCACCAAGCCCTACGTCTTCACATGGCGCCTTATCTGCGGGGGCTGACCTGAGATCAGGTGGCTTAAACACGTGAAAGGTAGGAATCGTAGATTGGCCATGAAATGGGGTTGTCCACGTTTTCCCCTTGAAACAATCTTTTCAAAATATGCCAAGAACATCATTTTTGGACTGCGCCGGCATGGATCAGCATTTAAGACCCTTGGGCCTTGGGACAACAGTTGTGGCCGCTAGTGAACACCAACCATTTATTTTTGGAATAGTTGTGAACAGTTGATTCCATACGCATGTTTCAAAAGTAAACATACCACCATATGGATTTGCCCAAAAGTCCGATTTGTCACCAATGTGTGTGGAAGTTTCAATGGAAACATATTCAATCCTATTAAATTTTAAATCCTTAAACGATTCTCCCTCTCAGTCTAATCGACACCCGAACGTTTGGACCCGTCCCAGCACCTGTCAACCCCCAAAGGCCCTCACGTGCGAGGCGGTGCCGAAGCCTGGCGGTACTTGGACGACCTGCTGAGGAAATGGTAAGCAAGGACCTATTATAAGTAGGTAGTAAGTCTTTCAACTGTGGTGCTCCGTGAGTAATCAACCTATATCTATATGTACCCATCTGTGAATGCAAATGCATATTATAGCAGTAGCATATTATATAATACCCTCAGGTAAGAAAATCCTAGAACCCCTTCATTTTGGAGCCTTTCTGTTGTCAAAAAAAAGGCATCAAAAATTGCATCCAAGCAAAACCCACAATCTCACAGGCTCAATTGTCCGCCTGTTTGCTTTGCTCCCATGCTAATCCCCTTTTCCTACTTCTAACCTCCCAAATAATAAAGATAGATCCAGATTGTCATGTTCGGGAAATTTCAGGTTGGCCAGTTTGATCTTTAATTGATCGTCTTTAGAAAACAATTTGAAGGATCAAGATCCCATTTGAGGGATTCATCTAATACAAAAGACTGATTGGTTAGGGACTGTTTATTATTCGCATCCCTGACAGTCATTTTATTTTGTGATTATATAGTACTTCTTTTAAATATGTTTTAAACAGAGTTTTCTGGCAGCCAACACCTTTCGGTTGATAAATCAATTTGTTTTTTCATTTTTGTGCAGAGGAATTTGCAGGATTGGGATGTCTAAGTTCATATCTATGGTCTATGGCCCTTGTGAAGACAAATCCACAGAATGAGTTGGGATATCATTTCAGAACCTTGTGTAGAATACAATCGTTGTCGCATAATAAATCAAATTGTTTTCTTCATTTTTGCTCAGAGGGTTGTATAGGAATGGTGGGTCTAGGTTCATATCTATGGCCCTTGTGAAAACAAATCCACAGAATGAGTTCGGAGATATCATGTCAGAACCTTGTGCAAAACCCAACCCTTTCCGAGTAATAATTCCAAATAGTTTCTTCATTTATATATTTTGTTCAGAGGATTTTGCAGGAATAGCACATCTAAGTTCATATCTATGGCCCTTGTGAAGATAAATCCACAGAATGATTTGGGAGATATCACTTCAGAACTTTGTGTAAAATTCAACCCTTTCCGGGTAATAATTCCAAATAGTTTCTTCATTTTTGTTCAGAGGATTTTGCAGGAATAGCACATCTAAGTTCATATCTATGGCCCTTGTGAAGACCACAGAATGAGTTGGGAAATTCATTTCAGAACCTTGTGTAGAGCTCAACCGCTTCCGAGTAATAATTCCAATTGGTTTCTACATTCTTGTTGAGAGGGTTGTACAGGAATGGCGGGTCTAAGTTCATATCTACGGCCCTTGTGAAGACAAATCCACAGAATGAGTTGGGAGATATCATTTTAGGACATCTTGTTGCATTGGTGAATATACCTGGCATCCCGTTTTTTTTGGTTCCGTGTTTATGCACTTTGCATGTGTTGGTTCAAGAGGTTGCGCATTCAAAACGATAATTTCATATCCGTGGTCCTTGGCCCATGTGAACATAAGCCTTCGGAATGAACTAGGGTAAATGGTTTACATTAAAAAACCTAAGATTGCATGGAAGCCACTAGTTCTTCTGCTCCAACAGAACCATGCAAAAAAAAAAGGAAAACCTGAGAGCAATTCAGATCCTAATCCCAAGCAGGCGTCCCAACTTAATACATTTAATACCAAGTTCCATTCCAGAGATATCAATCATACATTCCTTATAGGAACTTTCTGTCCGGGACATTTGCGCGCTTTAAAGACAACTTACCTAGTTCTGGATGGTCCATGGATGTCGGAGGTGGCATATTACAATATACCACAAGACACTCTAGGAACCAAAACCTCCAAAGGTCTACAATGGGGGAGGGTCAAAGGTCTAGAATTGCGCGCGATCCCCATCCTAGAACCGTGGGAGATATCCCCAGGGGGGATCTTGGACACTTTGTAGTAGAGGGTATCATGTGTATATATATATATATGTACAGACATAGGTGCGCATGTACTATTGTAATCTGTTTTTTTTCTATACGACTTTGTCCCTCTCCAGCCTTGGGTTCAGGTACATCATGACCCACCAGCTCCTTGCCAAGCCCAGCAAAAGAGGGCGCTGCCATCTTTGGTTTGCAATGCTCCAAATTCGGGTTTGTCTCAAACCCTAACCAATGGCAAGTTCATAAGGAACATGGCGATAAAATTGTATGAGAGATTGGTGATCTAAATATTGAGACAAATGCAGGGCCGCTTGTTTCAGGGAAATTGTTTAGTCAACTCAACAAATGGGACTGCAATAATTACAGTACCGCAAATCCCAACAGTTCTTGCCCTCTGGGAATCAAGGTGGCAAAACAATCCAGGAACATGTTCTGCAAATGGAAGGTTATCTAGTGCCAGCATAGAGCGACCAAACCCTGCAGCCTGTGCAGGCACTGTCCACATGGAAGTGTCGGTGTGGAGGGTATCTCGGGGAGTAAGTGTACGCATCTCAAACAGTATAAAAATCCTTCTGGGTTTCTGGGTTCTGGCAAATACCTGTGACTTCCAAGTGCCTACAAGTAGTTCCCAGGCATGCCGGGGGCGGAAGTTTCAAATTTGAAACGCTTATAGCCTATAGAGCGGAGCAAAGGCTGTGCCTATAGGTGACAGGCAAGCCTCCTGTGCTTCGTGGCAACAGGCTCTTGACTTGTCAATCTGGTGCCATGTCTTTCGAATGTTGAATCTCTCCTCATTTCATCTGATCTCATCGCATCGCAGCTTCTCTTGGAAATTGCTCACTGCACCCCGCTGTCACCGCAGTCCGTGTCATCCCATCTCATCTCAACTCATCTCATGTCTTCAGAATTTTGCTCACCTCATCTCAGCTCTTCGCAGCTCATGTCACCTACTCTTATCTAAGCTTATTTGATGTTGTTTCATTTTCTTCGAAATCAACTTGCTCTCTTGTGGTATTTCATGGTTGTTCATCTCATGTCAAAACATCTGATCTCTCATCAGTTTTTCATTTTCTTTATTTTTCAATTTTATTCATATATTTTCATATTTTTGATTGACAAAAACAATTGCCAATCCAGACCACTGCAGATCTAACCCACGTTTTGGTGTTGCCGACTTACACTTGTCATTCAATCTCTTTCCCAAACCCGACAAGACACCGCAGCAGCCTCTTCCATGCAGGCGACAAAAACAGTTCAGAGTAGTTGTTAGCGCGGTCTCTGATCCGTGGGTGGATTGGGGTACACACAGCAAGCCATCACGCAGAGCTCCTACACAGAAAGGCTTTTACACAGCGAAGCTTTTACACACAGCAAGCTTTCACACAGAGAATCCTTTACACACAGAAGCTTTTTCACACTGCAAACTTTTACACACGGCCAGCTTTTACACAGAGCAAGCTCTTACACAGAGAAGCTTTCGCACAGAGAAGCTTTCACACAGAGAAGCTTTTACGCACAGAAGCTTTTACACACACAAGCTTTTACACACAGCCAGCTTTTACACAGAGAAGCTTTTACACGGAGAAGCTCTACATGGAGAAGCATTTACACGGAGAAGCATTTTCACACAGAAGCTTTTACACACCGCCACCTTTTTACACAGAAACATTTACACACAGCAAATTCTCACACAAAGCAGCTTTTACACAGACAAGCTTTTGCACACAGAAGCTTTTACACACAGCAAGCGTTCACACAGAGAGGCCCTAACACATAGAACCATTTACACAGCGGGGCCTTTACACACAGAAGCTTTTACACGCAGCAAGCTTTTACACAGACAAGCCCTAACACAGAGAATCATTTACACTGAGAAGCTTTTACACACGGAAGCTTTACACAGAGCCAGCTTTTACACAGACAAGCTTTTACACTGAGAAGCCCTTGCGCAGATAAGCATTTACACAGAGAAGCTTTTACACAGAGAAGCCCTTGCACAGAGAAGCATTTACACACAGAAGCCCTTGCACAGATAAGCATTTACACAGAGAAGCTTTTACACACAGAAGCATTTACACACAGCCAGCTTTTACACAGAGAAACTTTTACACAAAGTTAGGGAAGCTTTTACACAGAAAAACTTTTGCACACAGCAAGCTTTCACACACAGAAGCCCTTACACAGAGAAGCTTTTACACACAAAAGCATGTACACAGAGAAGCCTTTACACACAGCCTCGAAAGTTACTTTTCCCAATCTCCCTCCAGCTCAAGGGTACGCGTCTCCCTCAAGAAAATTGGTGTTGCTTCAGATTGACCATAATTATACGATTGGGGTTATATATGTATACATATGTATAGACTGCCAGTCTTCTATTTTATCTCATATGGTGCCAGAATTAATCATTTGTTGGAACTACAAAGGCTGCATCGGAAAATCCATCGGTCCCGTGCAGTACAGATTCACCATTCCCTCTTTGCTGGCTCAGTGCCACTTAGCTGGCTCAATGCCTCGTTGCTGGCTCATTTTTTTTAACGAAAAAAATGAGAAAAAAATCAACGCGAAAAAATTGAGCCAGCTACATGCCCTTGGGCCAGCTCGGTATGCCGTCATCATCCCGGCCAATACATATTATGTATTCGTTTTTTAGCTTTCACATTCGTTCGCCAGCTCAACGTGACGTAGCTGGCTCAATTTTTTCGAGCTGTTTTTTTCGGTCAAAAAATTGAGCCAGCTCGATGCCATCGAGCTAGAGCGATGTGTTTGAGCTAGCGCGCTGTTGCTGAGGTAGCTCGTTCCACTTGAGCGAGCCCGCAATTTTTTCCCAATGTGTTCAACTGCCAGGTTGGTTCAGTCCCAAATGATTCGTTTGATAAGGATGGTACCCTTTTGCAGCCCAGAAATTTAGGAGCCACATTTTGGGCCAAATCTGCTTAGACAGCGGCACAACATTAAAGTCAAACACATGACCCCTTCTGAAATTGAGCCAGCTACATGTTTTGAGCTAACTCGAAAATGAGGAAGATTGTGGATTGCTACATTCAAACAGCAAGCTTTTACACAGAGTTAGGGAAGCTTTTTATTCACAGCGAACTTTTACGCAGAGCAAGCTTTTACACAGAGGAGCATTTACACAGAGAAGCTTTTACATACAGCAACTTACACACAGAATCTGCACACACAGCCAGGTTTTACACAGAGAAGCTTTTACACAGAGAAACTCTACACGGAGAAGCATTTACACGGAGAAGCATTTACACAGAGAAGATTTTACACACAGCAAGCTTTTAAACTGAGAAATTCCGCTAACAAATCACCTTGCAACCTCGATGCAGCCACTCCATGACGATTTACGATGTCCAGCTGCAAAAGACAATAGTATTACGCACGCAGCCGCGGCGCCAAGCAACCTTGACGCAGCCACTACATTGCGATTTGCAAAAGACTGTAAACACAATAGAACTACACGCAACGGCGTCAGAAATTTCAGCTCCAATACCGGATCTCGACGCCAAAGCAAATAAAAGACGATTTTGAAGCACTTTTTAAAAGGTTGAAGAGGAAAAGCGCCATCGCCAAAATTGAGAAAATCTGCTGAAAAATCACCATCGCAGCCTGGATGCAGTCACTCCAGTGCGATTTACGATGTCCAGCTGCAAAAGACAATAGTAAATAGTATTGCGCAGACAGCTGCCGCGCCAAGCAACCTTGACACAGCCATTACAATGCGAGACTTAACCTCAAATTCCGACAGTTGAAGATGTGCAGATGAAGCTTTCGTGCGAGACTTCCCTCCAAAAGTGAAAGTGGAAGATATGAGAACAAAGCTTTCGTGCGAGACATCCCTCAAAAAGTGAAAGTGGCAAATGCAGAAACGAAGCTTTCGTGCGAGGCTTCCTTCAACATTTGAAAGTGGAAGATGTGAGAACTCAGCTTTCGTGCGAGACTTCCCTCAAAAAGTGAAAGTGGAAGATGTGAGAACTCAGCTTTCGTGCGAGACTCCCCTCAAAAAGTGAAAAGTTGAAGATGTGGAAACGAAGCTTTCGTGCGAGACTTCCTTTTTGAAAATTCATTCGTTCAATTCAATGCAGTTCAGTTCAAGTCAGTTCAATTCATTCAATTCATTCCTTCATTCTTCCATCCGCGGATCAGTTCGATTCAATTCAGCTCATCTCATCTCAATTCAATGCAGTTCAATTTCAACTTCAATTCAATTCATTCAATTCAAATCATCCCTTCATTGTTTCATTCTTGGCCATCATGTCATAAATATCCCTAACACGGAAGTTCCGTCAAACTTCCTTTGATGAAGGGACCGTGACTACCCGGATTTGTGGGTTCTTAGCCATCTAATCCGTGACTCACAAACTTCATGGTTGATCATCTGTAATGCTGTATACTGAACAAATCTGCACATTCCACACAAACCCAAATATCTGATCGTTGGTTCTACATCCCAGTCTACCCCTTGACTGACTATATATGTATGTATATATATATATATATAAATGTCTCTCTCTCTCTCTCTCTCTGTCTCTCTCTCTCCGTGCGTGTTCCCATTCTATCGCCTACATCATATCCGAATCATACCCCAATCAAACCCCCATCACATTCCCATAATAAAGGTTTTGTAATTAATTGATCTGGGGTCTCTGGAAATGGATTCTTGGGTCTTTCCAAAAATCTAGATATGGTGGAATTGAGTTGTATTATAGGTAGCTTATTATTTCCCTTATGACGTAACCAATTGGTTGATTAAATGGGTATCATCTTACCATTGATTATTTAATGTACCTGCTTGTTTTCTACCATGTTCATGAATAATCATGTGTGGATTATTATTTTCATTTTAGGCAACCAATTTGTTGATTAAATTGGTATCGTCCCAGTATCGATTACGATGATTTGTCTATCATATTCTTTGGATTTTCCGCGGTCCATTACCATTTCCCTGGAAGGGTAGCCGACCAATTGCTGGATTAAAATGGAATATAGGTACTTGTATCAACACTCTCATGTTGCTTCTAGGGTGGTGCCCCCATATATCTTTGGTATAAAGACACCAATGCTATCCCTGATGATCACTTTTTTTCAAGTACTAATTTTCCCAATTTTTCTACGTCTATATCTATATCCTTTACAGTAATTAAATGCAATGTCCAATTATAATTTTGCCGAACTCAGGGTGCAGGAATCTGCACCTTGACTTGGGCATTTTTTTTTGCCGATATCCTAGGTGCTTGGTGGGGAATTGCCTAAGTCAAGGTGCAGGTTTCTGCACCTAGACTTGGGCAATACGGAGGTTGCACCCTGGGATTTAGGAAACCAAAAAAAATTGCCGATGTCAGGGTGCAGAAATTTACATGTGGACATAGGAAACAGCTTTACTATTATATTCTACCATGATTTTTCCCGCAATGGATTCGGGGTCCTTCATTTGAGATTTAGGCCAAAAAAAAAAGCCGATCTTTTGGCTCGGGGGACCCCAAATCCATCGCCCCCGCAAATCCGTCGCATAACAATATTTTATTTTTTTCTAAGTACTCAACCAAAAAACATATGTGAACTACGAATAACTACGATCGAATGGTGACCGTTTGTTCTGACTGGTACTTCCACGAGTAGAAGGGTAAATGGATGGAGAGGCTAATTGTCAATCCCCTTCTTGGCATGACTACCGAATGACGGATAATAATTGATATTAATATTGAAACATCCCTGGGACACTAAGCCAATACAATTTTTCCTTTGGGATAAATTTCACTGTATAGTATATACCAAGGCCACCTACCTTGATAAATAAGATAGATAAAGAAAATAAATATTGGAACATATCTATTATCACACAATCAGAGGTAGAACTAAATCACCAAGGACCCTAGAATCAAATTCCAAAGGCCCCTTATCGGCTGCAAAACCTTAATACTCCTAAATTCCTAACACAAGAATATTTCTATTACATATATATATATATACATGCCTATCCCTGTTTTCATCACCCATTTCGTGTTGGTTACCTGCCGCCCAAAGCCGCTGGGAAGACCTCTCTGGGGAACACCGGCGGCCAGGCCTCCGGCGTGTCATTTTCATTGCGCGGGCGATCAACATCGGGGGTGTTCAATTAAGGAGCAAATAACTGGATGTAGTATAATTCTAAGATAGGGCATTTAAAATACAGTCCAAGCACTGTATAAGAACTCCTTGTGTTAAGAAATGAGGGGCTAGATTTTTTTGCCGCATATATGTTTTGTGGAATATATATGCAAGTGGAAGTTAAGAAATTGAGGGACCCTGGAATTTGAAAGGCTGAGAAATTTAGATGTATGTGACGGAGCCCCTTTGCACCCCTGCGCAATTTTCTTAACCATGAAAGGGTTTATAAAGATCCTGTTTGGAGCGGGAAATGGAGCCAGCCTCCCTTGCAACCAAATACCCGCCAAAATGAAGTTTGCACAACCATGGCATGGTTGGGAATGACAAGCAAGGGGGCAGGACCAACAGAGTTGCACTCCACGGTCACGAAGCTTGTTGGCAACACCTTCCGCCAGACACCAGCCAGACTCACGGCAGGTCATCTGCACCCCTGGCTCGTGTTGCCTTGGCTTGCCTTGCCTTGCCTGTGCTGCCTCGTTGCTACCATAGAAGACGTCACCGGGTAAGGGTTCAATTCAGCACATAACTAAGAAATCCAGCCCCTCAATTTCTTAACCATGTATGGGTTTATAAGACTCTTGTGTAGAGGAGACTGGGTAACTGTGCCTTTGTGCCCGGAGCCACTGGGAAGCGGCGCAAGGATGGCGGAGTCAAATTCACGAAAGGAGCTGCGCAGAGGCAACCCCGCTCTTTCATCTTCAAATCTGATTGCTTGTGAAATACTACATCAAGAAATCGCTAAGAAATTAAAAGGAGCCCTGACCCGAATAATTGTACATATATACTGGCATACATGGGGCCTTTCCAATAAGAAATTGAGGGACCCTGGCCATCGGCAACCAACGTTCTTATATAGCGCTCTCGCTGTAAAACGAAATAATTGGATTAACATGGATTGTTCATAATCGACACTGATTCGGATATAGCAGTACACTCCATCACTACTAAAAAATGTTTGGAACGTAAAAAACATGATGGTAAGGCAATGAGCTGGATTGAAGCAATGAACATAATCTAATGAGGTTTAATATGGAATATCTTTCACGGACTTGATGTGATATTTGGGTTTGTCTGAGATATAGGGATTCACCTCCAAATGGCTATTCCGATAGAAAAAGTCAGATAAACCAGCAAGCTTTGGGGGGGGGCGTTTTCAGAATACAATGCTGATAGACATAATTACACAATTTGGAAAAACATTGATTGGAATTGGAGGCTCTTTATCACACTCCAGTATGACATGTGCAACCACATGCCTTCAACCACATGCCTAAGAGTTGAGGTGTTTGACAGACTGACTGGAGATTTAATTTAACAATCACCAGCTGAAGAAGAAAACACCTGATATGTGGCTGGTACCATCAACGTCATTCAGTTATGTTTATGTTCAAGGGAATGCTAAAATTGCACTAGCATGTACATTTTGCCGTATACTACCTTAAGGTAAGCAACATCTACAAAATCCGCCCACACCGCTTTGGCGGTGAAGGCGTGCTTATTGGGGGGCAACAGCAACACTAAATGCTCAATGACATTTGTTAATATAGCAGTCGCTATATCAGCTTTAGCTGGGGGGGGGCAAAAACGGTTTCGCACCGAGACCAGACCCAAAAAACGGTTTCGCACCGAGACCAGAATACGGTGGTGTTTTCGACATTTTTCGAGGATTTTTGGGTGTCTGAGCGCAAGAGGGTATTGAAATGGAATTTTGGGTCATTTTGGTAGCTTTCCGGCAATGGAAAAACGGCCAAAAATGAAAAAAAACATTGTACATAGCAAGATTTTGCAGGGTTTTTGGATGCCAGAGCATTGAAAACACTGCAAAAACAAGTGTTTTGGACTGACGTTATAGCAAAAAACATGTAAATTACTGTATGCTTGACTGGAAACATTACAAAAACACTGTCAAAAGCAATGTTTTGGAAGGATTTACTGCCTTTATGGCAAAAAACGTGTAAATTACCGTCTGTTTGACTGGAAACATTGGAAAAACACTGTCAAACACAATGTTTTGCAAGGATTTCTTATATATATGTTGGACTTGGCTACCGGCATTGGAACATGGAAAAATTGAAGAAAACACTGTAAATAGCGGTATTTTCAACGGTTGGGGAGATAAGGGAATTGGAAGCATTGTCGAACATGATGTTTTCGACCGGTTTTATGGCGACAAAAGTGTAAAGTACCGTGCTTTGAAGGAAACCATTGCAAAAACATGGAAACACATTCAAAGAACACGGGATTTGGGGGACTATCTAGGCGTCGTTGTCTAGCTATTTGAAATTCCGCAGCTTGGAGAGCCTCCAAGGGAGGGAAAAGTGAAAATTCCATAGCTTGGGAAGCTGTCACGGCGGGGAAAAGTGAAAATTCCCTAGCTTGGGAAGCCCCCACGGGGGGGAAAAGTGAAAATTCCCTAGCTTGGGGAGCCCCCACGGGGGGGAAAAGTGAAAATTCCCTAGCTTGGGGAGCCCCCACGGGGGGGAAAAGTGAAAATTCCCTAGCTTGGGGAGCCCCCACGGGGGGGAAAAGTGAAAATTCCCTAGCTTGGGGAGGGGGAAAAGTGAAAATTCCCTAGCTTGGGGAGCCTCCACGGGGGGGGAAGTGAAAATTCTTAGCTTGGGGAGCCCCCACGGGGGAAAACCACCCTTAGCCCCTCTCACGGACCGAAATAAACCTGCGGTGTGGGCGGCCACCCCACGCGAAGCGGGGTGAATAAGTGGGCCTTGTATCCAATAATCGATCTTGCAGGCATCGATGTTGCGCCATTTTCGTGCTGGGTATATCATCACCTCGAGCCTGACCTTCTGCCGAAGCATCTCAACAGCCATGCTCGGTATTTCTCAACGCAACCAGCTGGCATGGTTCAACCCCCATGGAAAAATCAGTGGGACCATCACCCCACATGGAGCTATTATAACCACCAACCGGCAGATAGATGTTCAAATGGTTTGGGCCGAACCACTCCGAGTGCCAACACCTTGCCTCCCCAGTCAATGTGGCCAGCCTGGGGGCCCAAGGTCGGCTGATGATGGCTGATGGCTGTACTCTGTTCCCAATCTAATCTTCTTCAATCTTGCTCTGGGTATAGCCAACACTTTGCATTCCGTTCGTGCCATAGTTCTGTCGCGGTTTCCAATTGCTTGAGCCATGTTTTGAGCCTTGAGCACCTCAACGGACAATGAAGGATCGGAACCATGGTTACCATTCAACAAAATAACTGCACCACCCGATCGAAAGAAAAAGCGGTATAGAAAATTGCAAAAATTGTAAATAGACACAAAGGAAGAATAACCATAGATAACCCCTATTATACCCCATCGCCAAACATCAAAGCTTTGCTCCGCACCCTTCCACGCGCACTGGACGGGCTAGGGAGGCGCCATCCTGGCACTACTATAGTGGCGAGCTGGAAGTCCAGGCTTTCACCATGATGTGCCATTACCAGTAGTACCGCGCAAGGCGGTGGCGGAAGTTAGTTTCAAAGATAGGAAACCTATGAGAAGCTGGTTGTTGTGATGCATGGATGGCAAAACGAATCCACTGGTGTGCTGTTTGGGGTGGTTGCAGTGGTCACGTCACCCACAACTGTTGGATGTAGTGCGGAATAATGTAGTGCATTTGTAGTTGTAATTGTAGCTGCAGCTGCAGTTGCAGTGGTGGTAGTACTGGTAGTACTGGTAGTACTGGTAGTACTGGTAGTACTGGTAGTACTGGTAGTCGTCGTAGTAGTAGTAGTAGTAGTAGCAGTAGTAGTAGTCGTCGTCGTAGTAGTAGTAGTAGAAGAAGTAGTAGTAGTAGTAGAAGTAGTAGTAGTAGTAGTGGTAGTAGTGGTAGTAGTGGTAGTGGTAGTGGTAGTGGTAGTGGTAGTGGTAGTGGTAGTGGTAGTGGTAGCGGTAGTAGTGGTAGTGGTAGTGGTAGTAGTGGTAGTGGTAGTGGTAGTGGTAGTGGTAGTGGTAGTGGGAGTAGTAATACCAGTAGTACCGCGCAAGGCGGCGGCGGAAGTTTCAAAAAGAGGAAACCTATAGGAGAGGTTGGTTGGTTGTTGTGAATCAGGGATGGCAGAGCGAATCCACTGATGGACCGAAAGGTGCTTGAGGTCTCCTCTCTTTCGCTCTCTTTCTCTGACTATCTACCTACCTACCTATCTATCTTCTATGTATCTATCTATCGATCTATCTATCTATCTCTCTCTCTCTCTTTCATCTGTCTATCTGTCTAGCTGTCTACCTGTCTATCTGTCTATCTATCTAGTCTATCTAGTCTATCTATCTATCTATCTCTCTCTCTCTCTCTTTCATCTGTCTATCTGTCTAGCTGTCTACCTGTCTATCTATCTATCTATATATCTATCTATCTATCTATCTATCTATCTATCTATCTAGCTCTCTCTCTCTCTCTCTCGCTTTCATTTGTCTGTCTGTCTAGCTGTCTACCTGTCTATCTGTCTGTCTATCTATCTATCTGTCTATCTGTCTACCTGTCTATCTGTGGTGCAGTGTCATTCAGTGTAATGTAGTGTAGTGTAATGTAGTGTAGTGGAGTGTAGTGGAATGTAATGTAGTGTAATGTAGTGTAGTGTAGTGTAATTTAGTGTAGTGGAGTGTCGTGGAAAGTAGTGTAGTGTAATGTAGTGTAGTGGAGTGTAGTGGAATGTAGTGTAATGTAGTATAATTTAGTGTAGTGGAGTGTAGTGGAGTGTAGTTGTGTAGTTGGAGTTGGAGTTGTAGTGTAGTGGAGTGTAGTGTGGAGTAATGTAGTGTAATGTAGTTTAGTGGAATGTAGTGTAGTGTGGTGCAATGTAGTGAAGTGTATTGGAGTGTAGTGGAATGTAGTTGTGTAGTTGTAGTTGTAGGTGTAGTTGTAGTGAAGTGTAGTGTAATGTAGTGAAGTGTAGTGGAAAGTAGTGTAGTGTAGTGTAATGTAGTGTAGTGGAGTGTAGTGTAGTGTAATGTAGTGAAGTGTAGTGGAAGGTAGTGTAGTGTAGTGTAATGTAGTGTAGTGGAGTGTAGTGTAATGTAGTGTAGTGTAGTGTAGTGTAATTTAGTGCAGTGCAATGTAGTGAAGTGTAGTGGAAGGTAGCGTAGTGTAGTGTAGTGTAATGTAGTGCGGTGCAATGTAGTGTAGTGTATTGGAGTGTAGTGGAATGTAGTTGTGTAGTTGTAGTTGTAGGTGTAGTTGTAGTGAAGTGGAGTGTAGTGTAGTGTAATGCAGTGTAGTGTAGTGGAAGGTAGTGTAGTGTAGTGTAATGTAGTGTAGTGTAGTGTAGTGGAGCGTAGTGTAGTGTAATGTAGTGTAGTGTAATGTAGTGTAGTGGAGTGTAGTGGAGTGTAGTTGTGTAGTTGTAGTTAGGGTAGTGGAGTGTAGTGTAGTGTGATGTAGTGTAGTGAAGCGAAGCGAAGGGACATCTGAATCTCCAAAAGTGGTCCGAACCCCTAGTGTTTTTAACATTTTGACATCGAAATGTGCTTCGCGCCACAACGGCGTGCACTTTTTCGACATCTCAACTTCCAAAAGTGCTCCGAGACCCTTAGTTTTTAACACTTTTGACTTGGAAATGTGCTTCGCGCCACAACGCCGTGCACTTTTTCAACATCTCAACTTCCAAAAGTGGTCCGGTGCTGAGGTGTTTTGTACATTTTAACTTCGAAATGTGCTTCGCGCCACAACGGCGTGCAACTTTTCATTTCTCATCTCCCCAGATGTCAAGCACCGCCGCTTTAGCGAGCACTTTGTCAACCCTCCGGAGCCACAAAACCACGAAAAAACAAAGTGTTTCGCGACTTTCCTACCTTTTCGCGCACCTGCATCTTCTTTCTTCTGATCTTTTCTCTTCTGACTCTTCTCCCTGCTGACTGCTTTTTCATCTCTCCACATTGTCGGAAGTTTGACTTCTAAACTTCCTTCGAATAGTAGTAGTAGTAGTAGTAGTAGTAGTAGCAGTAGCAGTAGTGGTAGTGGTAGTAGTGATAGTGGTAGTGGTAGTGGTAGTGGTAGTGGTAGTGGTAGTGGTAGTGGTAATGGTAGTAGTGGTGGTGGTAGTAGTAGCAGAGGTAGTAGTAGTAGAGGTAGTAGTAGTAGTAGTAGTAGTAGTAGTAGTAGTAGTAGTAGTATGTAGTATGTTGTATGTTGTATGTTGTATGTAGTCTGTAGTTGCTAGTTGTAGTATGTAGTATGCAGTATGCAGTATGCAGTATGTAGTTGTAGTTGTAGTTGTAGTTGTAGTTGTAGTTGTAGTGGTAGTTGTAGTTGTAGTTGTCGTAGTGGTGCGATGGTAGCTGTAGTATGTTGTAATTTTAGTTGTTGTAGCTGTAGTTGTCGCTGTAGCTGTTGCTGTAGTTGTAGGTGAAGGTGTAGGTGTAGGTGTCGTAGTACATGTAGCTGCAGCTGTAGCTGTAGTAGTAGCAGCAGAAGTAGTAGGTAGTCGGTAGTGGGTAGTAAGTAGTGGGTAGTAGGTAGTAGGTCGTAGGTAGCGGTAGTAGCGGTAGTAGCGGTAGTAGCGGTAGTAGCGGTAGTAGCGGTAGTAGCGGTAGTAGCGGTAGTAACGGTAGTAGCGGTAGTAGCGGTAGCAGTAGCAGTAGCAGTAGCAGTAGCAGTAGCAGCAGCAGCAGCAGTAGTAGTAGTAGTAGTACTACTAGTAGTAGTAGTAGTAGTAGTAGCAATGCAGTAGTAGCAGTAGTGGCAGTAGTGGCAATAGTAGTACTAGTAGTAGTAGTAGTAGTAGCAGTAGCAGTAGCAGTAGTGGTAGTGGTAGTAGTGGTAGTGGTAGTGGTAGTGGTAGTGGTAGTGGTAGTGGTAATGGTAGTAGTGGTGGTGGTAGTAGTAGTAGAGGTAGTAGTAGTAGAGGTAGTAGTAGTAGTAGTAGTAGTAGTAGTAGTAGTAGTAGAAGTTTAGAAGTCAAACTTCCGACAATATGGAGAGATGAAAAGCAGAGCAGGGAAGAGGCAGAGAGAAGAGAAAGATTAGAAGAGAGAAGATCAGAAGAGAAAGAGTCAGAAGAAAGAAGATGCAGATGCGCGAAAAGGTAGGAAAGTCGCGAAACACTGTGTTTTTTCCAATGATTTGTGGCTCCGGAGGGTCGAAAAGTAGGCTCGCTAAAGCGGCGGGTGCGGACCCAGCTGGCCACAGGAGCGATGAAAAATTGCACGCCGTTGTGGCGCGAAGCACATTTCCAAGTCAAAATGTACAAAACACACCATGCTCGGACCACTTTTGGAAGTTAAGATGTCGAAAAAGTGCACGCCGTTGTGGCGCGAAGCACATTTCCAAGTCAAAATGTACAAAACACTAGGGGTTCGGACCACTTTTGGAGGTTGCGATGTCGAAAAAGTGCACGCCGTTGTGGTGCGAAGCACATTTGGAAGTCAAAAGTGTTAAAAACTGGCGGTCTCGGAGCAGTTTTGGAAGTTGAGATGTTGAAAAAGTGCATGGCGTTGTGGCGCGAAGCACATTTGGAAGTAAAAAGTGTTAAAAACTAAGGGTCTCGGAGCACTTTTGGAAGTTGAGATGTCGAAAAAGTGCACGCTGTTGTGGCGCGAAGCACATTTGCAAGTCAAAATGTGCAAAACACTAGGGGTTCGGACCACTTTTGGAGGTTCAGATGTCGCTTCGCCGCTTCGCTTCACTACACTACACTACGTTACATTACACCACACTCCACTATACTACACTACATTACACTACACTACACTCCACAACACTACAACTACAACTACACTACATTACATTCCACTACACTCCACTACACTACACTACATTACACTACACTACAATACACTGAATGACACTGTACCACAGATAGACAGGTAGACAGATAGACAGATAGACAGATAGACAGATAGACAGATAGACAGATAGACAGATAGATAGATAGATAGGTAGATAGATAGATAGATAGACAGGTAGACAGGTAGACAGCTAGACAGCTAGACAGATAGACAGACAGATAGATAGATAGATACATAGAAAATAGATAGGTAGGTAGGTAGGTAGTCAGAGAAAGAGATAGAAAGAGTGAGAGAGATCAAGCACCTTTCAGTCCATCAGTGGCTTCGCTCTGCCATCCCTGATTCACAACAACCAACCTCTCCTATAGGTTTCCTATTTTTGAAACTTCCGCCACCGCCTTGTGCGGTACTACTGGTAGTAGTAGTAGTAGTAGTAGTAGTAGTAGTAGTAGTAGTAGTAGTAGCAATGCAGTAGTAGCAGTAGTGGCAGTAGTGGCAATAGTAGTACTAGTAGTAGTAGTAGTAGCAGTAGCAGTAGCAGTAGCAGTAGTGGTAGTAGTGGTAGTGGTAGTGGTAGTGGTAGTGGTAGTGGTGGTGGTGGTGGTAGTAGTAGTAGTAGAGGTAGTAGTAGTAGTAGTAGTAGTAGTAGTCGTCGTCGTCGTCGTCGTAGTAGTTGTAGTAGTAGTAGTTGTTGTTGTAGTAGTAGTAGTAGGAGTTGGGGTAGTATTAGTGGTAGTTGTAGGAGTAGCAGTAGATATAGTTGTAGTTGTAGTTGCTGCTGCTGCTGCTGGTGCTCTTGTTGTTGTTGTTGTTGTTGTTGTTGTGGTTGTTGTTGTGGTTGTTGTTGTTGTTGTTGTTGTGGTTGTTGTTGGTGTTTTTTCTTCTGTTTTTTGTCGTTGATTTTTGTTGCTGTTGTTTTGTTGATTTTTGTTGTTGTTTTCTGTTTTTTGTTGTTCTTGCTCTTGTTCGTGTTCTTGTTGATGTTGTTGTTCTTGTTCTTGTTCTTGTTGTTGTTGTTGTTGTCGTTGTCGTTGTTCTGGTTCTTGCTGTTGTAGTGGTAGTTGTAGTTAGTTCTAGTTTTAGTTGTAGTTGTAGCTGTACCTGTGGACATCTGAATGTCCAAAAGTGGTCCGAGACCATCAGTTTTTTCAGTCTTTATCACTTTTGACTTGCGGATGTACATCGTGCCACAACCGTGTGCGGTCCGAGACCCTCACTCTTTAACACGTTTAACTTCGAAATGTGCTTCGCGCCACAACGGTGTGCACTTTTTCAACATCTCAACTTCTAGAAATGCTCCGAAGCTGCCATGTTTTGTACATTTGACTTCGGCATGTGCTTCGCGCCAGAACCGCGTGCAATTTTTCATCTCTCATCCGGCCAGATGGCTCCGAACTTGCAGTGCTTTCAACACCTTCACTTCCAAAAGTGCTTCGCGCCAAAACGCTGTGCACCTTTTTCAATTCAACACCTGAACTTCCAAAAGTGGTCCGAACATGGTGTGCTGTGAGCATGAGCCGATTTTAGCATTTTGACTTTCAAACGTGCTTCGCGCCAGAACGGCGTGCACTTGTTCCTCTCTCATCTTCCCACATGGTTCCGAACCCGCCGCTTTAGCAAGCCTACTTTTGGACCGTCCACAGACACAAAACATTGGAAAAACACAGTTAGTCGCGACTGTTCTACCTTTTCGCGCACCTGCATGTTCTTTCTTCTGACTCTGTCTCTTCTCTGATATTCTTTCTTCTGCCTTTCTCTTCTGTGACGCTTCCGACCTCTGCTTTTCCATCTGTCCATATTGTCGGAAGTTTGACGTCAAAACTTCCTTCGGATACTTACATAGATTGCTCGTTCTCTATCATCTGCATTAATAAATGTTGTTTCATCACCAGTACATGGGATCTTCTGTAGGATGTGCGTTCCCAACGCCCGACCTAGCCTATCTCAAATTGAGCTCGTCAAGCCGGAGACATTGCATCGACGAAAGTTTTGGTCACAACTACGGTAGCCAGCTAGGAAATGTCGGGAAAATTGAAATACTGCAGAGACAACGGCTGATTTGCTGGCGTCACGCGAGCAGGAATGGACCATCATCAACATCTTAGAGAAGTCCAAGCAGAGAAAAATGTATGTAAATAAATAAAATCATATATATATATATATACCTTGACTCTCCGACGACTATTAATTTTTGGGATCTTTCAAGAAAAATTGCATTTTTTCCGAAAGTATTTTTTTTGAAATCAAGTTTCTTGCATGTTAGTAATGTTCACTCATGGAGGTATACAGCTGAAACTGATAAAACTGTGAAATGTGCCCCATCGCCAACTTGCAACTCATTGTTGCAGGTGCCTTCCTTTTTTTTGGCTGCTTGAAGGTGCAGGAGCAAAGATTTCCAAAGTATTGGTTCTCGTTTACGTGTTTGCTGCCATTGTTCCGATCTTCCTTGCTTTGATTTTTGGACGCGCTTTGCTCTTTCATTATTGCACGCATGAGGGTAGGTCTCAACACTCAGTTGCGGATATACGGGTGCATTGCTCAATGTTGGTGACAAATTGTCCTTGGAAGATTTGCCCATACAACGCAAACATGCAAAGGACTTTTTTTCTTCAAAGGTACCTTTTTTTGCTGAGGGCCGTCCGGACGGCGTCCGGAAGTACGGAAAAATGCGTCCAAAAGTCCAAAGAGCGGAAATATCCGTCCAGTTTGGGCCCGTCGGAACCAAAAGGACTTAAAAAAAAAAAACGCACCTTTTTTTCACGTCCGTCCGTCCATCCGTCAAAACTGTTTCCGCAGCCGGCGCCACAAGATCAGGGCGAGTGGATGTGCTCAGACCCCGTGTATATTCCGCATAAGTGTCGCAATGTGCAAATGTTTGCCCCCGCAGCTCATTGTAAAAAGCAGGCGAAGGTTTTATATTTCGACAGGAATTGTGGAGCCAAAGTTGTTCAGCCAAGAAATTTTAGTTATGTGCCTGGGTCTGAATGATGTTTGAGGGTGCCTGACCCAACATCAGAGGGGACAAGCATAAAACGCTCACATGATTTAGCTTGGTAATGCTTAATTAGTGTATATAGCCAGCACCTGCTTGGAAGATAAAAGGCCTTTTTTGCATGAAACGACCCCAACAAGTATCAAACATATCCAAAAAAGAGGTGATTTGCAAACGACCCCAAAGACGAAGGGTAGTGGAGACTCCAGGTATAAATATAAAAATAAAAATATAAGGTGTGTATGTTGTTTCTCCCCACACAGGTTCTACCCAACCCCGCACGGGGTCCTCAGTTTCAATACCTGGCCAGTGATTCATCCTAACTCGCGGACTTGATTGAAATTCAGCATGTGATTTAGCGAGGATTCCGGCAGAACACCTCGCACTGGCCAAGCGCTCATGCGTTGGCTTAATGGACACTAGCTTTGAAAATTGATGAACTACCGTCAGAAAATTGTATTGTGGTGATGGTTTTGACATAGACGTGCTGTAATGCGTATACGTGATGTACTACAATTCAAATAACCCGAAGCGACCCCAACTTCAAGCCTGTCTTTGCTCTCTTTTTCTTCTTGGGTTTCGGAGCCTGCGCCACAATCAACCGGCCTAATAGTAGGTCCAAGCCAATTGAAACAAATCTTTTCAGCCCAACGAAAAATTACACTGGACATGAAAAACGGAATCAAAACTCTTTGGCTCACTGACCACTTGGCACTGATGCGTGGAGTTGAGGATGCCAGTGATTTCAACATCTCGCGAAGGGGAAACAAAACAATGAGTTGGTTCAAAACCACCTGAAAAAAGGCAAAGAAAGGTGCGGTTTCTCTTGTGTCAGTCACTTGGCATACGACTTTGTAAGTCATTGGTGACATGTTTAACATGTTTTGCCGGTAGTAATAGTACTTTTCATTCTTTGGTGGTACAATCCCCGTGTGCCGATCTCAATGGGTTCATTGAAGGAAAACACGCAAGGAATATTGAAAGGATACCGGCAAATCCTATTTGCGTTTAAACATATAAACATATGCGTGTGTGCGTTTACCATCTGAATAGATGTAAAACTTCTTCTTACTGCAGGGGGCCGCTGGGGAACATTGCAGTCAGCGGCCAACGAAGACGCCGCAATGTTCCTGTGAAAACGTGCCGGCATTATATATATATATATATATGTATAGTCCCGCCCCTGGGCGCATATAACTCGCAGCTGGGGTGGACATATATTTTGTCGCTGTTGTTTTATACGATCAACGTCTACTGTGATTAAAAATGCATTTATAAATAAATATATATATACACATAAATAAGTAAATAAATAAAAATAAATAAACAAATATAAATATATATATATATATTTATTTATATATTTCTAAATATAGGTTGAGTCATTTCATCGTTTTAGTTGTTGTTGTTGTTGTTGTTTTGCACGTCAGATGTATTCCACAACAAAATTCGCAACGACAGTTCTGAGCAAGTTTGTGACTCATGCTGGATTCGTGACGGTGGCATGAACCCTTCGGGGAATACCTTTCTAGGTAGGAACTTTGATCCTCCGACTTGATCTCCCAATTTACAGTTTCAATCTAGTAATTCGTTTTAGTAAAGTGAAACAGCTGGCCATTTTTCGGGTCTCACCTGTCGCCTGTCGATTTGTTAAACAGTGGGCCGCTGTATTGGGCTTCACCTTTTTCTCTAGATCCTTCGACTTGATCTCTGAATTCACAGTTTCAATCTAGTAAGGTAGTAAGGAAGTGAAACAGTTGGCAATTTTTCGGGTCTCACCTGTCGCCGGTCGATGTGTTAAACAGCGGGCCGCAGTACTGGGCTTCACCTTTTACTCAACATGGATTTCCAGGTATCAGGACATGCTTGCAGGTATGGTGACTCTTCTTTTTATGGTCGTTGGTACGGTCCAGCTGTGCACTAATTCGAGGGTTGGATGCTTAAGCCGACTATAGGGATTAATCGACCACTGAGGGCCTCGAGCCTTGTCACGATCTCTTGCATTTGTTTGTGGATACATCATTTTTCTTTACCTAGTCCCCCATTGGTCCCCTATCTGATGCGTGCTCCCGTGTTAGGTCAGGTTGGGGTCCTTCGCGTGCCAAGGTAGGTTTGGCTCTCGCCTTGTAGGTTGTGTCAGGCGCTTCCGTCCGGCCCCCCCGTCCTCTGGTCGGTTTTTGGCCCGCCGTCCGTCCGTTTTTTCTTTTCCCTTGCCCTTCCAGGGTTCGCCCGTTTTGGGCTAGGTGTGTGGTGTTGGTGTTTTCTCCTTTTTTCCTTTCTTCTTGTGCGTTCCCCGTCTCGTGTCCCGGTTAGGTAAGGTGTCATCTCATGTTCATGGTCATTTCATCTTCATGTCCATTTCATCCACCCTGCTGCGGCAGGGTGTGTGTGTGTGTGCACCATCTGAATAGATGTAAAACTTCTTCTTACTGCAGGGGGCCGCTGGGGAACATTGCAGCCAGCGGCCAACGAAGACGCCGCAATGTTCCTGTGAAAACGTACCTGCATTGTATATATATATATATATGTAGATAAATATAAATACATATATGTGTATATACATATATGTATATATATATAATATAAATATTTATATATATATATATGCATTTATACGTATTGATATATATATATGTATATGTATAGTCCCGCCCCTGGGCGCATATAACTCGCAGCTGGGGTGGACATATAATTTTATCGCTGTTGTTTTATATGATCAACGTCTACTGTGATTAAAAATACATATATATATATATATATTTCTAAATATAGGTCATTTCATCGTGTTAGTGGTTGTTGGTGTTTTGCACGTCAGATGTATTCTAAAACAAAATTCGCAACGACAGTTCTGAGCAAGTGTGTGACTCATGCTGGATTCGTCACGGTGGCATGAACCCTTTTGGGAATACCTTTCTAGGTAGGAACTTTGATCCTCCGACTTGATCTCCCAATTTACAGTTTCAATCTAGTAATTCGTTTTAGTAAAGTGAAACAGCTGGCCATTTTTCGGGTCTCACCTGTCGCCTGTCGATTTGTTAAACAGTGGGCCGCTGTATTGGGCTTCACCTTTTTCTCTAGATCCTTCGACTTGATCTCTGAATTCACAGTTTCAATCTAGTAAGGTAGTAAGGAAGTGAAACAGTTGGCCATTTTTCGGGTCTCACCTGTCGCCGGTCGATGTGTTAAACAGCGGGCCGCAGTACTGGGCTTCACCTTTTACTCAACATGGATTTCCAGGTATCAGGACATGCTTGCAGGTATGGTGACTCTTCTTTTTATGGTCGTTGGTACGGTCCAGCTGTGCACTAATTCGAGGGTTGGATGCTTAAGCCGACTATAGGGATTAATCGACCACTGAGGGCCTCGAGCCTTGTCACGATCTCTTGCATTTGTTTGTGGATACATCATGTTTCTTTACCTAGTCCCCCATTGGTCCCCTATCTCATGCGTGCTCCCGTGTTAGGTCAGGTTGGGGTCCTTCGCATGCCAAGGTAGGTTTGGCTCTCGCCTTGTAGGTTGTGTCAGGCGCTTCCGTCCGGCCTCCCCCTCCTCTGGTCGGTTTTTGGCCCGCCGTCCGTCCGTTTTTTCTTTTCCCTTGCCCTTCCAGGGTTCGCCCGTTCTGGGCTAGGTGTGTGGTGTTGGTGTTTTCTCCTTTTTTCCTTTCTTCTTTTGCGTTCCCGTCTCGTGTCCCGGTTAGGTAAGGTGTCATCTCATGTTCATGGTCATTTCATCTTCATGTCCATTTCATCCACCCTGCTGCGGCAGGGTGTGTGTGTGTGTGTACCATCTGAATAGATGTAAAACTTATTCTTACTGCAGGGGGCCGCTGGGGAACATTGCAGTCAGCGGCCAACGAAGACGCCGCAATGTTCCTGTGAAAACGTACCTGCATTATATATATATATATAAATATATCTATCTATCTATCTATCTATCTATATATGTATAGTCCCGCCCCTGGGCGCATATAACTCGCAGCTGGGGTGGACATATTTTTTATCGCTGTTGTTTTATACAGTCAACGTCTACTGTGATTATAGGTGATTTCATCGTGCTAGTTGTTGTTGTTTTTTTGCACAGATGTAATTCCACAACAAAATTCGCAAGGACAGTTCTGAGCAAGTGTGTACGCGCACGAAAACCACTTGTTTCAAACTGGGTTTTCGTCTTAAGCGCGCTCCTTGCGAACATGAACAAATCGATTCCGCTGGTTGGTTAATTTCTTATTAGCACCTGGGCCGGATCATCGAAGGGCACAACCTCAGGTTGAAGACCAAAAATGGTATAGAATGGTCTCATGGCAGATCACAGGTCCCTTGACAGAGGCATAGTGAAACACAACAAATAAAAATGCATGGTAAATAATCAAATACAATATAATCAACCTAGAAAAATACATGAACAAAAACACACACACATATATATATATATAAATCGATAACTAAAAAGAAGATAAACATACAAAAAAAACTGAACAAAAATAATAAATGAATGAAAAATGAAGCATAAATGGCGAACTGAATATATGAAACAAAGATAAATATGTATATGAAAATGTGTATATAATTATATTTAAATAGAGAGAGATAAATGTATGTATGTATGTATGGATGGATGGATGGATGGAAGGATGGATGGATGTATGTATGTAATTATGTATGTAGGTAGGTATGTATGTATGTATGTATGTATGCATTATGTGCATGCATGCATGCATGTATATATTGTTAATATGTCTGTTTATGTGTGTGTGTCCGTGTTATTCACCAAAAATGTATCAATATACTGGGGAAAAACTGTGCACATGTACGGTCGTTCGAGCTCTGTGTCATCTACATATACACGTATATTTAAAAAAAAAACATGCATTGATTTATACACCCCGTTTTGGGAAAAATATATTGTATCACCAACAATATGACCTGGGTATAATAGCCAGGGTGGGTGATATTCCAAACTACCATGGAAGAAATTTAGCAACTCCGGGAAGGTATCCATGCTGAAACTCCTAGCAGGAATGGGGCACGTTCTTCCTCCATTCGAAGAAACATGAAACTGACCAACCAAGGCTCACCCAGGTCAGGAAATTGCCTTTCAAACGAAGATGGCAATATAATTACATTATATTACATTTCAATCATTCCGTGTGTAAGCATGGGATGTGGAAAAAAAACAAGGTGATTTTTTTTCTGGCAAAACAAATTGGCAAAACAACCTGCAGGCCGCCGCTGGACTGGCAACAAACATTCAAAGACCGAAAACCATGTAGCACTTTGCCATGCTCAGTTTGACCTACCTGGATTTCATCCATAGAATACAGTAACTTCGCAATTTGTTGATTTTTCGTTGGGGAAGGATCAAAAATCACCTCAACAAAATTGAAGGAAAATCCTGTGGCACCCGACTGGAGCTGCCATCTGCCGTGGCGGCGATTCGGCAGCCACAGCTGATGCGGCAGCAACAGCGCGGACTGCGGGGGCTGCAGACATTGGCACTGGAACTGGAACCTCGGGGCTCACCAACCAGCTTTTTAAGGTGCCACAAGTCAGGGCTGGGGCCCACACCCCGGATACACAATTCTTTAAATTCTGGAACTGGGGGGTGAAACCTGCAGTTTTGCAATAGGTTGACGCTATCCCTACAAGTGCAAAGAAGAACAAACAGACCGACATTTTCATCATCAGCAAGCGTGTTGATTTCAAAACCTACTTTTGTTGGGAAACAAATTCAGCACAATGTACGATGTGGACGCAGCTACTGGTTCCAAACCCAAGTTTCCTCTAATTTCTTGAGCCCCGGACATCCACCACGACAGCACTGACATGGATGGTGACCATGCGCTGCTCAATGCTCATCCTCAGCACATGGCACCTGACAAAATGCTAGGTATTTTGATCGTTTATACTGGAAATGTGTAAGCATACATAAATTAATAAGTACCCGTATGTGTATATATATATAATTATATATATATAAATATAAAGAATTATAAAGATTTGTTTTAAATATATATATATATACACACATGCGCATACATTATACCGCAAGGAATATAATATCGCCATGATGGGAGACAATCATCATTTGGCAACCTGACATGTTTGACCCTTTTTGGATAATTATACCCCAATTCTAACAATCATTCGAATGACGTCTCGGTGGGGTCTATATACTTTGGATCATCATCACCGTGCTGATACTCAACATCCCAGCTGAACGGAAACCACATGACTACCATAAATAACAAGTCACCATCATTCAGACATGCTTTAACACCTTAAGGAAAAAAACGACATAGATCTAGGTGTGGGCATCCTTTACGCCGCATGAAGCAGTGAGCAATGAAGCAGTCCTGAAAGAGCGGAAATCTTGGATCCAAGATGTTGGGCCCAAAAGCCGGGCAATCTGTATGAGCAACAAAGATAGGGATTGGACCAGCAAGAATGCAGCTGTGCCTTCCAGAAGGTGCTCTTGACACTCTGTGGGGTCGGAGAAAATTGGATCGCAATCAATGACATACCCACAGCTCCGTGATGGTGAAGGTGCGAAGAACACACCCCACAGACCTGGTGTGGTAAGAAACACAATTCCGCCAGGAACAAATCCGTTCTGTTCCCCCGTGACAAGCAGTCTGCCTCACCATCCTCACCCTTATAATCCCTTCCCCCTATTACCAAACCTCCCCCGAAGAATAAAAACTAGGGTCCATCTCCAACTTTGGAAAAAAATCAGGTTGGCCAACTTGACTTTTAATTGATACCCTGTAAAGCTACTATTTTTGGGTTTCACCCCCTAATAATAAAAACTAGTCAACCCTGGGGTGATATTTTTTAATGGGGGTCCGTCTGATTTTTTTCATTAAGGGTTTTAATTTCTTATTAAGGTCTGCTTCGAAATCCATTTTTTGGCAATATGTTAATTGCTCATAAAAGGAAAATTAATTGATTTTGAAATCAAAAAAAGTTTTAAAAAGTTATTAGGGACAACTTAAATGCAATTCTTGGCAATATTTTCATTGCGTTATAAAAATAAGTTTTATTGATGAAATGTTTTTTGAAATATATATATATATATATACGTATATTAAAGGTTTAAATTTGCTATTAGGGTCCGCTTTGGTTCCCTAATAATAAATACCACCCTAAAAATAACTACCTGAGGTGTTTCTTATTTGGGGAAGGGGGGGACTTTTGGATTAGGGGGAAAGGATTATAGCGAGCATTGTCATGACAATCTTTTGTTTTTCTGGCATTCTGAATGTGGAATCCCCCTCATCACCACGACCACCGGGTAACCCCCATCCGTCGTCGTCAGCACCATCACCATCACCGTCATCACCGTCATCACCATCACCATCATCATCATCATCATCATCATCATCATCATCATCATCATCACCATCACCATCATCATCATCATCATCACCACCATCATCATCATCATCATCACCACCATCACCATCATTATCATCATCACCATCACCATTATCATCATCAGCATCACCATCATCATCACCACCATCATCATCATCATCATCAGCATCATCACCATCACCATCACCATCATCATCATCATCGCCACCATCACCATCACCATCATCATCATCATGACCATCACCATCATCATCACCATCACCATCACCATCATCATCATCACCATCACCATCACCATCACCATCACCATCATCATCATCATCATCATCGTCGTCACCGTGATCATCGCCATGATTACTGTCATCTGTAGCAGCATCAAGTGTCATTCGTAGCCTATATAGGTTCCAAGCATCGCTCGAGCATAAAATCGCACACGTGCGATAATAAAAAGGGATTGTGTGTCCTATTGCATCGCTTTACCGTTGAATCAAAAAAAACCTTCAGTGAGACATTGGCATTTCTCCCGATTTTGAAAGCCAAACAGCAACAAACAGTTCATCTTATTTTTCAACGTGGCTCTGTTGTTTAGACCTCCACCTGTTGGAATCAATCCGTGCAGGTGTTGGTGGACTCTCCAGTGGCCACCCCCTATGTAAAAAGTGAAAGGGATGCTCGATCCTGAATTCAACCCCGCCGCCCTTACAAAAGCGCAACACGAGCTTTGCCAAATATGATTGTTATAAGTTAAACAATTATCAACAAATCATTATCTGTCCTAATTTTGGTCTATGCGCATTTTTGCTGGACAGAAGATGACAGAAGCAGGTTGCTTCTTATTGCATGATGCTGCTGAGCATCTGTTTCGTGGCATTGCGACTCTTTGCAGGAATCACGATGCAGCAGCCTGGCAATCTGCGAAGATGATCCATGGAGCCATGGAGCTAGGTCTAGCTAAAATCATGCAACTCTTTTCGGTTACACGCCTGCACTCAAATTGTTCAATACAGCTACTCACATCACTTGAACTGTTTCCGTACAATTGTTATATATATATATATATATCAAGTACAAATACGTGCATATCTATGTGCAATAGAAAGTCTATGTGTCAAGATACTGCTGATCCAACGATACATGGAGCGTGTGGGATTCTGGGGTGGCAAGTGAACTGAAACGGACAGTGGCAAGTACGACGCCAGAATAAATGACAACAAGTTTTTTCTGAACGCATCAAATTTGGATCCTCCCTCAGTGGATCTAATTGAAACCCGCGCAAATTCATTCAAAACTGGTGCTCATGTCAAATAGAGCATAAGCGACACCGCCAAATAGCCGCCCTTGGTGGCAGAACTGGTTGACCAAGTCTGGCCAATCTGGAAAACCAAATGAGACATTTCCTAAATGCCCCAAGTCAACCGGCAAAAACGCTCACGGGTGTAGTTTTGCTAGGTTGACGTTGGGCACGCGGAAACTTTGATGCTTACTAGGAACAACCATGGTCCCTCAAGATCTTCACCACCTTTACAAACCCATGCCATTTGTCAACCACCATGATATCTAGACCAAACATGTCAGGCGCAACCATCTTGCACCACCTTGCCGATTCAGGGCGCTTGGCTAGGAAAACGGTCGACATACCCAACAATGTGGTTTCGAGCTACCGCAAGAACAAAAGGGTTCTCAAACCACAATGGTCAAAAGTCATGTCAAAATAACCTGGCACACCTTAGACGCCCCTGCTAGATCATTTGTTTTCATTCATATTCGCTACAAGTATGTTCCTACATCAGAATGGCAAGAATTGTCTTTCTGGTGTGAAACGGGCCGTGGCTACTTGGTATTTTCTGATCGGGGTTTTTGAAACCAAGCTGGGTGGACTGCAATGATCCTTGAACTTGGTGATCATGGGAATGGGCCGCAGGGAATACCAAGGTTGGTCCCAAAAAATATCCCAGCTCCACCCCTATCACAATCACTCCTGAATCATCCTGAATCATCCAAATTTCGTCTGGATCATCCCAAGATCAAATATCTGGACCCACACTTCCCTATTCCGTGTGCCTGGGAAGTGCCGGACTCAATTCGCTCAAAAGAACTGATGCTGGGAACGCTGTCCTGCCACCAAAATCATTGGAAACACGGCCCCAGAAAAAACCAGCCAACATTGCAGACCTCAGGGGCAACAGTTTCTTGTAACCTTGAGTCACCCCCTGCAGCCCTAAACGCATGACACCTGTATTCCACTTCAAGCCAGACATTGGGTAACCCGCAAGTTTCGCACACAAAGTGAACCCACGAACTCAGGTTCGTCTGCTCAAAATGTTGCCCCGTCCTGATTAAAGGGTTCCATTCGGATGCCCATACCATTCTTAGAAGACAAGTCACCTGCACTCACAGGCCCTGCGACACGAAGTTTACGCTCTGTGTAGTTTGTTGCTTCAAATTTGGCAGGGTGAAGTGGATGCCTGCTTGAAGGGAAAATCATGCACAGTATAGACGACAGTACCATCCAGGGGTCACGGTGGTATTCGGAAACTGGCGAGTGGTATTCGGAAACTGGAGGTGGTATTCGGAAACTGGTATTCGGAAACTGGAAGTGGTATTCGGAAACTGGACAGTGGTATTCGGAAACTGGACAGTGGTATTCGGAAACTGGACAGTGGTATTCGGAAACTGGACAGTGGTATTCGGAAACTGGGGAGTGGTATTCGGAAACTGGTATTCGGAAACTGGAAGTGGTATTCGGAAACTGGAAAGTGGTATTCGGAAACTGGGAGTCGTATTCGGAAACTGGAAAAAGGTATTCGGAAACTGAGATTGGTATTTGGAAACTGATATAATTGGAAACTGGAAACCCGTAGTAACAAGTAACGTAGCAACGATCCCAGAGATCTCAGCAGCGTAGTAACAAGTAACGTAGCAAGGTCCCAGAGATCCCAGCAGCGTAGTAACATGTAACGTAGTTTTAGATCCCACAGATCGTTGCAGCGTAGCACACTATAACGTACGAAGTTCAAGGAACGTTGACATGCCCCCCTACCCCACCCTACCCCATCAGCAGCGTAGTAACAAGTAACGTAGCAACGAGCCCAGAGATCCCAGCAGCGTAGTAACAAGCAACGTAGCAACGATCCCGGAGATCTCAGCAGCGTAGTAACATGTAACGTATATGATTCAATTAGGGCGGTACCACGTAAGTGTATCGGATGTACACTCTTTGGGCAGGGTTTACCATGGTTTACCCCTAACGCATTATATAGGCCAGAGGAGGTGGCAGTTTTGATCCCTCATGAAGTTAAGTTCAAGTCAAGACCCTATTCATCGTATTGGCCAGAGGGGATGGCGGTTTTGATCCCTCATGAAGATAGGTTCAAGGTAAGATCCTATTCAATCAGTTTCGTTAAGATCCTATTCAATGTATGGGCCAGAGGGGGTGGCAGTTTGGATCCCTCCTGGAGAAAAGTTGAAGTTAAGATCCTATTCAATGTATGGGCCAGAGGGGGTGGCAGTTTTGATACCTCATGAAGATAAGTTCAAGTTAAGATCCTATGCACCGTATTGGCCAGAGGGGGTGCATAGGATCTTAACTTGAACTGATCTTCATGAGGGATCAAAACTGCCACCCCCCTCTGGCCCATACATTGAATAGGATCTTAACGAAACTTATTGAATAAGATCTTACCTTGAACCTATCTTCATGAGGGATCAAAACTAACCCCCCTTTGGCCAATACGATAAATAGGATCTTAACTTTTGTTGTTTATCTTCATGAGGGACAAAACCGCCATCCCCTCTGGCCAATACATTGAAGAGGATCTTAACCTCAACTTTTCTCCAGGAGGGATCAAAACTGCCACCCCCTCTGGCCCATACATTGAATAGGATCTTAACTTCAACTTTTCTCCAGGAGGGATCAAAACTGCCACCCCCTCTGGCCAATACATTGAATAGGATCTTACCTATGCATCGTATTGGCCAGAGGGGGTGGCGGTTTTGAATAGTTGCTGGGATACCATAATCATTGCTGGGAGAAACCATAGAGTCAGCATTGAATCCGACGAAAATAGTTTCTGAATACTGCAAAAATAGTTTCTGAATACCACGAGTAGTTTCTGAATCCGACGAAATAGTTTCTGAATACTACGAAAATAGTTTCTGAATACCACGAGCAGTTTCTGAATCCGACGACAATAGTTTCTGAATACTACGAATAGTTTCTGAATACCACGAGTAGTTTCTGAATACCACGAAATAGTTTCTGAATACCACGAAATAGTTTCTGAATACTACGAATAGTTTCTGAATACCACGAAATAGTTTCTGAATACCACGAAATAGTTTCTGAATCCGACGAAATAGTTTCTGAATCCGACGAAATAGTTTCTGAATCCCACGAAATAGTTTCTGAATACCACGTTTATTTTCTGAATCCGACGAGCAGTTTCTGAATCCCTAGTTTCTGAATCCGACGTAGTTTCTGAATCCGTCTTTGTCCCCATCCAGGCCATGCAGCTCACAAATTGTTATTTTGGGTGAGATGTGCAGCCAACCGCGAATCTGGCCACAAATGGCTACTACATGCTACTACAACATATATACTCATGTATAAACAAGTTTTGAACTGGAAGGTAACTGTTGGTTGGGGTTTGGTTCCTCAAACGTCATATGGATTTTACTGGTCACCACTTAATTATTTGTTTCTACACTTTTGATCTGAGACCCGCACATGCTGCCACAACATTGAAAAAATCACTCACAAAGCATGCATGCACAGGCGATAATAATGTCCACTTGAACACGTGTTGAAAAGAAACAATCAGAAACACATTGCAGCTGCTTTGGTTCCTAGATTTTATCGTTCCCAAGTCGCACGTTAGTGCTGCTTAAGAGGGGACTGAATCATCAGACGTGCAAACACAGCAACCACCATCAAAATACTAAAAATACATTTGTTACAGAGTGGTGGCCCACACTGAACTATGTTGGTTTTAACTAAGTGAATTATGGTTCATGGTGAAAAAATACATAGACGCAAAGAGCCATAGAGATATAGAGACATAGACATAGAGACATAGAGACATACATACATACATACATACATTCATTCGTACACTACATACATTACATACAATACATTGCATAACAGCACAATACAATACAATACAATAAAATACCATACAATAAAATACAATACAATACCATACACTACAATACAATACATGCATACATTACATACATTGCATACATTACATACATTGCATACATTACATACATTGCATGCATTACAAACATTACATACATTACATACAATGCATACAATACATTCAATACATACAATGCAATCAATACATACAACACATATAACACACACAGTACATACATACATACATACATACATACATACATACATACATACATACATACATACATACACCCATACACCCATACATACATACATACGTACGTACATACATTACATTACATTACATTACATTACATTACGTTACATTACATTACATTACATTACATTACTTGACATTACATACATTACATTCATACATACATACATTACATTACATTACATTACATTACATTACATACATACATACATGCATCCATGCATCCATGCATCCATGCATCCATGCATACATGCATACATGCATACATGCATACATGCATACATACATACATGCATACATGCATACATGCATACAATGCAAACAATGCATACAATGCAAACATACATACATACATACATCCATACATCCATACATCCATATATCCATGCATGCATGCATGTATACAATGCATACATTACATACATTACATACATTACATACATTACATACATTACATACATTACATTACATTTCATTACATTTCATTACATTTCATTACATTAAATTACGTTAAATTACATTACATTACATTGCAATACATACATACATACATACATACATACATACATACATACAAAACATACATTACATACATTACATTACATTACGTTACATTCATGCAAACAAAAAATAAAGTAACAAAACACAACAAAACATTACATACATTACATTACACAAACACACATTACATACATTACATTGCATTGCATTACATTACATTATAAATTACATTACATTACATTGCATTCCATTACATTACATTCCATTACATTACATTACATACATTACATTACATTACATTGCATTACACTACATTACATTATATTACATTACATTACATACATTACATACATTACATTACATTACATTACGTTACGTTACATTACATTACATTACATTACATACGTTGCATTACACTACATAAAATACATTACATTACATTACATTGCATTGCATTACATTACGTTACATTACATTACATTACACTACATAATAAATTACATTACATATATTACATTACATTGCATTGCATTACATTCCATTCCATTACATTACATACATTACATTACATTACATGACATTACGCTACATTACAATACATTACACTACATTACATTAAAATACAATACATTACAATACATCTTGTTTATTCCCATTACATACATTACATTTGATTACGCTACAGTACATTACATTACATACATTACATACATTACATGCATACATACATACATTACATACATTACATACATTACATACATTACATACATTACGTACATTATATACATTACATCACATTACGTTACATTACATCACATTACGTTACATTGCATTACACTAAATTACATTACATACATTACATTACATTCCATTACATTCCATTACATTACATTACATTACATACATTACATTGCATTACAGTACATTACATTAAATTAAATTACATTACAATACATTACATTATATTACATAACATTACATTATATTACATAACATAACATTACATTACATACATACATTACAATACAATACAATACAATACAAGACAATACAAGACAATACAGTACAGTACATTACATTACAATACATACATGCATATATACATATATATATAAATAAATAAATATATATACATATTTATATACATGACATACAAACATGCATGCATGCATGCATGCATACATGCATACATGCATACATACATGACGGTTTGCCAACATGTCTTTTCCTAGTTTTGTTGATAAATAGCAATTCCTTGCGTGCCGCTTCTTTTTTTGCCTGTAAAACCATGATTGACCTAAATAGCCTGAAACCCTGGATTTTATCTTTTATATTTCAAGCCGTAGCTAAAACCTGCAGTAAATGCCAACGCGTGTCTATATGAAGTGGGTGCCGCTGCTAGTTGTTAGTGGTGGAACTGGAATATTTGCAGAGCTGGTCGTTGCCTTTGCTGTCACTGTTGCTTTGTCAAACAGACAGGAAAAAATTCAAGTTCTCTGGCGGTGACTGGGTCACGGGTCAACCAAAGCCGTTTTTTGAAAACCACGTGCAAATTCGCAAAGTTGAGCCGCAACTTTGAAAATAAAGGAAATTGTTTAGCACAGAAATTCACTAAGACACCCTTAGGTTTAAGGAGCTAAGCGTTACATCTTGACTTTTCTGCATGTTGAAACAAGCAGACAGAAACACAAAAAATTATCCTTGAACATGGGTGTGAAGAAAGAAAACTAGCGCAAACCTAGCGGGTTTGCCAGCGCTGTCTTGCAGAATTGGTGAATTAGTTGCGTGCCGCCTCATAACGAAGAGGAAAAACAACTAGGTCCACACTATTTACCAACAACTAGTACAAAACTTCTGTCAACTATTTTGGCACATGGTCACATACATACATACATACATAAATACATTACATCACATTTCATTGCATTAAATTGCAGTAAATTACATTACATTACATTGCAATACATACATTGCATGCATTACATTACATTACATTACATTGCATTACATTACATTACATTACATTAGATGACATTACACTACACTACATTACATTACATTGCATTCCATTGCATTACATTGCATTACATTACATGCATTACACACATCACATACATTGCAAACATTACATACATTATATTACATTACATTACACTCCATTACATTACAGCCCATTACATTACATTACATACATTACATTGCATTGCATTGCATTACAATACATTACATTACATTACATTACACTACATTACATACATACATACATACACACATACATACATACATACATACATACATACATGCATGCATGCATGCATGCATGCATGCATACATACATACATACATACACACATACACACATACATACATACATAACATAACATAACATTACATTACACTACATCACATTACATTGCGTTACATTACATTACATTACATTAATACATACATACGTACATACATACATACATACATACATAAATACATACATACATGCATGCATACATACACTACATAAATACACACACACACATACACACATTACATACATTACATACATTACATACATTACACCCGTTACATACACTACATGCAATACATACATTACATTATATTACATTACATTAGATTACATTTCATTACATTTCATTACATTGCATTACATTAAATTACATACATTGAAAAAAGTACATTACATTACATTACATTTCATTACATTACATTACATACACTACATACATTTCATTACATTACATACATTACATACATTACATTACATCTCATTACATTACACTACATTACATTACATACACTACATGAACTACATGCATCGCATACTGCACATACATTACGTGCATTATATGTGTCAAGTCAATACATTCAGTACACACGATACATACATTACATGCATTACATGCTTTGCATGCATTACATACATGCATTACATCCCTTACATGCATTACATGCATTAGATCCATTCCATGCATGACAGTCATCACGTACAGTACATACATTGCACGCATTACATGCAGTTCGTTATATTACACTAGATTGCGTTACATTAGATTTGATGAGCTTAAATTACACCAAAAAACATAACATGCATACATTTATGCTGATATACACATAGTATCTATATAGATATATTTATTTATGTACGCACTTGGGCTTGTAAACCAACTTTTGTGTCGGGGGCACCACCTTGCAGTGTTGATAATTGAAATTATATTTTCAAGATCGCCACGGCAGCAGACGCAGCCGACAACTTTGCAAGAAACTCAGGGCGGCACGGAGTGACAGCATCATGGAAGACCTTGGCCGTTCAGCTGAACGTTTTTGTCTGAACGATGGTGTGAGTTCTTCGCACTAACTTCATCTAACTTCATTTTCAAAACCGACCAAGTTTGAAAGTCAAACTTCCGACAATATGGACACATGAAAAGCAGAGGTGGGAAGAGTCAGAGAAGAGAAGAGAAGAGAAGAGAAGAAGAAAGAAGATCAAAAATGAGAAAGTCTCAGAAGAGAGAAGATCCAGGTGCGCGAAAAG